AAGCACAACTAGGTGAGTACATCTCTGGTAAATAATATACCTCGAAATATACAGCACTTCCACCACGACAACAACCACCCCCCTACTACCACCACCACCAGCGGGGCCCAGGACAACCCACAGGGGACACCCACAGGGGGGACACCCACAGGGGAGAGACACCCACAGGGGAGAGACACCCACAGGGGAGACACACCCACAGGGGAGACACCCACAGGGGAGAGACACCCACAGGGGAGAGACACCCACAGGGGAGACACACCCACAGGGGAGACACACCCACAGGGGAGACACCCACAGGGGGGACACCCACAGGGGGGGACACCCACAGGGGGGACACCCACAGGGGGGGACACCCACAGGGGGGACACCCACAGGGGGGACACCCACACGCTAGACACAGATGTAATGTTGACAATTCTAAACGTCACAAGGAGAGACATTGACGGAGTCTCCTGACGCAGGGCCCTTCCTCACCCGTCTGGACCACTTTACTGTGAGGGGCACGGAGCCAGTGTGTGACGGGGCGCTACACCTTGGACAGTACACCTAACGCAGTAGACCTTGGACAGTACACCTAGGGCAGTACACCTTGGACACAACACCTAGGGCAGTACACCTTGGACAGTACACCTAGGGCAGTACACCTTGGACAGTACACCTAGGGCAGTACACCTTGGACACAACACCTAGGGCAGTACACCTTGGACACAACACCTAGGGCAGTACACCTTGGACACAACACCTAGGGCAGTACACCTTGGACACAACACCTAGGGCAGTACACCTTGGACACAACACCTAGGGCAGTACACCTTGGACACAACACCTAGGGCGGTACACCTTGGACAGTATTGCTAGGGCAGTAGACCTAGGCTTGAAGGCCGAGAGGATACAAGTGACAAAAGGATCACAGTGAACATAACAGTGAAGAAGACACAGTGGCCGGTGTAGAGTGACGGGGCAGGAGGAGGTGGTGGCAGCGGGCGAGGCTGTTATCTTACACCGGGGTATACACACCACCCTAAATACCTAATTGTGCATGTGCGGGGGGTTAAACTCTCGGGGCCCGCCTCTCAACTGCTCTACAGGTTCCGGTATTAGTGATCATGAAGGGATGATGCTGAGGGCTACACAATGATAGGAGGTATGGGGCAAACAACACTGATATAACAGACGGATTGATTAACAACAGGAGTAGAACAGTGAAGTGCTTCCCATCACATACACTCAGTGTTCCAGTATTACCTCACTACACCTACCTAGGCACTATACCTCCAGCACTAGGAGGAGGGAGGACTGGCGAGTGATGGAGGGTGTATGTCCCATATACCCTCCATCACCTGCCCCACCAGGAGGGAGTGTCGTGAGGGGGGAGGTGGTTACCCTGTCGAAAGAACAGGATAATCTGGTTCTGAATTTTCATTGGCCAGCTGGGGCAATGAGGTGATACACTAACTGGCAGTTCTGTGGTGGTGGTGCTGAACGACTGACGTAGCAACAAGGTAAGAGACCCCGTCTTATCATAGTCTGTGAACTAGCTAACATTATAAGGTGTTAGGATACATGAAATTGTTAATGTGATAATCACCATTGTGGTCTGATAAAGACCTTTTGTGCCCGCTGTAATCCTTTTTGCGCTACCGCTCACAGGATGAGTATGGGGAGCACAATAAACTAACCACCTCCGCCGGCAACAATCGGTATATACACACAAGACAAGCGGCACACATCTGGGAGTATATAACTGGTAAACACATAGAGCGAGAGCTTGAACTATAACCTCCTATAGCTACTGAGTACCCAGACCGTTTATATACCTATCAGCGAGCTATAGAGAAGTCTCATACATCCTATGAGAGCTGGAGGAGTGGATGAGGCTTCCATGAGTGTGTGTGTGGGTCTCCACCAGCGCCCTCTCGCAGGACCACCAGTACTTGTCGCCACGACCCTCTCTACCTACTCTAAAACCCCCCATACACACACACACCTCATCCTCCCAGCCCCATCAACCCACTGGCTACCTCCCGTTGTAGAATATATTGTCTGAGTGACCCTGGACGCCCTGTACCTTGTATACCTCATGAGCCCCTCTGGTCCGTGTCTCCTGCAGGTGCGCTGCGACCCGGTCCTCTGGCGCCAAAATAAGTTGAGCTCATGAACACATTGTTGCATGCAACATCACCCACTTTCTGGCGGCCTCTGTGACAGAATTATCTTCATATGAAGGTTACACCGCCAGCCATACTCGCTCGCTCAAAAGGTCCACACGAGCCTCGGGACCGCGGCCACAGTACACGAGGAAGCAGTCTTAAGTGGAGTGAATATACATGAAAACTACAGAAATGAACCAGATAACTTGATCTTTGTGTAGATTTAACCCATGGTGCTTCACAGCTTATTCAACACAAGAGTTGCAAGCTACTAGAACGGTGTTGGAAGTACTTATATAAATATATATATAAATATTTATATATAAATGATATATAAACGTGCATTACTGCCTAGGGTTGATAAGAGAGATTATATTATATTATGTTACAGTTTAAAAGAAAGATTCCGGTTAGTCGAAGTTCAATACAACAAAAGTCAACTTTCTGGTGGTCCATCACTACATATTGGTACTTTCTGGTGGTCTATCACTACATATTGGTACTTTCTGGTGGTCCATCACTACATATTGGTACTTTCTGGTGGTCCATCACTACATATTGGTACTTTCTGGTGGTCTATCACTACATATTGGTACTTTCTGGTGGTCCATCACTACATATTGGTACTTTCTGGTGGTCCATCACTACATATTGGTACTTTCTGGTGGTCTATCACTACATATTGGTACTTTCTGGCGGTCCATCACTACATATTGGTACTTTCTGGTGGTCTATCACTACATATTGGTACTTTCTGGTGGTCCATCACTACATATTGGTACTTTCTGGTGGTCCATCACTACATATTGGTACTTTCTGGTGCTCTATCACTACATATTGGTACTTTCTGGTGGTCCATCACTACATATTGGTACTTTCTGGTGGTCCATCACTACATATTGGTACTTTCTGGTGGTCCATCACTACATATTGGTACTTTCTGGTGCTCTATCACTACATATTGGTACTTTCTGGTGGTCCATCACTACATATTGGTACTTTCTGGTGGTCCATCACTACACATTGGTACTTTCTGGTGGTCCATCACTACATATTGGTACTTTCTGGCGGTCCATCAGTACACATTGGTACTTTCTGGTGGTCCATCACTACATATTGGTACTTTCTGGTGGTCCATCACTACATATTGGTACTTTCTGGTGGTCCATCACTACATATTGGTACTTTCTGGTGGTCCATCACTACATATTGGTACTTTCTGGTGGTCCATCACTACATATTGGTACTTTCTGGTGGTCCATCACTACATATTGGTACTTTCTGGTGGTCTATCACTACATATTGGTACTTTCTGGTGGTCTATCACTACATATTGGTACTTTCTGGTGGTCCATCACTACACATTGGTACTTTCTGGTGGTCCATCACTACATATTGGTACTTTCTGGTGGTCCATCACTACATATTGGTACTTTCTGGTGGTCCATCACTACATATTGGTACTTTCTGGTGGTCCATCACTACATATTGGTACTTTCTGGTGGTCTATCACTACATATTGGTACTTTCTGGTGGTCTATCACTACATATTGGTACTTTCTGGTGGTCCATCACTACACATTGGTACTTTCTGGTGGTCCATCACTACATATTGGTACTTTCTGGTGGTCCATCACTACATATTGGTACTTTCTGGTGGTCTATCACTACATATTGGTACTTTCTGGTGGTCCATCACTACATATTGGTACTTTCTGGCGGTCCATCACTACATATTGGTACTTTCTGGTGGTCCATCACTGACTTGTAGCTGGTACTGACCTGTAGCCTGTACTAACCTATAGCCTGTACTGACCTGTAGCCTGTACTGACCTGTAGCCTGTACTGACCTGTAGCCTGTACTGACCTGTAGCCTGTACTGACCTGTAGCCTGTACTGACCTGTAGCTTGTACTGACCTGTAGCCTGTACTGACCTGTAGCCTGTACTGACCTGTAGCTTGTACTGACCTATAGCCTGTACTGACCTGTAGCCTGTACTGACCTGTAGCCTGTACTGACCTGTAGCCTGTACTGACCTGTAGCTTGTACTGACCTGTAGCCTGTACTGACCTGTAGCCTGTACTGACCTGTAGCTTGTACTGACCTATAGCCTGTACTGACCTGTAGCCTGTACTGACCTGTAGCCTATACTGACCTGTAGCCTGTACTGACCTGTAGCCTGTACTGACCTGTAGTCTGTACTGACCTGTAGCCTGTACTGACCTGTAGCCTGTACTGACCTGTAGCTTGTACTGACCTGTAGCCTGTACTGACCTGTAGCCTGTACTGACCTGTAGCCTGTACTGACCTGTAGCTTGTACTGACCTGTAGCCTGTACTGACTTGTAGCCTGTACTGACCTGTAGCCTGTACTGACCTGTAGCCTGTACTGACCTGTAGCCTGTACTGACCTGTAGCTTGTAATGACCTGTAGCCTGTACTGACCTGTAGCCTGTACTGACCTGTAGCTTGTACTGACCTGTAGCTTGTACTGACCTGTAGCTTGTACTGACCTGTAGCTTGTACTGACCTGTAGCTTGTACTGACCTGTAGCCTGTACTGACCTGTAGCTTGTACTGACCTGCAGCCTGTACTGACCTGTAGCTTGTACTGACCTGTAGCTTGTACTGACCTGTAGCTTGTACTGACCTGTAGCTTGTACTGACCTGTACTGACCTGTAGCTTGTACTGACCTGTACTGACCTGTCGCTTGTACTGACCTGTACTGACCTGTAGCCTGTACTGACCTGTATAATATACTTTCATAAAGATTGTACCAACTATGGAACCTGTACTGATGGTGTGTTTATCTAACATTTGTATACTGGGTCATATGGATACACTAACCTGTTGGTGTAGGGAGGATGCACAGCGGTGGACGAGAATCCTAGAAGCTTCCTAGAGGTTCCTAGCAGGTTGTTGCAGGTTCCTAGCAAGTTCCTTTAGGTTCCTAGCAGCTTCTTGTAGGCTTCTAGCAGGTTCTCGTAGGTTCCTAGCTGGTTCTTCTTGATTCTAGTAGGTTCTTCGAGGATCTTAGACAATTCTTGGAGTTTTCTAGGTCTTGGAGAGGTAGTAGAGAATGGTTACAGATTTCTAGGTCGGTCTTGTGCTCAGTGGCGCTGTCGCAGCTCCTAGGAGAGCCTTAGTGGCTGATGGTAGAGGTAGGAGGTCCTTCCGGTCACTATGCCGGCTGGCTGCGTCTCTCATCTCTTCCTGAAAGTCCCTCAAGTTTACTAGGATGCTGGGTGGCACTCCTCCGGCACGGTGCCACCTCCCAGTGGCCCTCACAACACACACGGGGCCAGTGCCACCTCCCAGTGGCCCTCACAACACACACGGGGGCCAGTGCCACCTCCCAGTGGCCCTCACAACACACACGGGGCCAGTGCCACCTCCCAGTGGCCCTCACAACACACACGGGGCCAGTGCCACCTCCCAGTGGCCCTCAGAACATACACGGGGCCAGTGCCACCTCCCAGTGGCCCTCACAACACACACGGGGGCTGGTGCCACCTCCCAGTGGCCCTCACAACACACACGGGGGCCAGTGCCACCTCCCAGTGGCCCTCACAACACACACGGGGGCCAGTGCCACCTCCCAGTGGCCCTCACAACACACACGGGGCCAGTGCCACCTCCCAGTGGCCCTCACAACACACACGGGGCCAGTGCCACCTCCCAGTGGCCCTCACAACACACACGGGGCCAGTGCCACCTCCCAGTGGCCCTCACAACACACACGGGGGCTGGTGCCACCTCCCAGTGGCCCTCACAACACACACGGGGGCTGGTGCCACCTCCCAGTGGCCCTCACAACACACACGGGGGCTGGTGCCACCTCCCAGTGGCCCTCACAACACACACGGGGGCTGGTGCCACCTCCCAGTGGCCCTCTGAACATACACGGGGCCAATGCCACCTCCCTCCTCCTCCTCTCTGGCACTGCACATGACAACAATATCCGCTGTGATGAAACTTGAACCAATGTTCACCAGGCTATTGTAGCAAGCATCGTTGTGGGCGCGGGGCGCTGGGTGGCGCGGGCCGGTGGGTGGGCACTGGGCGCTGGGTGGGCACGGTAGGGCACTAGGCCAGTGGGTGTGGAGTGAAAGTGGGCATGGGTGGTGGAGGTGGGTGCCAGCCTCCTTAGTGTGCTGATGGTGGGTTGGCACTGGCACCCAGACATTCCCTCCCACCAAAAACCTACCCCCCTCCTTTTCCCTATGCCTCCCTTACCCCCCCCCCCCCTTCTTTCCCATCTCCCTCCCCTCCTCCCTTCCTTCTCTCCCCCCCCCTCCCTTCCTCGGGGTATTTTTAATGCTATAGAGACAAGCAGCCATATACGACCACTGTCTGTGAGGGGACCCTATACCACCCCCCCTCCTCACACCCCCCCCCCTTCCCTCACTGACCCCTCCCTCTCTCCCTCTCTCCCTCACTCCCTCACTCCCTCACTCCCTCACACCTTCCCTCCATCCCTCAGACCCCCCTGAGACAGACACAGACATTCACACACAACAAGAAGCGGAACTTAGGCCAGCAATTAGGGAAGAACAAGTTACCAACAGTAAACTGGTACAAAACACTGCAGATAGAAGTCCATAATAATTTTCAGGTGTTTAGAGAAGGAAATTTCATCTAGGGTGGACAGAGCAGCAGAAGAGATGAAAATCATACGATTAGGAACACCTCACCAGTCTCCGTGGTGCAGTGGTAAGACACTCGCCTGGCGTTCCGTGAGCGCTTTGTCATGGGTTCGTATCCTGGCCGGGGAGGATTTACTGGGCGCAAATCCTTAACTGTAGCCTCTGTTTAACTCAACAGTAAAATGTGTACTTGGTTGTAACAACGATTCTTCGCGGCAGGGATCGTATTCCAGGGACCTGCCCGAAACGCTACGCGTACTAGTGGCTCTACAAGAATGTAACAACTCTTGTATATATCTCAAAAAAAAAAAGGAGATGGCCTAAATTCAAAGGAACATGTCAGTGATTTTAGGAGGCTAGGTAAATATGAGAGACAAAAACCGCCCCTTAAAGGTGACCTTTAATGGCGTGAAACATATGTCGGAAGTGCTTAGAAATGCCAGAGAATTGCAGTGTGATGAGGATGGCAAACTTTGGTCAATAAGACAAGACCTCTCAAAGGAGGACAGAGAAAAACTGAAAATGAACCTCGTTGAAGCAAAACATCTAAATGGGAATAGAAATGAAGAAAAAAGATTTTTTTTCTACAAAGTGATAGGGACTAGAAAGCTAGCAGAATGGTACATAAAGACAAAGCAACAAAATCATTAGAGAAAGAGGGTGTAAAGAACAAAGTAAAGGGGAACGTGTTCCTGAAAATAGTATATACCAACATAGATGGAGTGAGATAAAATATATTGGAGTTGAAAGATATAATTCAACTCAAAGTCCCAGATATTGTTGCATTAACAGAGACGAAACTTGAAGAAAATATTTTAAATGAGGTCGTATTCCCAAGTGGCTACACAGTTTGGAGACGTGAGAAAACTGGGAAGGCGGGAGGAGTGGCTGTGCTGGTGAAAGAACACCTGAAGGTAAGAGAGTTAATAATTGAAAACTCTCGAGATATTGACATAATGACATTGTCTGGTCTCAGGATGAAAAGCTGATAATTTTAAATGCCTACAGCCCACCAGCAAGCAACACATGGACAAAGGAAGAACTGGATGACAAACAAGAGGGCCTCATAATGGTCATGAGAGAAATTATGGTAAGAGCTGACAAAGATAAATCCCGATTGTTGGTACTCGGGGACTTCAACTTTAAGGCAATAGACTGGAAGGCCTACGAGGCAAGAACGGAAGACATTTGGACAGGCAGATTTGTAAACCTCATCTTGGAGACATTCATGTATCAACACATCAAGCAGGCCACAAGAATGAGGGGAGGGGATGTTCCGTCAGTACTGGATCTAGTATTCACCAGGAAAGAAGAAGAGGTATTTGACATCCAGCACCTTCCTCCCTTGGGAAAGAATAATCATGTCCTGTTGGACATTAAATATGCTTTGCGATATAATCTAGTAGAGAATGGGGACATTGAAACAGTTGATAAACTCGATTTCAAGAAAGGACGCTACGGGGAACTTAGACAACTTGTTCATGGGTATAAATGGACGGACTTGTTGCTAGGCAAGGAAGTAAATGACATGTAGGCCATATTTTGCGAAATATACGATGAAGGCACACAAACATTCATACCAAAACAGACATGCAGACCTGGGAAACAGGGTTGGTTCAACAGAAATTGTGAGAGGGCCAGAGATCAAAAGACACAAGCATGGAATCATTATAGAAAGAGGTCAAACCCCCAAACATACCAGCGATACAAAGGTGCGAGAAACAACTACACGTCAGTAAGGAGAGAGGCAGAGAGGAACTTTGAGAACGGTATAGCAGACAAATGTAAATCAGATCCAGGCCTTTTCTATAAATTCATTAAAAGCAAGCTGCAGGTAAAGGGTAATATTTAGAGGTTAAAAATGGGGGACAGATACACGGAAAATGAAAATAAAATGTCTGAAGCATTTAAACGAAAAGTTCCAAAGTGTATTTGTACAAAACTAAGTCTTCAAGGAACCAGACACAATAAGAATTCCAGAGAACGACATAGAGCACATAGAGGTTTCTAGAGACGAAGTAAAAAAAATACTCTTAGAGCTAAGCAAGAACAAAGCAGTTGGTCCAGATGGAGTTTCATCATGGGTACTGAGAGAATGTGCACCTGAGCTCAGCATTCCACTTCAGCTGGAATGGCATCCCTGGAATTTCAGGCATCCTTGCGTACAGGAGTCATAGCAGATGTGTGGGAAAAGGCTAACATAGTTCCAATCTACAACAGTAGCAGCGACACCTGGAGAGAAACGATGATAATAAATATAATATCTGGCAGACAGTATGGTTTTCGATCTGGAAGATCCTGTTTATCGAATTTACTCAGTTTATATGACCGAGCCACGGAGATTTTACAGGAAAGAGATGGTTGGATTGACTGCATCTATCTGGACCGAAAAAAGGCTTTCGACAACCTCTTATGTCCATCAGAGCATAAGAGGTTGTTCTGAAAACTGAAACATATTGGAGGGGTGACAGGATGGCGAAATACTAAAGAAATTGTTCACGACTTGTTAGACCAAAGCTAGAATATGCAGCGGTTGTATGGTACCCATATCTTAAGAAGCACATCAACAAACTTTAAAAGATGCAAAGACATGCCACTAAGTGGCTCCCAGAACTGAAGGACAAGAGCTACGAGGAGAGGTTACAGGCACTAAATATGCCAAAACTAGAAGATAGAAGAAAAAGAGGAGATATGATCACCACGTACAAAATAGTAACAGGACTCGATAAAATTGATTGTCGCTTGTCCACAGCTGTCTCTTCCCTCCCATTGTCTAACACCATCACCTCTATCACCTGGTGTCTTCCATCACTATGTGTCCTGGTGTCTTCCATCACTATGTGTCCTGGTGTCTTCCATCACTGTGTCCTGGTGTCTTCCATCACTGTGTGTCCTGGTGTCTTCCATCACTATGTGTCCTGGTGTCTTCCATCACTGTGTGTCCTGGTGTCTTCCATCACTATGTGTCCTGGTGTCTTCCATCACTGTGTCCTGGTGTCTTCCATCACTGTGTCCTGGTGTCTTCCATCACTGTGTCCTGGTGTCTTCCATCACTGTGTGTCCTGGTGTCTTCCATCACTGTGTGTCCTGGTGTCTTCCATCACTGTGTGTCCTGGTGTCTTCCATCACTATGTGTCCTGGTGTCTTCCATCACTGTGTCCTGGTGTCTTCCATCACTGTGTCCTGGTGTCTTCCATCACTGTGTGTCCTGGTGTCTTCCATCACTGTGTGTCCTGGTGTCTTCCATCACTATGTGTCCTGGTGTCTTCCATCACTGTGTGTCCTGGTGTCTTCCATCACTATGTGTCCTGGTGTCTTCCATCACTGTGTCCTGGTGTCTTCCATCACTGTGTCCTGGTGTCTTCCATCACTGTGTGTCCTGGTGTCTTCCATCACTATGTGTCCTGGTGTCTTCCATCACTATGTGTCCTGGTGTCTTCCATCACTGTGTCCTGGTGTCTTCCATCACTGTGTCCTGGTGTCTTCCATCACTGTGTCCTGGTGTCTTCCATCACTGTGTGTCCTGGTGTCTTCCATCACTGTGTGTCCTGGTGTCTTCCATCACTGTGTGTCCTGGTGTCTTCCATCACTATGTGTCCTGGTGTCTTCCATCACTGTGTCCTGGTGTCTTCCATCACTGTGTCCTGGTGTCTTCCATCACTGTGTCCTGGTGTCTTCCATCACTATGTGTCCTGGTGTCTTCCATCACTGTGTCCTGGTGTCTTCCATCACTGTGTCCTGGTGTCTTCCATCACTGTGTGTCCTGGTGTCTTCCATCACTGTGTGTCCTGGTGTCTTCCATCACTGTGTGTCCTGGTGTCTTCCATCACTGTGTGTCCTGGTGTCTTCCATCACTGTGTGTCCTGGTGTCTTCCATCACTGTGTCCTGGTGTCTTCCATCACTGTGTGTCCTGGTGTCTTCCATCACTGTGTGTCCTGGTGTTTTCCATCACTGTGTGTCCTGGTGTTTTCCATCACTGTGTGTCCTGGTGTCTTCCATCACTGTGTCCTGGTGTCTTCCATCACTGTGTGTCCTGGTGTCTTCCATCACTGTGTGTCCTGGTGTCTTCCATCACTGTGTCCTGGTGTCTTCCATCACTGTGTGTCCTGGTGTCTTCCATCACTGTGTCCTGGTGTCTTCCATCACTGTGTGTCCTGGTGTCTTCCATCACTGTGTGTCCTGGTGTGTTCCATCACTGTGTGTCCTGGTGTTTTCCATCACTGTGTGTCCTGGTGTTTTCCATCACTGTGTGTCCTGGTGTCTTCCATCACTGTGTGTCCTGGTGTCTTCCATCACTGTGTGTCCTGGTGTCTTCCATCACTGTGTGTCCTGGTGTCTTCCATCACTGTGTGTCCTGGTGTCTTCCATCACTGTGTGTCCTGGTGTCTTCCATCACTGTGTGTCCTGGTGTCTTCCATCACTGTGTGTCCTGGTGTCTTCCATCACTGTGTGTCCTGGTGTTTTCCATCACTGTGTGTCCTGGTGTTTTCCATCACTGTGTGTCCTGGTGTTTTCCATCACTGTGTCCTGGTGTTTTCCATCACTGTGTCCTGGTGTCTTCCATCACTGTGTCCTGGTGTTTTCCATCACTGTGTCCTGGTGTCTTCCATCACTGTGTCCTGGTGTCTTCCATCACTGTGTGTCCTGGTGTCTTCCATCACTGTGTGTCCTGGTGTCTTCCATCACTGTGTGTCCTGGTGTTTTCCATCACTGTGTCCTGGTGTTTTCCATCACTGTGTCCTGGTGTTTTCCATCACTGTGTCCTGGTGTCTTCCATCACTGTGTCCTGGTGTTTTCCATCACTGTGTGTCCTGGTGTCTTCCATCACTGTGTGTCCTGGTGTCTTCCATCACTGTGTGTCCTGGTGTCTTCCATCACTGTGTGTCCTGGTGTCTTCCATCACTGTGTGTCCTGGTGTCTTCCATCACTGTGTGTCCTGGTGTCTTCCATCACTGTGTGTCCTGGTGTCTTCCATCACTGTGTCCTGGTGTCTTCCATCACTGTGTGTCCTGGTGTCTTCCATCACTGTGTGTCCTGGTGTTTTCCATCACTGTGTGTCCTGGTGTCTTCCATCACTGTGTGTCCTGGTGTCTTCCATCACTGTGTGTCCTGGTGTCTTCCATCACTGTGTGTCCTGGTGTCTTCCATCACTGTGTGTCCTGGTGTCTTCCATCACTGTGTCCTGGTGTCTTCCATCACTGTGTGTCCTGGTGTCTTCCATCACTGTGTGTCCTGGTGTCTTCCATCACTGTGTGTCCTGGTGTCTTCCATCACTGTGTGTCCTGGTGTCTTCCATCACTGTGTGTCCTGGTGTCTTCCATCACTGTGTCCTGGTGTCTTCCATCACTGTGTGTCCTGGTGTCTTCCATCACTGTGTCCTGGTGTCTTCCATCACTGTGTCCTGGTGTCTTCCATCACTGTCCTGGTGTCTTCCATCACTGTGTGTCCTGGTGTCTTCCATCACTGTGTCCTGGTGTCTTCCATCACTGTGTGTCCTGGTGTCTTCCATCACTGTGTGTCCTGGTGTTTTCCTCACTGTGTCCTGGTGTCTTCCTATCGTTGTAGATTTGATAATTCATCTGTTTGTTGAGCTCTTGTAATCCGTTGAGTCCTCAGCCAACCACCGAAGACTCGTCAGTCAACCGGCTTTATTGTCTGCGCGCTCATTGGTCCAGGGGGGAGGGATGCACGTCTGAGGTACGGCCTGCTCGACCAATCAACTCTCATTATCGCCTATGATGTCATCCTGGAGGTATATAAGGGGGGCAGACCGGTCCTGGTCCAGTCACAACGTCTGGAACCTCGAACTGAAGAGCAGCCGTCGCGTCCTCCTCAGTTACCATGAGTATTCAGGTAGGGGCAAGACCTTATAGTTTAATGTTTTAACCGCTAGTTCTTGAGCTAGAGATGAGGATAATAGAGCAGAGGCTGCCGTTGACAGTACACCCATCACAGGGGAAAGGATCATAATGTGATTCTGACCAAGAGAATGTCTGCTGGAGGATGGAGGTGAGGTCTCGCGCTGTTTCCCCTCACACAACTTTCCGTCCTGAATTGTGATTGGATGGTGCGACTACAGGAGGGGTTAGGGGTCGACTACAATGCCCCCCCTTTAAGAAGGGTTGGTTCCCATTGAGTCAAAGTCCTGTAAATTCTGAAATGTGGGATGTATTATCCATAGAGTGTTTTCTACGTCATTTCATTGTTGTTATCGACGATGGCTCAACTGCTCACTAATCGCCCATGTTTTGCCCGCGAGAAGAGAGAGAAGAGGAGGGATCAAAGGAGTGGGAGGAAGAATAGGAGAAACGAATGGACAGAGACCCGGGCACTACCGGTTAACCCGTCTAGTCCATTAATACAATATAGAGAGCCGCCATCTGCAACAGCTCCCTTGACCAAAAAACAAATCTCTTGGAGTCTCTGGCCTCGTGCCACAACTTTGCATCTTTTTGCAAATTGTCTTTTTGCATTGTCTTCACTAAACAGCTCACAGGTTTTCTTCAGTCTCAGTCTCAAAGTTCCGTTTTCTAACATCTTCTCTCCAAGACTGCACTTCTAACTCTCTCTCCAAGACTGCACTTCTAACTCTCTCTCCAAGACTGCACTTCTAACTCTCTCCAAGACTGCACTTCTAACTCTCTCTCCAAGACTGCACTTCTAACTCTCTCTCCAAGACTGCACTTCTAACTCTCTCTCCAAGACTGCACTTCTAACTCTCTCCAAGACTGCACTTCTAACTCTCTCCAAGACTGCACTTCTAACTCTCTCTCCAAGACTGCACTTCTAACTCTCTCTCCAAGACAGCACTTCTAACTCTCTCTCCAAGACTGCACTTCTAACTCTCTCCAAGACTGCACTTCTAATTCTCTCCAATACTGCACTTCTAACTCTCTCTCCAAGACTGCACTTCTAACTCTCTCTCCAATACTGCACTTCTAACTCTCTCCAAGACTGCACTTCTAACTCTCTCCAAGACTGCACTTCTAACTCTCTCCAAGACTGCACTTCTAACTCTCTCTCCATAGATATCTCTCTATTTCCCTAGACATTTCTAGACTTCCCTAGACCCCCCTAGACCTCATCTTAGACTTCCCTAGACCCCCTAGACTTCCCTAGACCCCCCTAGACTTCCCTAGACATTTCTAGACTTCCCTAGACCCCCCTAGACCTCATCTTAGACTTCCCTAGACCCCCTAGACTTCCCTAGACCCCCCTAGACTTCCCTAGACATTTCTAGACTTCCCTAGACCCCCCTAGACCTCATCTTAGACCCCCCTAGACCCCCTAGACCCCCCTAGACCTCATCTTGGGTGCAGTCATTAAAGCACCTTTTGAACAGTTGTAAGTTTGGGTTTAGATTATCATCGTTACACTTTATTAAGGGAAACTTTTAGGAATAAAAGTTTTTAGGAATAAATGGGACACTTTAAGGAATAAAAACATAAGATTAGTAGATTGAAATAGAGACAATAATGTTCGGTGATTGTGATGGTGATTGTGGTGTGGTTATGATGGTGATTGTCTGATGGTGTGTGTGGTAATTGTGATGGTGAGTATACTGTACTACAGAGTACAGGTGAGGTTATATATACTAGCATTACAGAGTACAGAATAGACCATGGAGCTGTCCAGCAAAGAACAGAGATTATATGTACTTGTATTACAGAGTACATTGTGTATCTGTGCTACAGAGTACAGAGGCTGTGTACCTACCTTTGTATCAAGAATACACAACCTCTGTACTCTGTAGTACTTGTATTACAGAGTACATTGTGTATCTGTGCTACAGAGTACAGAGGCTGTGTACCTACCTTTGTATTAAGAATACACAACCTCTGTACTCTGTAGTACTTGTATTACAGAGTACATTGTGTATCTGTGCTACAGAGTACAGAGGCTGTGTACCTACCTTTGTATTAAGAATACACAACCTCTGTACTCTGTAGTACTTGTATTACAGAGTACAACGTACTTTTTAACATTTGTACACAGCGTGGCGGATGTATGATGATCCTGGTCTTGGTGATGTCGTCCCTGGCGGATCCTCTTCACGCTGTGCCCAAGAGAGTCGCTAATAGGATGGTGCCCTCTTGGTGGTCCACAGGTGAGCTATGACCTCAGCTGGTGGTCCACAGGTGAGCTATGCCCCCAGCTGGTGGTCCACAGGTGAGCTATGACCTCAGCTGGTGGTCCACAGGTGAGCCATGCCCCCAGCTGGTGGTCCACAGGTGAGCTATGACCTCAGCTGGTGGTCCACAGGTGAGCCATGCCCCCAGCTGGTGGTCCACAGGTGAGCTATGACCTCAGCTGGTGGTCCACAGGTGAGCCATGCCCCCAGCTGGTGGTCCACAGGTGAGCTATGCCCCCCAGCTGGTGGTCCACAGGTGAGCTATGCCCCCAGCTGGTGGTCCACAGGTGAGCTATGCCCCCAGCTGGTGGTCCACAGGTGAGCTATGCCCCCAGCTGGTGGTCCACAGGTGAGCCATGCCCCCAGCTGGTGGTCCACAGGTGAGCCATGCCCCCCAGCTGGTGGTCCACAGGTGAGCTATGCCCCCAGCTGGTGGTCCACAGGTGAGCCATGCCCCCAGCTGGTGGTCCACAGGTGAGCCATGCCCCCAGCTGGTGGTCCACAGGTGAGCCAATCACCTGTGGACACCTGCCACATCTCAATTTCTAATAAACAATTATGCATATCTATCCATAGTCGCTTGTGTTTATCTAAGTAAAATCCCTTAAAGTTTTAATGGTATTTTCAAACTTTCTTTTTAAGTAGGCGTTATTAAGTATAAAGTTGATCATAAGTCTGTGTTCTATTGTTCTAATTTACTGAAATTACGTCAATATCTTATTGAAGATGATAAAGGCATCTGAACTCGAACATAAACAAGAGACATATTTTCCAGGTCTCAACTGAAACTTTATAAGTATTAATGACTCCAATGTTTTGCTTCTCGTATCCTGCTGTGATTAGTTTAAATATTAATTTCCCTAATAGAGTCCATTTCCACATCTTAAGCATGTTTGTTGAAGCAATAATATACCTAAATCAACACCCAATGTTTAAACCCAGCTCTCTGTTACATATCTGCACTGTAGCTAAACTTCATTTATCTGTAGATAAACCATAATAAGTTTGAAAGCTGCCCAGCTTAGTCTGATATTTGGTCCATAACCTGACCTCACTCACGCCATTCCTCCCGTGAGCAAAGCTGAACAGTACTGATAAACAGTGAACCTTCGGGGAAGTTGGTAACAGTGAATGAACGGCAACGTTGTGACACAGTGAATTAACGTCTAACAACGTTGATTCTCTGTGGTTTAAACGTTGTTGGATGACGTTAACAATGTTGATTCTCTGTGGTTTAAACGTTGTTGGATGACGTTAACAATGTTGATTCTCTGTGGTTTAAACGTTGGTGGATGACGTTTGTACAAGAATTAACAGTGTGGGGGTGTGTATGGTGGGGTCCCACAGCCAAGAATGTGTGCTGGTCGGCGTCGGACTGTGAGCCCGGGGAGTGCTGTGCCAGGCCTATGCTTTCCTCCAAGGCCTACTGTATGCCCCTGAGGGACCGGGGTCAGGTCTGTGATGCCTCGCCTCTCATGCTCGACTTCGCCAAGCAGGTCAGTTGCCGCGTGTTGACATACCGTTGTAAAGCTGGTTAAGTGACTGTCTTGATTCTCAAGCTGGTCTAAGTTACGTCTGTTGAGAGACTTTACGTAATGGAAGGGATGTTAAGTTGTCTTAAAAGTTAATAATGTGAATTATGACGTTGTTGTGAGTTGAGATGAGGCGTCTGATGCTGCTTCCGCCCCTCCGACAGGTATACTTCAGCGACTGTCCGTGCCAGTACGACCTGGTGTGTGCCTCCCTCAGCAACAAGTCCAAGTCTCAGTGTGTCGACCTTCGCACCCTCGAAGTCGATTACCGACGCCTCGCTGCCATGAACCTTCCGCCCCTGAGCGAGAACCACTGAACCACCTCCTCCTCCTCCTCCTCCTCCTCCTCCTCCTCCTCCTCCTCCAGTCTTCACCCTCCATCCTTGAGGCTGTGCGGCTCTACATCCACTTGACCTGCCAGTGACGAGGTCCACCTCCACTATCACCTCTGAGCTGCTCCAAGACCAACTGCTCCAAGACCAACTGCTCCAAGTCTCTCGGCAGGTTTTGAATGCCTCAAATGCCTCGTTTGGACCACTTAGAACTACCTCAGGGACTAATTCTCACCATCTCAAGGACCACGTCTAAATGCCTCAAAGACCATTGCAAACCTTTAAAAGCGCTTTCTCTAATTATCATAACTTTTCTATGCCCCGTGGTCCATTTCTGACCTCACATGGGGTCCATTTCTCACCTCTTTAAACTCGGTTCCCGCTTTCGATGGCCACTTTCTGGCCTCTCAGACACCCTCTCTGTCTTCTCCAAAGACTACCTCTCATTACACGTCTACAGGTCCACATATTATAGGTCCGTATCCTTTAGTCACACGTCTGAAAATTTCAAGGCTTCTTCCAAAACCTATTTCTGACCTCCTTAAGTCTACTTCTAACCACTACAAGACTCACTTCTAACCATTCCAAGGCACATCTTTGCACATTACAAGTTTCGCGTCTGACAAGATGCTTTTCTGACCAGTCCGAGGGCCACTTCTGGCCGCCATAGGACCACTTCTCGCTAACGACCACAAGGACAACTCCTGACCACCTCTAATTGTCACGAGAACCACCTTCAGCCATGCCGAGGACGACTCAGTCATCTTAAGGATGGCATTCTACCTCAAGGACGACCTCATGCCATCTTGAAGATGACCTCCAACGATCTTGTGAGTACCTTCCACCCGCTCATGAGGAAGACAAACGGGTACCATCACACTAAATCAAAAAGATGAATGGAAGAAAATCACCCGGCATGATGTGGACCTCATCAATCGCATGTGGCTGTCAATCTCTTTCCGCAGGGTATTCATCACGTCTGCCTCACATGCCTTAGGCCACATACTGACGGTGTGTGCTTCTATACCCCTGTCCACCGAGGTCAATACGACAGGCGGTTGTGTCCCTGTCAAAATAACAGCGTCCGTGGCGTCGGCTGGACTTCGAGCTGGTGTCGACGAGCCCGGGAACCTGGGCAAGACTTCCAGGAGCCTCCCATCCACCACAGGAGCTGAGACTGCCAATACGTGTTCTTCAGGAGACATCATGGTGACGAGGGCGGTGGATACCGTGTTACTGGCGGGGTGGGCAGGCCAGACGGCGTTCACTGCTTCCCTGGTGGCGTTCATAGATCCACAAGAGGCGTTCACAGCTCACTAGATGGCGTTCACAGCTCTCAAGGTGGCGTTCATTGCTTCCCAGGTGGCGTTCACAGCTCTCAAGGTGGCGTTCATTGCTTCCCAGGTGGCGTTCACAGCTCTCAAGGTGGCGTTCATTGCTTCCAAGGCGACGTTCACATTCTCAACCCTATCCACCTCATGCTTTGGTCCGGCTAGTCAATACAAAACAATGATAACCCAACACCGATGAGTTTCATTACCCCTAACACCATTACCTTGTACCACAATCCCAGCAAACACATAATGTAAACACAACGTTTGTATACGTTATCACGGCGTCACAACGTCGTATCAACGTAATAACGAATAACGTCGTGGGTTACGTTTCGTGTTTGCAGAGTCACTCAGCAACGGAGGATGAGGCTTTACGCAGCAAGGAATGTTGAAGGAGGTTTCAACTCTGCTGCCAGAACCACGTAAACAAAGACCCCCAGATGCGTCCTAGCCGGTAAAACATGCTCCATCAATCGCATCAACGCTGGATCAACTGTTGGTGGCCCTCAAGGCTTCCTGTCCCCGTTGTGGCCACGACGGGGCCATCTCTAGTGGCCAGGGCCGATGGCCCTGTACCTCAGGTAAACTCTGAAATGTGTGTATACATTGTAACCTAACCTAACCGATATTGAGAACATTGGCCATTCAGAGAATATATTTGCATATATCTAGATAATCTGAGTGCAGTGAGAACAATTGTGGTTATACCGATAGATTGGTTATAGCAACCAGGATTGTGGATATACCAATAGACTAGATATAAGCTCATCCCCTACGAATATACCGAGCTAGACTATAAATATACTGATAATTATCATGGATATATTAAATTAACTGTTGGTATACTGAGAATGAGTATCATTATACTGAGAAAACTGTGGATATACCTATGGTGAAATTTGGTATAATTAAAAAGGTTATCGGTATACTAATATATAATGTGGATATACTGAGGACTGTAGGCATAAAACACGAGCTGAGTATGCGAAAGATTGGGTATACTGAGAATAATAGGATATACTGTGAATGATTGGAGATACTGAGAGAGAGAGAGAGAGAGAATGAATATACCGAGAATATAACTTGATAAGAATGGTAGGATATGCCGAGAATCACAGGATATGCTGAGAATCACAGGATATGCTGAGAATCACAGGATATGCTGAGAATCACAGGATATGCTGAGAATCACAGGATATGCTGAGAATCACAGGATATGATGAGAATCACAGGATATGCTGAGAATCACAGGATATGCTGAGAATCACAGGATATGATGGGAATCACAGGATATTATGAGTATACCCTCCTAGTATACCCTTCACAGTCATGGGTATGTTGACCTCTGCTCTCCACACCCCTTCATCATATTCCCCATTCCTAATTTACTCTCCACTCACCATACTATCGTTTCGTGGACATGTCCCACTATCGTGGGAGGGGACTCCTGGAAGGGCAGTGTGGGAGAGGACTGTAGGAGGGAACACACGCGCCAGTTACTGACTCAAGCAGCAGTGGAGGCTTGTAAGACGCTGTGAGAGTCTTGAGAGTCTTCAAGTAAGAGCTCAGGCGAGTGTGATGACAATAGTGGCGTGATTGGTCAAGAGGGTTGTGACTTCACAGAGCGGAGGGTATATATAGGAGCGGGAACACTGCTGGCTTCCAGTCCTCCACAGGATAACGTCTTACACACTACACTACTGGTGAGGTCTTTTATATGTATTAAATATTAGCCCCTAAGGCAGGAGCCCCTAAGGCAGGAGCCCCTAAGGTAGGAGCCCCTAAGGTGGACGCCCCTAAGGCAGGAGCCCCTAAGGTAGGAGCCCCTAAGGTGGACGCCCCTAAGGTAGGAGCCCCTAAGGCAGGAGCCCCTAAGGCAGAAGCCCCTAAGGCAGAAGCCCCTAAGGTAGGAGCCCCTAAGGTAGGAGCCCCTAAGGTAGGAGCCCCTAAGGTAGGAGCCCCTAAGGCAGAAGCCCCTAAGGCAGAAGCCCCTAAGGCAGAAGCCCCTAAGGCAGAAGCCCCTAAGGCAGGAGCCCCTAAGGTAGGAGCCCCTAAGGTAGGAGCCCCTAAGGTAGGAGCCCCTAAGATGTGTTAGTGGTAGGACATATCTCTGCAAGCTGGTTGTAAATAATTGGATGAAAGTGTTTGATGTAAAGTACTTGTGCTATGTCCAGGTCCTGTTGATGCTGTACCGGTGTCGCAGGTCAAGGAGCAGCGTGTCCTGACATGGGCATGTCTCAAGGTTATTTCCTTGCTGACAGAGAGCGTGATGAGTGTGGGCGCCGAGCGTAGAGCACTGTGGGTGTGGGTGGTGGTCGCAGGCATACTTGTGGGCACCACCGTGGGCATACCCTCTCGTGTGGCCAACAGGATGATACCCAGCTGGTGGGTCAATGGTAGGGGCACTATTATACCCGTCTGTACCTGTACTTCCACCCGTCACACTCACCTGTACCCCTGTACCACCCGTCACACTCACCTGTACCCCTGTACCACCCGTCACACTCACCTGTACCCCTGTACCACCCGTCACACTCACCTGTACCCCTGTACCACCCGTCACACTCACCTGTACCCCTGTACCACCCGTCACACTCACCTGTATCCCTGTACCACCCGTCACACTCACCTGTACCCCTGTACCACCCGTCACACTCACCTGTACCCCTGTACCACCCGTCACACTCACCTGTACCCCTATACCACCCGTCACACTCACCTGTACCCCTGTACCACCCGTCACCTGTACCCCCCTGTACCACCAGCTTCACTCACCCATAACATTCATCTGTTCCCTCCCATCATAACGGAACCTTCCGGTGAGACATGACGCTGAGGCACCTGTCATATCCTTAAACATCTGCCACGCCCTATACCAGTCGTGAGACTCCAGTAACAGGTGTGTGTGTGTGTGGTCATATTGCAGCCCGGACGAAGAACACGTGTGTGACGTGGGCGGACTGTGGGCCGGGGCGGTGCTGCGTGCGACCCATGCTGGCTACGAACAGTTACTGTCTGCCCTACAAGACCCGGGGCCAGATCTGTGACGCCTCCGCCATCCTTGTAGACGTCGAGAACGAGGTGAGTCTCGGTGGGAGCCCTCACATGTGTATACCAGGTCATGCTTCTGCTCCTGGGCCCCGCCTTGCGCTCATCACTAGTTTTATACAATAACTTTTTAACTAGTTTGCTCTATCATGTGTACATGAGGAACTGTGTATCGTAGTGTCCTCGACGAGCTCCTGTGGTAACCTGCTCCAGCAGCTTGCCACACTGAGGCTGAAGTAGTTCCTCCACTTGTTGGCTCCCTCCTGAGAGGTACTCCTCCACTCAACGAAATATTCTTCCCAACACACCAAGCAGGTTTGGCAGTGTTTACGGCAGTCACTTGTGAGGAATATTGTCAAAAGCTTTCTGGCAATCCTGGAAAATGCAGCTTGTCCAGTTCTTTCTCTCTCCACTTTGACTGTCCACATCTTCCGTAGAGCTCCTAGTTGGTTGGTCAAGCAGGATTTCCATTGGTTCACAGTTCATATGCTCTAAGTGTTCACCGTGCCTTTATATCTATATCTATATCTAATAGCTTCCAGCAGATGGCTGTTAGTTATAACGATCTGTAGTTCAGTGGCTCATGTCTTTTTCCTTTTCTTATATATATAGGTGTCACATTAGCCAATATCCAGATATCAGTTCCCCAGTTCTAGTGAGGAGTTGAAGACTGTAGCAAGAGGTCCGCACAGTGCTGCAGCTGCTTCTTTGAGTACCCAGGGAGCGACCTTGTCACAGTCTGAGGCCGTCATCACATCCAGCTCCTCTCACTGCTTCCTCTCACTCACCTCTATTGTAGTTCTTCCTCTAGAAGGGTCTGGGACAGTGTTTGTTCCAGGCAGTTTGTTCCAGGCAGTGTTTGTTCCAGGCAGTGGTTAAATAAATTTACTTAGTTGTGCCCTGAAAACATTCTTCTATAATTTTCCCTTTGTTAGATTTATTCTCTAATATATGTGTCTGTATAGCTGTATATACTTATAATCTTCCCTTGTCCCCTGAGGCATCAGTCATGGGAGCCGGTCTGGACTTGTGATCCTGTGGTCCCGGGTTCGATCCCGGGCGCCGGCGAGAAACAATGGGCAGAGTTTCTTTCACCCTATGCCCCTGTTACCTAGCAGTAAAATAGTACCTGGGTGTTAGTCAGCTGTCACGGGCTGCTTCCTGGGGGTGGAGGCCTGGCCGAGGACCGGACCGCGGGGACACTAAAGCCCCGAAATCATCTCAAGATAACCTCAAGATAACCTCCTTGCTGTGTTAACAATATCCCAGCCACAAGTATTCCTAAGATGTTGAGTAGATTAAAGTCGTAGATAGCACAGAAAGAGGCGTAGATGTGCATGTGAGAAGTAGAATTAGTTAGCATTTAGTTACACAACTCCCCGTCATTACAAATATACTTGCTCACCTGTACCGCCCTTGTCCACAGGTGTACTTCGACCACTGCCCGTGTGAGAGGCACTTGAACTGTGCCAACTTGCACTCCAGCAGTGTGTGTGTCGACCCTGAGGCCCTCCAGCAGCTCGTCCTCAGCCCCTCACCACAGTCCATCAAACTGTAGTGTCTGGCACTCTGATTCACCACCACCACCACTATGACGCAGCCAAACACCGCATACTGACCCGAGATGACATCACAAACACCTGTCAACTAACACCACACCTGTCAACTAACAACTGTCAACACCACAACTGTCAACTAACACCACGCCTGTCAACTAACACCACGCCTGTCAACTAACACCACGCCTGTCAACTAACACCACAACTGTCAACACCACAACTTTCAACTAACACTACACCTGTCAACACCACAACTGTCAACACCACAAGTGTCAACTAACACCACACCTGTCAACTTACACCACAACTATCAACACCACAACTGTCAACTAACACTACACCTGTCAACACCACAACTTTCAACACCACAACTGTCAACTAACACTACACCTGTCAACACCACAACTGTCAACACAACTGTCAACTAACACCAAGCCAGTCATATAGCCTCTCAGTGACATCATCAATGACGTTATTGGGTCAGTGACGTCATCGATGACGTTATTGGGTCAGTGACGTCATCGATGATGCAATTGGATCGTTGACGTCATCGATGACGTTGTTGAGATTTTCCCCCTTGGCGGCCCGGCAGGAGAGGCAAGCGAGCCGTAGCCCCATCGCTGAAGCTCGACCCTTGGAGGACCAGCGTCGTGCCTCTTATATGGCTGACACGGTCCTGTGTAATTGGAGGGTGACCTCGGGCACCGGGCGAGGGGGGCGGGGTATGGCCCTGGCACCCCCCCCCCCAGTGCCAGCTCCCAGTACAATAATAATGCATTAAAAAGATGAAAAATCTGCCCACAGGTGTACTTAATTTCCTTCCTCACTTTGGCACCCACCAGCTCTTGGCACCAGAGTGATCACAGGCACTCTGGCACCGGCCTGCTTGGCACCAGAGAGTGATCACCGGCACTCTGGCACACAGAGTTTTGGCAGGAAATTGCACTATCAACTGACCAGCAAATGATATAACATACAGTGCAATTTTTTGTCAATAGATGGCCTCAGTGATCAGCTGGCCATCAGCACCCCATAACATATATCTAATGCCATCTATTGGGGAAAATGTACACTATCAACAGACCTGCCCTTAAAATACAACTTATGCCATCTGTTGGCGGGAAATTACACCATTAACTGGCCTAGAGCTTCCCATAACATACATCTGATGCCATCTGTTGGCAGGAAATTGTACTATCAGCTGGCCAATAGCAGCCCATAACATACATCTGATGCCATCTGTTGGCAGAAAATTGTACTATCAGCTGGCCAATAGCAGCCCATAACATACATCTGATGCCATCTGTTGGCAGGAAATGGTACTATCAGCTAGCCAATAGCAGCCCATAACATACATCTGATGCCATCTGTTGGCAGGAAATGGTACTATCAGCTACCCATAACGTACATCTGCTGCCATCTGTTGGCAGAAAATTGTACTATCAGCTGGCCAATAGCAGCCCGTAACATACATCTGTTGGCAGGAAATGGTACTATCAGCTATAGCTTAGTCAAATTTCTGTGGATCCCATCCCATGTTGGAATCTTAGAAATGAACGAGTAGAGGTGCTGAAAGGGACTATTTAACTTTTCGTACAAGACTTCTTCACATTAAAGGAATTATCAGGCAAGTTTTTTAGGCCAGCTGATAGTACCATTTTCTGCCAACAGATGGCATCAGATGTTTGTTATGGGCTGCTATTGGCCAATAGCAAGTAACTAAACTAACTCGGTACGTTGGTACAATGTGGTTGCAAAAGTTAATTCCAATCAATATGGACGAAGAGGTGGTGGTCGCGGGAGAGATCAGTATTAGCAAGAATCCGTCTTGGATTAATATCCATGTAGATTCGGAATGGAAACGGTTAAGAGTGGCAGAAATTGAGTGACGGACACCGCCTTGACCACAAAGTGTATGAATGTCACTTGTAATGTGTATTTTTGTTGTTAAGGTTCGCTACCTAGAACATGAAGTTCTAAGCAGCACGGGCTATGGTGAGCCCGTTGTAATGTGTAGAAAAATAAAATCTACATTGAATTGGGGGGAAAAACTGTCAAATAATGGTCTTGAGATTCCCATATCTTGCACCCGCAAGATAAGATAAGATTAGTTTAGTGTTCTTGTTTAAGAAACTCTTCACTTGAGGCAGTTAAGCAAGTCCCAGCTGTGTCTGGGTACAAGTGACAGGGTGAACAACCCAGCGGGTTTTCTTCCTATTGGGGAGTGTTGTACATGCTGCTATGGCGGTATGTCCACTCGCAGGATGAGTGGCGCTGCCTAATAAACTCGCCCCTCGGGGCAAAATTTAAAACTATACACTGTCTGTCACCTTGTCTTATATAATATATATACGCACAAAAGTACACAGAATTGGTTTACCTTTCTTGCAAAGTCACTAACATGTACAGCGTTTCAAGAAGGTCCTTAATTTAACAGATAATTTTAAGTAAGGTAGTTTCTAGAAAAACTCAATGTGAAAGTGCAGTGTAAGAATGAGATCAGTAGGTATGTTATTGTAAAATTTGAGGGTTTTAAACGGGTACATTGCAGCATAATTTGAACATTATTCGACTTGAGAATGGTCCAGGACGGACCGAAACGTCGTCGTCCCTTCACCTTCTAGTGTGTGGTCTGGTCAACATATGAAAGGAAAGCAGATATCCATAGATGCGATGCCTTCTACAATATTCAGAGTGCAGGATATCAACAGCTCTCAGATATCCTTTCATTGTCGTCAGGATCAAGGATATCCAAAAGAATGCTCATAAACAAGGAATAATTGAGTGAATAACTCTTGTTTAAATAAATATATATATATAGCTGTTCAGTATGATGCATCACACAGCTAGCCGGTAATTTTTCGGCAAAAACCTTTTGTTTTCTTTTGATTTTTAATTACCTTATTTCCTATAGAAACAGAAAATAGTCAATGATTAAATCAAATAATAAAAAACTGACCAAACGATAGAAACAAGCATGATGCCTCGGAACATGACGGCCACACAGCTCAGCGGTCAGTTAAATCAGTAAATAATTGTCAGGAGATGGCGCAAAGCGGAGCTGCCACGGAAAAATCGCCACCTCGGCGAAATCGTCATTTTTCACAAAACTCAAAATCAAAACCAGCCATAGAATCGTTTTCAAAATGCTACCATTAGAATTACCGCACCTCTGGACGTTTCTTTCTATTAACTCTTTCTTTGCTAATTTGCAAAATTAAGCCTTTTACACATATATTTACCGAGATACAGCCAATTCAAATATCAAACATATCATCATGTTTTCTCAACATATTATTAAGAAAAATGAGTTGATGAGCAAGTAATAATAATTATAATGAGCCTAATAATAAATGGATATTAAAAAATTATGAATTTATTTCTTCGTCATTTATGTAGACACTTTTTTATATCTTCAAGCCTATAACAGCCTACAATCACTGTGTAGAAAATTTATCTGTCTACAATGTCATCAGAATGTTGGATATCCACTGGAGAGTCCTGCCTGAATCAGGATGTTCATTATCCACTGAAGAAAGTCCTGACAGAATCAGGATATTCGATATCCACTGGAGAGAGTCCTACCTGAATCAGGATGTTGGATGTCCACTGGAGAGAGTCCTGCCTGAAACAGGATGTTGGATACCCACTGGAGAGAGTCCTCGTTGAATCAGGATGTTGTATATCCACTTGAGAGACTCCTGCCTCAGTAAGGATATTGAATCTCCACTGGAGAGAGTCCTGCCTGAATCAGAATGTTTGATATCCACTGGAGAGAATCTTGGTTGAATCAGGATCTTCGATATCCACTGGAGAAAGTCCTACCTGAATCAGGATGGTGGATGTCCACTGGAGAGAGTCCCGCCTCAAGCAGGATGTTGGATATCCACTGGAGAGAGGCCTGGTCGAATTAGGATATTCGATATCCACTGGAGAAATCCTGCCAGAATCAGGATGTAGGATATCCACTGGAGAGAGTCCTGGTTGAATCAGGATATTCGATATCCACTGGAGAAAGTCCTGCCTGAATCAGGATGTAGGATATCCACTGGAGAGAGTCCTGCCTGAATCATGATGCTAGATATCCACTATGAGGAATTAGCCCTCATTATTTTAATCATATTGGATATCTCAGGATGTTGGATATCCTACATTATAATCAGGATGTAGAATACCCGCGAAGGAATCCGGCGACTGTAAAGTGTAGCCCTGCCTCAATCAGGATGTTGGATGTCCACCGGAGACAGTCCTTGTTGAATTAGGATATTCGATATCCACTGGAGAGAGACTTACCTGAAACAGGATATTCAATATCCACTGAAGGAAGTCCTGACAGAATCAGGATGTTGGATATCCACTGGAGAGAGTCCTGCTTGAATCAGGATGTTGGATATCCACTGGAGAGAGTCCTGCCTGAATCATGATGTCCACTATGAGGAATTTGCCCTCATTATTTTAATCATATTGGATATCTCAGGATGATGGACATCCTACAATATAATCAGGGGTGTAGATTACCCGCGGAGGAATCCGGCGACTGTAACGAGTAAATAGGAGTCCCACTGAGGCACAACATACCATAATTATATCAAAGGAAAGCAGATATACATCGATGCAATGCCTTCTACAATATTCAGAGTGCAGGATATCAATAGCTCTCAGATATGCTTTCATTGTCGTCAGGATCAAGGATATCCAAAAGAATGCTCATATACAAGGAATAATTGAGTGAATAACTCTTGTTTAAATAAATATATATATATAGCGGTTCAGTATGATGCATCACACAGCTAGCCGGTCATTTTTCGGCATAAACCTTTTGTTTTCTCTTGATTTTTAATTACCTTATTTCCTATAGAAACAGAAAATAGTCAATGATTAAATTAAATAAAAAACTGACCAAAAGATAGAAACAAGCATGATGCCTCGGGACATGACGGCCACACAGCTCAGCGGTCAGTTAAATCAGTAAATAATTGTCAAAAGATGGCGCAAAGCGGAGCTGCCACGGAAAAATCGCCACCTCGGCGAAATCGTCATTTTTCTCAAAACTCAAAATTAAAACCAGTCATAGAATCGTTTTCAAAATGCTACCATTAGAATTACCGCACCTCTGGACATTTCTTTCTGTTAACTCTTTCTTTGCTAATTTGCAAAATTAAGCCTTTTACACATATATTTACCGAGATACAGCCAATTCAAATATCAAACATATCATCATGTTCTCTCAACATATTATTAAGAAAAATGAGTTGATGAGCATGTAATAATAATTATAATGAGCCTAATAATAAATGGATATTAAAAAATTATGAATTTCTTTCTTCGTCATTTATGTAGACACTTTTTTATATCTTCAAGCCTATAACAGCCTACAATCACTGTGTAGAAAATTTTTCTGTCTACAATGTCATCAGAATGTTGGATATCCACTAGAGTGAGTCCTGCCTCAACCAGGATGTTGGATATCCACTGGAGAGTCCTGCCTGAATCAGGATATTTAATGTCCACTAGAGAGATTCCTGCCTGGATCATGATGCTAGATGTCCACTATGAGGTATTTGCCCTCATTATTTTAATCATATTGGATATCTCAGGATGATGGACATCCTACATTATAATCAGGATGTAGAATACCCGCGAAGGAATCCGGCGGCTGTAACAATAGGAGTCCCACTGAGGCACAACATACCATAATTATATCAAAGGAAAGCAGATATACATAGATGCAATGCCTTCTACAATATTCAGCGTGCAGGATATCAACAGCTCTCAGATATGCTTTCATTGTCGTCAGGATCAAGGATATCCAAAAGAATAATTGAGTCTCCCTCTAGTGGATATCTAACATCCTAATTCAGGCAGGACTCTCGCCATTTGATATCCAACAACCATATTCAACCAGGACTTTCTCCAGTGGATATCCAACATCCTGATTCAGACAGGACTCTCCAGTGGATATCGAACATCCTGGTTGAGGCAGGACTCACTCTAGTGGATATCCAACATCCTGATGACATTGTAGACAGAGAAATTTTCTACACAGTGATTGTAGGCTGTTATAGGCTTGAAGATATAAAAAAGTGTCTACATAAATGACGAAGAAAGAAATTCATAATTTTTTAATATCCATTTATTATTAGGTTCATTATAATTATTATTACATGCTCATCAACTCATTTTTCTTAATAATATGTTGAGAAAACATGATGATATGTTTGATATTTGAATTGGCTGTATCTCGGTAAATATATGTGTAAAAGGCTTAATATTGGAAATTAGCAAAGAAAGAGTTAACAGAAAGAAACGTCCAGAGGTGCGGTAATTCTAATGGTAGCATTTTGAAAACGATTCTATGGCTGGTTTTGATTTTGAGTTTTGTGAAAAATGACGATTTCGCCGAGGTGGCGATTTTTCCGTGGCAGCTCCGCTTTGCGCCATCTTTTGACAATTATTTACTGATTTAACTGACCGCTGAGCTGTGTCGCCATCAAGATGGCGCAAAGCGGAGCTGCCTCGGAAAAATCGCCACCTCGGCGAAATCGTCATTTTTCACAAAACTCAAAATCAAAACCAGCCATAGAATCGTTTTCAAAATGCTACCATTAGAATTACCGCACCTCTGGACGTTTCTTTCTGTTAACTCTTTCTTTGCTAATTTCCAATATTAAGCCTTTTACACATATATTTACCGAGATACAGCCAATTCAAATATCAAACATATCATCATGTTTTCTCAACATATTATTAAGAAAAATGAGTTGATGAGCATGTAATAATAATTATAATGAACCTAATAATAAATGGATATTAAAAAATTATGAATTTATTTCTTCGTCATTTATGTAGACACTTTTTTATATCTTCAAGCCTATAACAGCCTACAATCACTGTGTAGAAAATTTCTCTGTCTACAATGTCATCAGGATGTTGGATATCCACTAGAGTGAGTCCTGCCTCAACCAGGATGTTCGATATCCACTGGAGAGTCCTGTCTGAATCAGGATGTTGGATATCCACTGGAGAAAGTCCTGGTTGAATATGGTTGTTGGATATCAAATGGCGAGAGCTCTGCCACAATTAGGGTGTTGAATCTCCACTGGAGAGAGTCCTGCCAGAATCAGGATATTTAATGTCCACTGGAGATTCCTGCCTGGATCATGATGCTAGATGTCCACTATGAGGAATTTGCCCTCATTATTTTAATCATATTGGATATCTCAGGATGATGGATATCCTCATCTTTATTATGACGTGATGATAAGTGATGACAGTTCATCGCTTGAGCTGTCTTGAGGAGTCTCGTTGTTGGTGAATTTCATGTACTATTGTATGTACTACTGTACCTCTATCTTTAAATCTAACAATGTTTGTACTGTAACACTGCAACTATGTATGTACTGTAACTAAATAAATTATTATTAGTATTATGTTGAGTGTGGTGCACGCTGGACTTGTGATCCTGTGGTCCTGGGTTCGATCCCAGGCGCCGGCGAGAAACAATGGGCAGAGTTTCTTTCACCCTATGCCCCTGTTACCTAGCAGTAAAATAGTACCTGGGAGTTAGTCAGCTGTCACGGGCTGCTTCCTGGGGGTGGAGGCCTGGTCGAGGACCGGGCCGCGGGGACACTAAAGCCCCGAAATCATCTCAAGATAGCAAACAAATTACCAATCAAGCTGTCAGTGTAATCAATCAGAGCTTTAATATATCAATGTGCTTTAATCATTTATTACCTAGGTTGCCTAGCCTCGCCCTACTCCCTTACTCCATTGTACCCCTGTAAGCCCCTTGTAAGCTACCTCATTTTTTTCTTTTGTTGTTCATTTTGTGTTTGTTTTGTATAGTATTGTTTACATATTTTTCCCCCTTTTATAGCTTAATTCTACCTTGTAATTTGCCTTTCTTGCATTGTTTTCCTGCTATCAGCTTTTTTATGCAGATAAGTATAGACCCAGAACTAAACCTCTTATCCACTATCTATGACAATCATCACTTTAATGATCTAAATTGCAGATATTTTGCAGCACATGATGTAAACAATGTATTAACTCATAATCACAATATCTCTGTAATCAACTTGAACGTTAGATCCCTAGGTAAACACTTCGATGATGTTAGTGCCTTGATTGAAACTATTGACAACAAATTCTCTTTTATTATGCAGGCGATGAGTCACAATAACGTGGCTGAAGTATGTTGACCAGACCACACACTAGAAGTTGAAGGGACGACGACGTTTCGGTCCGTCCTGGACCATTCTCAAGTCGATTGTGATGAGGAGGTAGGGTCAGGCAATAAATAATTCTCCTTTATTATACTTACTGAAACATGGTTGAAAGAGGATACTACTTAACTCTTTAACATGCCTAACTACTCGGCAATTCACAACTGTCGTCAACTTCAGAGAGGTGGTGGCACTGCTCTTTACTACCACTAAGAACTAACATGCTTAAAAGAAATTAGAACTAGAGACTGCTATGGGGAGTATATCTTCGCCAGCTTCAGAGTCAAGGGTGCCGAGTCTGTCCTGTCTGTGGGTGCAGTCTATAGAATTCCTAACACTGATGTGTCCGAATTCAACTTAAACCTTAGAAACTAATACAGTACAGCATTTGCCTTTTTTTTCTCTTAATAATAATGCTTTCAGATTTGTGAATTGAGCATGACAAGCTATAAGAATACTTTGGAGGAGTTTTGAGCAACCCTTAAGCTGCACAGGATACTTACAAGAACTTACAAGAGCAATATAATTAGAATATCTGCCCCGTCAGCATATTGTCCTGTTTAGATGGTATTTATGGTAACGATTTGGACCATCTTACATATATTGATGTAATGGACAGTTACAAAGCAGAATTTGGACAAACTGGAAAAGGTTTTGTAGTAATTTTTAAGATGGTATACCATTAACTCACAAAGATACAAGCAGAAGAAGAATGAATGTTTGGCTGAAAAAGCAGGTAAACAAAGGGAATATCATTTTAGATCAAGAGAGCAGTAACTCTACCAGCAAAAGCAGTAGAGTTAGGTTACCAGCAAAAGCAGTAGAGTCAGGTTACCAGCAAAAGCAGTAGTCAGGTTACCAGCAAAAGCAGTAAATAGGTTACCAGCAAAAGCAGTAGAGTTAGGTTACCAGCAAAAGCAGTAGAGTTAGGTTACCAGCAAAAGCAGTAGAGTTAGGTTACCAGCAAAAGCAGTAGAGTTAGGTTACCAGCAAAAGCAGTAGAGTTAGGTTACCAGCAAAAGCAGTAGAGTTAGGTTACCAGCAAAAGCAGTAGTTAGGTTACCAGCAAAAGCAGTAGAGTTAGGTTACCAGCAAAAGCAGTAGAGTTAGGTTACCAGCAAAAGCAGTAGAGTTAGGTTACCAGCAAAAGCAGTAGAGTTAGGTTACCAGCAAAAGCAGTAGAGTTAGGTTACCAGCAAAAGCAGTAGAGTTAGGTTACCAGCAAAAGCAGTAGAGTTAGGTTACCAGCAAAAGCAGGAGAGGAGAGAGGAACAACCACAGAAGTGACCAGGATGAGAGCCAAGCATTGGTCTCCTGAAGACACACAAAGCGGTGAAAACTGAGAGATCAGAAGTTGGAGTTCCTGAAAATTGGTATAAAACCAAGTACTGTATATGTCACTCAAGAATAGATATAGCAAAGAACAGGGATAACAGAAAGAGAGAAAACTAAGGCAAAGAAGGACACAGAATACGAAAGAGGAGCAGGTTTAGTGAAATCAGGGTGGGATGGCACAGCTAAAGCCATCAAAGATGGTCAAGATAAACGCAACACATTGTGAAAGAAATGAACAGGTAGGCTGCAATGGCAATTCATTCTGAGGATTTACCTCCACAATCACACATAATTAGGTGAAAAGGGACTAATGTGGCAGAAATGTATACATGCCCCTTTTTTTCTATAACACTGCTGGGCTGACCCCTGGCAGCCAGCCAGGAAGTTCACAGGCTCTAAATATATTTTGTGTTTATATAAATATTTATTTTACTAATGCTGTATATGTGAAATTATTATTATTATATCTCTTATGGTCACTGGCAACTTTCTGACATCCAAGACTCAAACATGGATGGGATGAGTCTGTCAATGACTAACGGGCCATTAGACAGATCAGATCTGTACTACAGGTCCGTGCTTAGTTTACTAGCAGATACAGTATATATTCTCTACATCATTCGTTTCATAACACATTTAAGATGCCTGTCTTTTCTATATGCGTTAAACATTGACTGAAAGTGGCACACGCAGTTTAGATATGTGCAGCAAATGTCAAAGGGTCATGCTGATTTCAGCAGGCTAGTGTGTGACACTACCCAAATGGGTGACAGGAAATCAGTGATGCTGCTAACCAAACCTCTTCTCCTGGGCATGGTAGGAGCGCATCTTGAGACATTGGTGATCTTGCCGTAGCAGGAAATTTACCTGTAGGACACATTCTCCGAATATTATGATGAGAAAGGGTTTTCTGTCTTTGTAATTTGTCATTACAGGTATATGTCATATAAACTTAGTAACTAGTCTTATTAAATGTATTTGTACAGTGTTTAAATCAAATACAAATAAGTACAGGGGAATTTCTATGTTTTCTGTAATTTTCATCCCCATTGTTTGATGTGCAATTTCCCTCAAGCTAACCTGCCTTTGAGGAAGTAGCTCAACCTATAATTATGTGAAGTTTGAAGAAAATCAAGCAATATTTACCTCATCCACAGGTGGCACATGATTGATTTACTTACTCGCAATAGTACGATTGTACATCTTTAAAAAGGTTGGGTTTGATATTTGTAATAAAATTTAAACAAATTTTTCATATATATTCTTTGTATATTGTTATAATCTGGAAAGAGCAAATTTTAAATTACAAATTATATTTAGGGATTAATTTTGAAAAGTGCTGTTTTGAAGCAAAATGATGGTTCTCAGTCAACAACTACACATTTTTACATAATATCCTCTTCCATGTTGCTTTAGATTATTTTACTAGCTAACTATAATATTGTTAATATTGGTTAGAGATTTTATAATCTTGGATTTTTTAAATGTAATTTTTTTTTGTACTTTGTAATCCAAAAAACAGAGAATAAAAAATCAATGCTGAAACTTGGACTGGAGGTTCATCTTATAGATTAGATTTTGTAAATAAAGTTTGATAACAAAAAAATTGAAGTTTTTGAAAAGTTATACCCAGAAGGCTGAATATGTTTATATAATTACCTAAGTGTAGTTCCAGAATAAAATATAGTTTTACTGGTTAGCATTCCCCACCATCCTTATTCCGCCTCTTCTCTTTACCCTAGATCCCGGCCTCAGTGACAGCTGGGACGAACAGTCCTCACTTAATCAAACACTTGTATCGAATACTATTTGTTCAAACCATCCCGAAATTAGTGAGGATGCACGGTGTAAAATTAATAATAAACTATATATAATTAAGAAATGGGGTACACCATTACATATATGTACAACAAATGGTATATCACCTGCTGTATGCCAACATCGCAGGTCAAACACAGTACTTGGAAGATGGTTAGGTATAATGCTGAATAGTGCCTGTTGATGGGGGCAGGAAGCCTTTTCTTGAGCTTATTGAGGTCCCCCAAGGCCACCTGTTTATCTTCACCAGGATGCAATAAAAAAACAATTGTCTAATTCCCAGGTATCTATTTTATTGCTGTGAACAGCAGCATCAGGTGAACGTACATGTGCCCAACTGTTTCTATCTTGCTCAGAGACTGAAACCTAGTCCCTCAGTTGTTAGCAGAGAATACAGATGCCTGTGCTACAGGATCCGTCATTCATACACTCACGTTCTAGCTTTCATTCCGTCCCCACTTTCAATTGTTACACGTCATACATTTCATCGTTTGTTTTAAACAAAAATGAGAGCTATTTTGAAAACAGTTTCACTGCCAGTAGATATCAAATTCACTCTTGCCATGTATGCTCTGTGATAAAATAGCTTAGTTTTTATGCTGTCACCTTCATTTTTAAATTTAAAGGCAATGAAAAATTTTCTAACGCAATCTACTCGAGCTTTGATAAGCTTCATGTATCAATAACATTTCCCTGGCAATATTTATCCTTGTACCTGTACTGTCTAACAATTTTCTTATACGCAACTGAAGACTTGCACAAAAGTAATATTGGGAATGGGAAATAACCAATTTCTTTGAGTTCTGTAATCCTTTTCACTACCCTCTCCTCAGAAATATGCAGCACCTGTATGCACGACCTGGAAAGAAAGATGGAATTTGTAAAATTACTTCCAAATCGTCAAAATGTTACATACATATATTTAAACATTATGAACCTGTCAATATTAAGAAAAGCAACAAACTTTTGTCCCAAATGTCCAACAAAAGTGGCAACTGGTCTGAATCATGCATATTGTTATGAAGATGCTGTCCAGATCATCAACCTTCAAGTTGTCTGGTAGAGTGATAAACAGAGCTTCAAACTGTTCTCTCAGGATTTCACTAATTTATTTGTCATTCTCTGTGTATGAACCTCCTCTTGCAAGTTTAAGTCTAATAATCAATGGACATTTTACATTTGATTTTGCATGTGTGAAAAAGAATTTAAACAAATTTCATATCTCATATACAGTTTCATTTACATTACTTCTGCTCTATTTCTTCAATCACCTTGGGCTGCCAGGCTGACCTTCCATTTTCTCTCCTTGGGCTGCCAGGCTGACCTTCCATTTTCTCTCCTTGGGCTGTCAGGCTGTCCTTCCATTTTCTCTCCTTGGGCTGCCAGGCTGACCTTCCATTTTCTCTCCTTGGGCTGTCAGGCTGACCTTCCATTTTCTCTCCTTGGGCTGCCAGGCTGTACTCCCATATTCTCTCTTTGGGCTGCCAGGCTGTCCTTCCATTTTCTCTCCTTGGGCTGCCAGGCTGTCCTTCCATTTTCTCTCCTTGGGCTGCCAGGCTGTCCTTCCATTTTCTCTCCTTGGGCTGCCAGGCTGTCCTTCCATTTTCTCTCCTTGGGCTGCCAGGCTGTCCTTCCATTTTCTCTCCTTGGGCTGCCAGGCTGTCCTTCCATTTTCTCTCCTTGGGCTGCCAGGCTGTCCTTCCATTTTCTCTTCTCGGTCAGCCTTGTTACAGTCATGCCTTCAGCTGATACGAGACTCGTCCTGGCTTTTCTATCTGTACCTTATTAATTCGTTTTCAAATTCTTCAAATACACTATTGTACCTGTATGGCTACCTCTGTTTCCTTTGGCCAGTATGGATGCACGCCATAAATACTTTTGGGCAATGGAATCACTACATCCTAATTCCCAATTTTTTTTTTATAAAATATAAACCTGAAATTTTGTCTATTTCATAATGTGTCAGACCACACTGAGATTAGGAATAGATCTGAAACATTGTTAAAATATTTCATATTGCATTTCATCCATTGCTGGATGGAAGTCTCTTCTTCAGGCTTCAACAATCACCTATCGTGAACTATTACAATGATGATCAAACGAAGGTAAACATAATTCCCTGTGGTGAAGTGGTAACACCCGCCTGGCATTTTGTGAGAGCTTTGGCCTGGGTTCGTATCCTATGCCAAGGAGGATTTACTGGGCATCAATCCTTAAGCCTCTGTTCACCCTACCGTGAATGGGTATCCGGTTGTTGAACGAATTGGCAATCGTATTCCGGGGAAAATTATGATTAAGGACTTGCCCGAAATGCTGTGTGCGCTAGTGGCGGTACAAGAATGAAAGAACTCTTGTATATACTGTATATATAAATAAATAAAATAAAATAATAACACACCAGAGTCCAATAGCACACAGAGATAATATTACGAGCTAATGGACACAAAATACAATACACCATACCTAACATCCTGTGGTGTAAATCCTGCAGCAAACAGAAGATCCAGATTCCTCTTCAGTTTGGGAATATGACCGACATTTAGCCCCGATCTACTTCGGTAGAGTTCGGCTGCTACAGAAGGTTCACACTCCAGCCTGCGAGATAAATAGCTCACCACATCTTTATGTTCTCCAAGCAGCTGGGTTTTACACACAAATCGTTCACAGAATCTGAAAGAGTAGAATGATACATTTTTTAAGACAGTGGTCACTCATTACCCTTCCCACTGCATAAATCATATACACATATATTTATACTGTATACAGTATATGATTTTGGCCTACCTGACTGCACTGTGCAAATCATATTTTGGGTTACTACAGCTACTCTGGGTTATTACAACTACAACTACTCTGGGTTATTACAACTAAACTACAAGCGGTGGGGACATTTTAGTTGGATTTTCGTGTTTTGTGAAGGTTCATTAACAATGTTAACACTTTCGCGCTCTCCGCAAAGGTCACTCAGCCAACCGAATGTGCGCGCTGCGTTTTTATCGCTTAAGCGTAAAAACAAAAATGTGTATACTCTTTTTACTCTCCTGACCTTAGTTCTCATGCTACGTATTTCATTTTGGCACCAACGTGTTTGCAATAAAATTCTCTAGAAGAACATTAGTAAAATAAGTCACGAAACATATAGGGATACCAGCACCAAATAAATAACTACGTAGATGACTCGCCGTGAGCGCCCATCAGCAACAAAATGTTTTTACTCTTGGGATTATAATCACCTCCACACTTGTTCTACAGCGTTAATTTTGGTATCAATGGACTCGCAATGAAATTCCCAACACGGTGATATGAATATAAGCGTTGAATATTGATGCAGCCCGCCCGCAAGAGTGTGGGAAGTGGTGAAATTGTTACCCGGTATCGGTGACGGGACGACGCACAGCGCTTTGAAAGTTTATACTTATTTCACTCTCATGACATTAATTTTCTATGTACGTCATTCATTTTCATGTCAATGTATTCGCAATAGAATGTTCTATGTGCCCATAGGTAAAAAATATCAACAAAGCGTAAGTTAGAATAGCGACAAATATAAAACAACGCTGGAACATATCAGTGAGCGTCAAACACACACGAAATATTTTTACTTTTGTTATGTTTGTCAAGATTATACTTGTTGCACACAGTTATTTTTGGTTGTATATTGATCGGAATAAAATTCCCTAAACAGACATATGCATATAATACATGATATGGGGGAAGAATTACCAGTATAAACGGCTAAAGTCACCCACCTGCAACCCGTTTGGGACAAAATACCATTTGATCGACGTTATCCACACCTTTCATGAACTTATTGTACCATGCAGCCTAGTGGTGAGAAAGAGAGCCTCATAGCGCGCAGTTTGAAACAAACCCAAAGTAAATCGGATAAAAATTGAATTTTATACAAATATTTTAAAAGTTGACATAACTTTATGTCCACTATGCGTTTACGTTAGACGAAACCGAACGCGCCGGCGCGTCCAGATAGCGCGAAAGTGTTAAAAGAAAAAATTTTTTTTTTCAGAACAAATTTTTTCGTGAGCACTATGGTATTACTGGGCTATTTATTAGTATGTAAAGTACACCATGTGAATCTAACTCAAGTTCCTTCTTGGGCAAATTCGTGCAAAGAAAAGGCATTCGTGCCCCTTCTTTGAGGTCTCTCTATGCTGATCAGGAAGTTTACCTCTTCCATCACATTTACTGTACTGTACTCTGATGTTGCCACATCAGGTTCAGTCCATCATGTCAGTTGACGGTGGTAACGTTTCGATCCTTTATCAGCTTACCAAGGCCTCGTCTTCCACCACTGTGGGTTGGATGAGATTTGTCAAGACAAAGAAAGGGTCTTTGTCTCGGTTCTGGACCCTTCTGTTTTAGGGCCTAAATGCAGTATCCAGTCCCCCATGCATCATCCTTGATACCTGGTTGATACCTGGTTGATGGGGTTCTGGGAGTTCTTCTACAGCCCAAGCCCGGCCCGAGGCCAGGCTTGACTTGTGAGAGTTTGGTCCACCAGGCTGTTGCTTGGAGCGGCCCGCAGGCCCACATATACCTGGTTGATGGGGTTCTGGGAGTTCTTCTACTGCCCACGCCTGGCCCGAGGCCAGGCTTGACTTGTGAGAGTTTGGTCCACCAGGCTGTTGCTTGGAGCGGCCCACAGGCCCACATACCCACCACAGCCCTTGTCCTTATTATTATATTGAGTAAACAAGTCCCAGCTACCAAGTTGCTAGAAAGAACAAGGTGACTCCGCATGGCTTTTAATAACATTACTTGGCTACCAACCTCTCAAAAACATGAGGAGCTGCATGACAAATCCACGGTTTGATTCTCTCACAACCAATCTCTGTAGCCCGCTGCAGCCTCGCCTCTATTTTATTAACGTTGTGGTAGAACACCCACAGGTCAGCCAGTATGTCTTCTGCCTTCATTCCATATGCTGTGGAAAAAAAATGATCATCATATATATGTTATATCCAGCAGTGCCTGGGATAGTGTCTCTTTTCCCGACCATCCCATTCCACCCCTATTCTTTTCCCCTCTTCCCCATGTTTCCTCCCCCTTCTCTTTATCCCTCCTTCCTGGCTTGGTGCCTTCTGTTGATAATTACTTACTTGTCTCTATCCCATTTTTCCATTTTCCCCACTCACTCTCGCCCCCATCTCTCCAACCTCGAACAGTTATATATATACATATATAGGGTACCCTGCTGCACCCAGGTCTCTGTCCCCCCACTTTTTCTACTCTTCACCCCATCTTCCCCTTGACCCCCGCTTGTCCCTATCCCTTGGTCCCCCACTGCGTCCTCCCACTCTCTACCCCCGGGACCCAGTAGTACGTTGAGGGTTACTAGATGGTCTCGGGGGCTTAGCGTCCCCAGGGTCTGGTCCTCGACCAATAGTACAGTCAGCTTTGTTCTCAACTCACAGTCGGGAATTCCTAGTTGGGACAGAAATGGTTGGGGGTGTTTCCCATCACCTAATGCCCTGTTCACCTAACATAAAATAGGTACCAAGGAGTTAATCAGCTTGCTGTGGGGTTGTATCCTAGGGGAGGGTCAGTAGTTCAACTTTAGGGTTTGTTGTTGTTGTTAAAGATTCGCTACCTGGAACAAAAAGTTCCAAGTAACACGGGCTATGGTGAGCAACTTTAGGGGAGGGGGACGTTAATATATAAGCCTAACATGTATATATATATACACTGGCTGCTTTCCCAAAAACACAATGAATTACATGAATTTAAATTTATTAATAAGTTTTCCACTGAAACAACTACATAAGTGATATATGTAATGTATAACTGAGAGTTGGCAAAATAGAAGTCCTTCCAAATCAATATGATCAAGTTGGAAAAAGACTTATCACACTGGCTGTTTTACATCCAATATTCTTGTCTATGTAAACAAATAAACTTTTTACAACTTTTACATGAGTCCTAGTTCATGTTTTGGCATTTAGCTTATAAAAAAAAGTGTTCCATTCCCTAGGTAGGAAACAATAATAATAATAATAATAATAATAATAAATAATAATAATAATAATAATAATAAATAATAATAATAATAAATAATAATAATAATAATAATAATAATGAAGACTGATGATGAATATAATCACTATTGTTGAGTCTTATCATCACTCATGTATAGAAAACGATGCAACTCCATACCAAAGAGAATATCAATTATTACGTCCAAACGCTTCACGTCCATATTAAGAATATGTTTAGGCTTGACAATCCTCTCTGTGAGCTGCTCAACCGGCACCTGAAAGTTATGGGTTTTAAATAGGTTTCATAATATTCACACTTCAGTATACGAAACATTCAGATAACATTATATACCTTAATTTAGATTATAAAGCATAAGTTTCATGCAAACATCAATCACATCTTTGTCCAGCACTGTACATTCTTCAGCCATTTTCTTATGCCTTACTCCCTTTAGGAATGTTCCTTTCTTTAGGCAAAAACTTTCCCCATGTTATTTAAATCACGTTAAAAGATTTAAGTGGCTTTCAAGAAGGGTCTCGATAATACAGTTGAATTCGTTCTCAACTCACAATCAGGAATCCCAAATTTGAATCCCCAGCAAGACCGGGAGCTGGTGGCTGAGCGGACAGAACACTGGACGTGTGATCCGGTGGTCCCGGGTTCGATCACAGGCGCCGGCGAGAAACAATGGGCACAGTTTCTTTCACCTTGATGCCCCTGTTACCTAGCAGTAAATAGGTACCTGGGAGTTAGTCAGCTATCACGGGTTGCTTCCTGGGGGTGGAGGCCTGGTTGAGGACCGGGCCGCGGGGACACTAAAGTCCCGAAATCATCTCAAGATAACCTCAAGAAGACAGAAATGGTTGGGCACATTTCCTTTCACTTTAAGCCTCTGTTCACCTAACAGTAATATGGAACCAGATGGTGGCTGATTATTTAAATGCTTATCAAACCAGCATGTAAAATACACTTATTATCTAGAAAAGACATTTATTAATTCCTGTTGTTGGGAACAACAGCCTGAACTAACATACAGGGTTATCGAGGTCGTCTAAAACCAACTACTGACTTTACCCTGGATACAACCTACAACAGTTGCCTAACTTTCAGGTATCTGTTTACTGCAAAGTCAACAGAAACAACAGTTGACAGAAAACATGCCCAATTATTTCTGTCCTGCCTGGGAATTGATTGAACCCAGATCTTGAGGTTATCTTGAGATGATTTCGGGGCTTAAGTGTCCCCGTGGCCCGGTCCTCGACCAGGCCTCCACCCCCAGGAAGCAGCACGTGACAGCTGACTTACACCCAGGTACCTATTTTATTACTAGGTAACAGGGACATAGGGTGAAAGAAACTCTGCCCATTGTTTCTCGCCGGCGCCTGGGATCGAACCCAGGACCACAGGATCACAAGTCCAGTGTGCTGTCCGCTCGGCCGACTGGCTCCCCTTCCCTCGATTGTGAAACCTAACAGCGTGATCATAATTACTAGGCGGGTTACATATACCTGTATATAAAAAGAAATTTTTCCCCCTATTAAAGTTAAATTTTCACATCTAATAATATTTCAACTTACATTTAATCTGTCAGCCATATAATATATTCGGTTTGGGTGATGGGAAAATTTTGCTGCTTCCATCATGAAAGTGTCCTGGAGACTGACTATCACACTAGGTGTGAAGTGACAAAATCCCAAGCCTTCCGAGTAGTTGCGGAATAAATATGGCTCGGTAATCTTGTGAAATTTTTCTTGAAGACTATCTGTTGAATAAAAGAATGTTAATATTGTTACTATGTAAACCAGTGGTGTTATTGTTTTGTAAATACAATAGTAAGAAAATATTATAGTGATTTTTAATTCTGTGTTATAGAATATATCAACTAACAATACACAAAAATTTATGTAATAATATGTAAATTGTTTAAAAATAGTACATATAAACACTCTTAAACACATACACATAAGCAGTAACAAAACCAGCCTCTGAGCACGACTTTGTGAATGTGAACGCATCAGACGAATGCAGGTCTGGGTTGCTTCCCTTGGGCGGTTCGGGTGGCTGTTCCCGAAAAGGAATCCTCCTTTTGAGAGGTCCATTCTTTGGGCAGTGTAAAGCTCTTTGACTCCTCTGTGAGGTTCTGGGGGTTGGGTCATAAGCAGCGAGCTTAGTCTATAGCACACAGCCTATGGCCCAACTGCAAAGAGGATTACACGTATCCTCCATCAATGTTTTAGTTTGATCCTTGGCTGCCACTCCCTGTGTACTGTATATTTCTGGGTTCCATTAGGGTTCTTTACTTGTGTAAAGGAGGAAATGTATATGTTTATCTCTCAGAATGTTCGATAATACGTTTATTGCTTGTGATGTGTGTCTATGTATGTATTAACACGATGTACTGAACGGGGTGAGAATAGCTTGAGCTACCTCATCCCTTTGTGTGTATTTTACCTCAATAAACTTATTTCAATTTCAATTAGGGTTCTTTGCTTCATCTCTTTTTTTTTTTTTTTGCATAGGTTTCCAACAACCTGTCTTTCTCCATCTGTGGCACGAGCAAATTTGCTTCAGTTCTTCCTTCAGGATCAGGCCCTCGTTTCTTTGATGAATCCATCCTCTTCTGTTCTGCTTCATCTTCTTGGTTGAGATATACAGCTCCTTCCTCTTCCTGACTTGCGGACAACCTCTTGTTTACCTTCGGGGCATGGCACAGCTTGAGTGACATGAGGCAGGGTAATTTTTCAGTTGTTCTTGGGCGACTCTTCCTTTGAGCCACTTCGGGCGTGCCTGTTTGCTGCAGCCTTGCGCCGAGAAGATGGGTTTGTGGCAGTTCCATATAAGTTTGCCTGTGCAATCTGGAGCCCTGATCGCAGAGGATCACAGGCCTCGGCTGCAGCTGGCCTCAGTGTTGCAAGTCTAGGCTGTCGTGAAGCTGTTCTCTAGTCAGTTACAGGGCAATTTGGATTCAACTAATGAACATACTGTAATTACCTTTACGAATCTCATATATAGCCTTTCCATATTTATAAAAATACAATATTTTAACATGAATCAAGATGCTATTGAAATTTACTAGCTACTATATTATTAACAACACACCTGAAGAATGTAGCATTATCCAAGGTATTCGTTGTATTTGTCGAGATGCAATATTTTGGTCTTTAAGAAAGTAGAGAGTTTTCAATATAGCTCCATCAGACACCAAGAGAAAATTTCTGGGGCGAACCATACGAAGTGCTTCATTACGATTTATTTGAAACAGACGTTTCAATCCACATATCACAGGTTCACCAACATTGACCTGCAAAGAATATTATACAATCTGAGATGCACGAGATGTTTTTGGCATGAAGAATGAGTGAATGATGGTATACCCGTGAAAAGAGTGCATTCAAGTGAATTTGAAAGCAGAAGAGAATGTCTGGAAAAGTTATAGCGGACATAGTGAGGGGTGTGAGAATGCAGGGAGTAAGTGAATGCAGGGAGTAAGCGGACATAGTGAGTGAGGGTGTGAGAATGCAGGGAGCGAGTAAATGTTATAGCGGACATAGTGAGTGAGGGTGTGAGAATGCAGGGAGTAAGTGAATGTTATAGCGGACATAGTGAGTGAGGGTGTGAGAATGCAGGGAGTAAGTAAATGTTATAGCGGACATAGTGAGTGAGGGTGTGAGAATGCAGGGAGTAAGTGAATGTTATAGCGGACATAGTGAGTGAGGGTGTGAGAATGCAGGGAGTAAGTGAATGTTATAGCGGACATAGTGAGTGAGGGTGTGAGAATGCAGGGAGTAAGTGAATGTTATAGCGGACATAGTGAGTGAGGGTGTGAGAATGCAGGGAGTAAGTGAATGTTATAGCGGACATAGTGAGTGAGGGTGTGAGAATGCAGGGAGTAAGTGAATGTTATAGCGGACATAGTGAGTGAGGGTGTGAGAATGCAGGGAGTAAGTGAATGTTATAGCGGACATAGTGAGTGAGGGTGTGAGAATGCAGGGAGTAAGTGAATGTTATAGCGGACATAGTGAGTGAGGGTGTGAGAATGCAGGGAGTAAGTGAATGTTATAGCGGACATAGTGAGTGAGGGTGTGAGAATGCAGGGAGTAAGTGAATGTTATAGCGGACATAGTGAGTGAGGGTGTGAGAATGCAGGGAGTAAGTGAATGTTATAGCGGACATAGTGAGTGAGGGTGTGAGAATGCAGGGAGTAAGTGAATGTTATAGCGGACATAGTGAGTGAGGGTGTGAGAATGCAGGGAGTAAGTGAATGTTATAGCGGACATAGTGAGTGAGGGTGTGAGAATGCAGGGAGTAAGTGAATGTTATAGCGGACATAGTGAGTGAGGGTGTGAGAATGCAGGGAGTAAGTGTGGACAACACCCAAGATATAAGGAATAAGGATGGGTGGAAGTGGTGTGTATGATAGTAAAAGTATTTACGTGTAATTTATGTGACAATTCACAATGATCAGTGTACACCTGGTCTTATGAACCAGCAGCGTCCTGCTGTGGATGATTGCTGGAGTGTAGTGGTGCTTGCTTGTAAGTGATGCTATATACTGTATTGTGAATGATGTAATGAATGGCCAGGTGATACATTTAACGTTTTATTATTCAATATATATACTGTATATACAGTACTGTATATATATAATCTTCAGTTACTAGTTATATTACTATTTTCCTCCAGGCAGATGCTTCCCCCACCTCATGAAAGTGGTAAATGTACTTACCACTTTCTAAATCTAAATTACCACTTACCACTAAATGATACTACTGGTATATATATTTGTATGTACAGTTATCATTACCTTCTTATAAACTTATCAACCACAAAATGAAATTTCCAAGAACCCCAAAATTTATTCTTTCCTTAATTATAAGCTATGGAAGAACAGACTATTATACACCTAAACTTTGTTCAAACTAATAAAAAATATTACAATATCTAACAAATAATTTTTACTTTTTCCCCAATGTCTTTCACTTGAATCTTTCTGTCTTGATGATAAGGGTTGTCAAAAAATTCTCCCTCTTCTAGGCAAGAATCTTCACTCTCCACATGTCCCAATTCATCATCTATATGCTTATCCTCATCATCACTGAAATAAGGGAGAAAATAGTTATTGCCATTCTTAGTACAATATATAGACAACTGGATCTCAATACACAACTTTTCAAGCAACAAACAGACAAGGAAATCACAATAAGATGATATATCTACGAGAATATTTTTCTAATCTAAATTATAAAGATTTCTAAATCTGCGATAGAAAAGCAAAGCTATCACAGCGCTTTGCAATACCTGCTCCATGGAGCATTTCTCCTGACTGGCCATCCCTGGTTAGATTTGACTTCATGCAGTCTTTCCTTCTCTCTGGCGAGTCCTTGTTTTACCTTTCCCCATGGGTAGTTAGCTTTAGCGAGCCATGAGGGTCTCCCCAGAAAACCAGTGTTGAATGTAATGAAATGCCTCTTTCTGGCTGAGCCCCAGTGGCTCCCTGATTCCCTCCCTCCTTTTCAGGTTCACCAGTGTATGTCTTTTCATATCTCTTAGCGGCTTGGAGGACTGAAAGGGACCTGAAAACTTCCCCCCCAACTGACATCCTTTTTGGATACTTTCCCTGTGGGGTAACAGAGTATCACCTGCTCTCTGCACCTCTGTGAGAGAGGAGCCAGATTCTGGCTTCATCTCAGCAAGATAGATTCAGGGAGCCACAAGAGGCTGCCCCAGAAACAGAGCTTTGAAAATGCAATCAATGACCAAAGTGACGACAGAAAACTGAGAGGACAGAAAAAACAAAACACTATCCAAAGACCAAGAAGGTTCAAGAATGAGAGCATGCCGGAGGTGAAAACAAATGCCTGTGACAACTTTTTAAACGGCGCTGGTGAAATGTTGACAGTGAACCCCAATGACAGCAGCTCCATCAAACAATGCAGTCAGGAAAAACGTTCCTGGTTGTTCCTCGATCCCAAGATGGGGGTCAGTCAGCCAAAACAGAGACCCAACAACAACAACACATACAACAAGTGGAATGATAAGAGGCATTAAGAATGGCCATTGGCATGAATCAAAACTGAAGTACATGTACATCCTTCAGACTTGCACCAAGAGACCCACAGGGGTTTTCCAGCTGCAGACGATGAAAACTGAGCCAGAACACAGGCGTAGGGGCCATTCATCAGCAGACATCGAATCCAACTTCAGTTGCAAATACAGCTGGGAAGGGCATAATTGCCACACTGCATAACGAACAGACGATCCCCATTCACCCCCAACAAGACCATACCTGCTTCCACCCCATAGCTACACAGAAGAGTCCAAGACCTTTACATTGCTCAGGAAAGGCAAGCACCACAAGAGGCTGGTCAATCTGGAACAGAAACCTGGTTTCTTGACCTTTCTGAAGTTCCACCCTAAGCTGACTTATCATAAATCTCTTATAAACTGTGTTAGTTTTTTTGCCTTGCCCTAAATTCTACAAATATGAAAGGCTTATGCAACCAAGGCAATTTAACATTTAACAACCAAGTACAGTACCTATTTTTAGACGACTTCTTTTCAGGCAGCGACACGTTGTGTGATGCAGCACAAGATGAGACACACAACACACTATTAGCCTTCAACATGCAGCTCGTGTTGAATAGCTGGGCAGCCATTCTGCTCCGCCACTCATGTGTGTAGCGTCCATTTAGTCTTGGTAATACTGCAACATTTATTCATTATTAATTAATTACTAATTATAACTTGTGATATAGCATGAATATGTTGGAAATGAAAAAGACAAATTAATAATGAAAATTAATACTGTACAATTCAGTGAAGCAGTTCATGACATAAACAGTGAAAGTGATGAATTAGACAAATAATGAAGGGAAAAAAGTGAGCCAATAATTAAAAAAAAATTGTAAAATAAACTCATAAATAATTGTAAGATACTGTAATTAGACATACAAAACATTAAATTTAAAGTTATAAATTTGTAAACAATTATATACAGTATACAGTATAGGCCTATTTTTTTTATAATGAAATTTAATGGATGAAACAGCAAATGTGTAAAATGCATGTACTTTACAAGAGAGGATTGCACACACTAACCCTGGTTGATTCATACAGACTTCTCATGTGGATTTTAAAGCCTGACCTACCCAAAAATATACATTTAAAATGTATAAAGCAGACTGTATAGTGTGGGTGTACAAAATGGTTACAAAATATGATATACAGTGGTACCATGGTTTTTTAATTTAATCCGTTCCCAGAGACGGCTCATAAACCGTAAATTCGCAAATAGAAACGAAACAAATTTTCCCATAAGAAATAATGTAAATTGAATTAATCCGTTCCCCACTCCCAAAAATAATAACTTCAAAATACATTTCATACATAATACTACAAATAATTTGTACTACAGTATGTATAAGTTATATCTTACCTTTATTGATGCCTCTTGTTGGCATATGGAAGACGGTGAGGAGCGGGGAAAGAGGAGAGATGTTAGTGTTTGGTAGGGGAGTCCCCTTCCATTATAACATCAGGCTGTGATGACTTCTCTGGGGTACTCTCTCTCCTACGTTTTGCAGGCATACCACTAGGACCTGGTTGTGGGTCTCTGCTTGCTTGTCTTGATAAGAACCTGTCTATAGACACTTGTTTTTCCCTACGTTTTAATATTTGTCTGTAGCGAGACATCACATTGTCATCAAAATGGTTAATGCAACGGGCTGCTACAGCTTTATCTGGGTGACACTTTAAAACAAAACTTTGCATTTCTTTCCATACTTCACACCACTTCTTAATTGTTGAGGAAGGGATAATCGGTGATGTCTTCTCCTCCTCCTCCCTTGAAAAAATTTCCTCATCTATTTCTCGTTGATTCTCCTTGTGAAGGGCTAGGAGTTCTTCGGGGGTCAGTTCTTCACTGTGTTCCTCCACCAACTGCTCCACATCCGCACCATCCAACTGAAAGCCCAATTGCCTGCCCAGAGAAACAATTTCCTCAACAAGAAGCACTTCAGGTTCAGGCTCAAACCCGTCAAACTCTCGTTCTGGAACACATTCAGGCCACAATTTTCTCCAGCCAGAGTTCAGGGTTCTTAGAGTCACTTCTTGCCAGGCTTTGTCTATGAGTTTTAAAGCAGTAAAAATATTAAAATGGTTTTTCCAGAACTCTTTAAAGGTGAGGTTTGTGGCATTGGTCACTTCGACACATCTTCGGAAAAGTGCCCTTTCATAAAGTTTCCTAAAATTGAAAATAATTTTCTGGTCTATAGGCTGAAGTAGAGGAGTGGTGTTGGGAGGAAGGAACTTTATTGTAACAAAATTAAATTTCGTCAACAAATAATCCTCCAAGCCTGGAGGATGAGCAGGAACATTGTCAAGGAGAAGCAGGGCCTTGAGTGGCAAACGTTTCTCCTGCAGATACTTTTTGATGGAAGGGCCAACCACTTCATTCACCCACTCGGCACAAAATAGGCTAGTCACCCTTGTCTTAATATTAGCCCTCCACATCACATACAATTGGCTTTGCTGTACTCTATATTTTTTGAAAGCCCTTGGATTTTGGGAATGATACACAACCAAGGGTTTAATTTTCAAATCTCCACTCGCATTACTACACAGCACAAGAGTACACCTATCTTTCATAGGCTTGTGTCCGGGCAATGATGACTCCTCCTGGGTAATGTGTGTCCTCTTAGGTAATCTTTTCCAGAATAGCCCTGTCTCGCCACAATTAAACACTTGTTGTGGTAGGTATCCCTCACTCTCTACAAACTCTTTAAATACGTCAACAAAGCTTTCAGCAGTTGGTTTATCTGAGCTGGCAGCCTCCTTATTCTTCACAACACTATGAATACCACTTCTCTTTCGAAATTTCTCAAACCATCCCCTGCTTGCCTTAAACTCCTTCACATCTGCATCACTCATATCAGTTTTTCTTACAAGATCTTCGTGTAATAGTCTTGCTTTCTCACAAATCATGCCCTCTGAAATGCTATCACCCGCTAACTGTTTGTTGTTTATCCAAATTAATAATAACTTTTCAACTTCCTCAAGTGTTTGGGTTCTCTGTTTCGTGATTGTTGTTACTCCTTTTGCTACTTTAGCACTCATAATGGTCTTTTTCTTAGCTAATATGGTGCATATTGTCGACGTAGACTTCTTGTACTGCCTTGCTAGTTCAACAACACGAGTACCACGTTCATGCTTATGAATGATCTCTTGTTTTTCCGCTATAGTCATCCTCACATGTGCTTTCTTTGGCTCAACCATACTACTGACTTTCCTGGGACGCATGGTGTGGTATATAATAATTATTTTTATGTTTAGAAACCAAAAAAAGCCGAAAAAAACACTGAAATGCTTCACAAAGAATTGAAGCGCGATCGTCACCAGGCAGAAGACACTCGTAAACTGAAGCGTGGTCGACCCAGGGTTGCCAGATCCAAATTGCTAAAAATAGCAAGCTGACGGTCAAAAAGTAGCGAATTTGCAAGTAGAGTAGCCCAATTTTTTGTTTAGTCAAATCGAATCAAATCAAATGTTTATTCAGGTAAAAGTACATACATACAAGATGAGTTACAAACATAATGTTAGATTTCTAGATAGCAACAGTACATACAGACAGACGACATTCAAATTTAGTAAGTTTATCTTCCTTCTTTGATAGAACAGACTTGATGCTCATCTGCTGATGACTTACCTCCGATATATTTTGTCTGTGTTTTAATGTTTCACTGTGTTTCTTTAAACCACTTCTATGAGCTCTTATCTCAGTTCTACAAACTTTACAATATGCCTTATTTCCATCTTCTTTCACTTCAGCCAACCACTTTCCAAACACGAGCCAGGACATCTGAAACGCTTTCTGGTGTTTAGACCACTTCCCCATTTTACACTTCTTTATCTCAACACTTAAGCAAATTCTAAAAGTAACAGCGGTAACTTCTTTTCTATATGCGGTAACTTGTGTCGAACTAAAAGCACAGATGAAGCTGCCAAGTTCACTGTATTCTAATCCGCTCTTAACGACAGTCATTTAATACTTGGAAACACCAAAAGAGAAACCTAATATTTACAGTAGGCAACAGTGGGAGGTCATTTAACATAGACAGTACCCGGGATGAAGTATTAATGACAATTAAGGTTGGGAAATCTATAACCCCTGGGGAGGATTATCTTGCCTTGCGGTTACTTTTTCTTTGGGAAGTTCCTAGGATCAACGTCCCCAGGGGGTCGGTCTCTGACCTCTGGCCTCCTGCGGTAAGTGGTCTATTCAATCAAGCGGCTGATTGAATAGGACGCGGCTGTGATTTTTTTTTTTTTTTTTTTGAGATATATACAAGAGTTGTTACATTCTTGTACAGCCACTAGTACGCGTAGCGTTTCGGGCAAGTCCTTAATCCTATGGTCCCTGGAATACGATCCCCGCCGCGAAGAATTGTTTTTTCATCCAAGTACACATTTTACTGTTGCGTTAAACAGAGGCTACAGTTAAGGAATTGCGCCCAGCAAATCCTCCCCGGCCAGGATACGAACCCATGACATAGCGCTCGCGGAACGCCAGGCGAGTGTCTTACCACTACACCACGGAGACTTAAAATTTGTACACATGACATTATAAAAAGCATAAAAATCATCATTGAGTTTCTTAACATTAATAGCCCAACTTGTTTTTAAAGTAGCCCAGAAAGTCGCAAGTAGCGAAATTAAAAATTTGGGAGCGCGGGGCTCTGAAAAGTAGCCCAATTCGCTACTTGTAGCCCAATCTGGCATCCCTGCCACCAGGAACCATGCGCTCGGTCCGCCTCTATGTTTACAAACAAACCAGCCCGTACCCCAAACAAAGACCCAAAAGTGATTCCATGCACCCGCTAAACCCCTTTTTATGATTAAAAAAAAACGGTTTACACACAACCAACCCATCCTCGACTCAAGTCCATTACATTTAGGGGTCGACCCCACAGACGCATTCATAAATTTGTACATGCTGTTAGTTCAAAACGGGGATTTTCTCAAATGTAAATTAATATTATAATATCTTGAGGTTATCTTGAGTTGATTTCGGGGCTTTTTTAGTGTCCCCGCGGCCCGGTCCTTGACCAGGCCTCCACCCCCAGGAAGCAGCCCGTGGCAGCTGACTAACTCCCAGGTACCTATTTACTGCTAGGTAACAGGGGCATAGGGTGAATGAAACTCTGCCCATCGTTTCTCGCTGGCGCCCGGGATCGAACCCGGGACCACAGGATCACAAGTCCAGTGTGCTGTCCGCTCGGCCGACCAGCTCCAAATAAATATTCTTGGCAGCGGTGGGATTCGAACCCACGCCTCCGAAGAGACTGGAGCCTAAATCCAGCGCCTTAGACCACTCGGCCACGCTACCCTATTAGCATCTCATCATAATATATTAGCATCTTGTGCACATACAGGCATAGGTTAGGTTAAGTGTTTAGGTTCTGTTGGCGATCATTTGTAGTAGGTGGGTGAAGCATTTACAGCGTGTGCATGGGGTCCGTCTAATTACCACAAGCTACACAAGCTTCACAAAGTTTCCTGGCAATACGTTAGTAATGAATAAATATGATATGTTAGGTTAGCTTGACCTAACCCAACCTAACCTAACCTAACCTAACCTAACCGAACCTAACCGAACCTAACCAAACCTAACCAAACCAAACCAAACCAAATCAAACCAAATCAAACCAAACCAAACCAAACCAAACCAAACCAAACCAAACCAAACCAAACCAAACCAAACCAAACCAAACCAAACCAAACCAAACCAAACCAAACCTAACCTAACCTAACCTTACCAAACCGACGCTTGGATCGTCAACTTGATTTGGCGTCACCAGCTCTTTATTTTCGTCTAATTTCTTTATAAAAAGATACTTTTTCAGATTAAAATTGTTTTTTCGTGTTGTACATTCAGCACCAACATTATAATAAGTAAATATATCATATTTATTCATTACTAACGTATTGCCAGGAAGCTTAGTGAAGCTTGTATAGCTTGTGGTAATTAGACGGATCGGGTGCATGGAATATCTTTTGGCTCTTTGTTTGGAGGACGGGCTGCATTTATACCATTGTGGTTCCAACCCATCCTCGACTCAAATCCATTACATCCAGCAGTTGACCCCACGGACACATTCATTAATTTTCACATGCTGTTCATTCAAAATGGGAATTTTCTCAAATATAAATTAGTATTATAATATATTAGCATATTGTGCATATATAAGAATAGGTTAGGTTAGGTTAGGTGTTTAGGTTCTGTTGGTGATTATTTGTATTTGCAGTATGTGGGTGAAGCATTTACAGCATTGTGGTTCAAACAAAATTCGTCAGTGAAGCACTTGTTCTGGAAGTGTTCGAACGAAGTCAGTTGGGAGTTGTGTAAACCGTTTTTCATTCATAAACAGGGGGTTTAACGGATGCAAGGAATCACTTTTGAGTCTTTGTTTGGAGGACGGGCTGCCAGATCAAGTGCTTTACTGACAAATTTTGTTCGAATCACAACGCTGTAAATGCTTCACCTTCATACTACAAATACAAATAATCGCAAACAGAACCTAAACACCTAACCCAATTTAACCTATGCCTATATATGCACAATATGCTAATATATTATAATATTAATTTATATTTGAGAAAATTCCTGTTTTGAATGAACAGCATGTAAAAATTTATGAATGCGTCTGTGGGGTCGACCTCTGGATGTAATGGGCTTGAGTTGAGGACGGGTTGCATCACATCCTCCAAACAAAGACCCAAAGTCTATTCCATGCACCCGCCAAACCCACTGTTCATGAATGAAAAACGGTTTACACATGACTCACAACTGATGACATTCGAACAGTTCCGGAACAAGTGCTTCACTGACGAGTTTCGTTCGAACCACAAATGCTATAAATGCTTCACCCACGTACTGTACTACAAATACAAATAATCGCCAACAGAACCTAAACACCTAACCTAACCTAACCTATGTCTATATATGCATAATATGCTAATTTATTATAATATTAATTTATATTTGAGAAAATTTGTGTTTTGATTGAACAGCATGTTAAAATTTATGAATGCACCTGTGGGGTCGACCGCTGGATGTAATGGGCTTGAGTCAAAGACGGGTTGGTAAATGCTTCACCCACTACTATAAATACAAATGATTGCCAACAAACCTTAACGCCTAACCTTACCTATACCTATATATGCACAATATACTAATACTATATATTATAATATTAATTTACATTTGATAAAATTCCTGTTTTAAATGAACAGCATGTAAAAATTTATGACTGCGTCTGTGGGGTCGACCGTCCACAACTCAAATCCAGTGGAACCTTGGTAATCGAGATTCCACTGTACAGGTACTTTATTAGCATGGAAATTTAAGATATTAACAATGAAACTTTATTGACAAATACTGTAAAAAAAAATGATCTATGAAATTACTGCACTGTGCAGCATAACACCCTGACTTAAATGCAGCATAAAGTAAAACTTACAGTGGGCATGAAAGCATCTGGAAGATTGGTATCTCAACATGGCAAATATCACACTCACACCACGCGACGTCCTGCAAATGCTCCGGATTATCATTGTTATTAGCAAGACAATGTTGACCAACGTCACCAAATATCCAATGAAAGATGGATATAAACTTTCTTTGTTACAATTTACAAAGTGCAGCAGTTTATCCCTCTTGCAGCTGCCATTACTGGTCACCTACTGTGAAGCACTTATATTTCTTCTTTATTATAGTTTGACACATTTTTCTAGTAACAGGACTGTGTAGTGTGCCTTCTAGAGACACGGCACTTCAGCAGAGTTACTTAGACCTGGGTTTTATCTCTCATGAATTGTTGTTGTTGTTAAATTAGGTTTAATATTTCATGTGTTTTTGCTGTTGTTGTTAAACATAAGCACTTTTACAGTGAATATTAATGTATAGATTCTTTCTACCCTTTTCAGGTATTCTTTGGGCAATTGTCAAAGATGATCTTTGATTTTTGATGATTTTGATTGATTATAAGAGCTGTCACTGGAAAATACTACTAAACCCAATCCAATCTTTCTCTAAACCCAATCTTACAGTCACTGAGTTATAACAATGCCGCAGATGAATACTGACATCAAATAGTGAAAATATGATCTGTTCAGCTAAAAAACTGTTTCTTGCAACAAAATATTTATGACTAGCAGTCAATAGTATATACCTTATGGCAAAGGCCCATCACCTCTAGGCCAAGCCAATGATCTGCTCAAAGATCAAATCAGAACACTGAAAATCTAAAAACTACAATTTAACCACACATGTTCCTCCTTCCAGTAACAGTATTCGAATAAGGATGTCGTTCAAGCAAAAATCTGTAAGCTGTTTCCCGGTGAGTCCCAGGCAGAGCAGGAGCCAGATATTCCACCTAGCTACAAGACAATGCTTTACTTTTTTAGGCACATGGTCTGCTAAACAGATTGAGCCACAGGCGTAGACTGCTTTATGATAGTTAATTTGGGTGACGGTTTATCGTCTCTCAGTGACTGTACAATTGGTATTAGTGAAGTGACGCTCTTTACGATAAGGTCGGGCACGAGTATTGCTTCTTAAGAGTTTTTATACATGCTTCTTTATGATGCGTGCTTCTTCTTGGTGAAAACGTGCTGCTTCTTTGTAATATGTGCTTCTTTTTTTCCGACACGCACAATTCACATAGAACTCAGAGCGGTGACGAATGTTGTTGTGGAGGTGTCAGACCCTCGCTTGTGGTTATGTCTGCGTTTACGTTTTCTTTGGTAAGCCAAGTTTAGTTCATTACTAATAAGAATGACAATAATAATATATTAATAATAATAATAATGCAAATAATAATATTGATGAAATAATAATAGTAATTCATTGTGTCGGAGGACAGTCAGCCAGTTTATACGTGCATTTTTTTTAATAATAAGCTTAAGTATTCACAGCAATGTGCTGCTATCCTATTCTATATGAAAGATTATACAGTGTAGATAAAAAAACTAGCTATAAATTCATCTAATATCTCCCTCTCACAGGATGGTTAGTCATACATGGAGTCGGGAGAAAATACCAGCCTCCATACAAAAAAAACAATAAATCAACTCAGACTAAACAGCAACTTCACGATTTTCACACGAGCTAAGCACTGATTGTCATTCAACCGTGGACCGTAGGGTCCACGGTTCGAATACAAGTTAAACTTATATCAGTTTTGAGCAAACCAGCTGGCCTTATTCAGCCGACCTTCTATAGTGAGAGGACATCTTCTAAACGCTATGCGTACTAGTGGCTTTAGGTATTGTATGTACTATCTCTATCCTTAAATCCATCATTATGTATGTAATTCAACGGATGTACCTTTACCTGAATAAAGAATCTGAATCTGAATCAACACTGCGATCCCTTGTGCGGAATGTGTTAGCCGATTGTCCTGGTTGAGCTCCGCTCTGGTACTAAGCTTTAGGTACCATGATCTACCGGATAATGGTACGCTTCAGAGGGGGACCAGACCCTTACCCGGACAGAGATCCTCGACTTGATCTCCACAAGTCGAGGATGTGGAGGATCTCCATAAGTTGGACCCATAAGAGGCTGGTGCATAAATTGAAGAAACAGGCAAGAGTAACTGTTAGGGTGCGCCAGTGGATAAGGAAGCACCTAAGCAATAGGAAGCAGAGAGTTATTGTGACGAGTGAGACTTCAGATTGGTATGACGTCACAAGCGAAGTCCCACAGGGTTTTGTACTCGGACCTATCCTCTTTCTGATATACGTAAATGATCTTCCAGGCCGCTCCAAGCAATAGCCTAGTGGACCAAACTCTCACAAGTCAAGCCTGGCCTCGGGCCGGGCTTGGGGAGTAGAAGAACTCCCAGAACCTCATCAACTAGGTATATGTAGGCCTGCGGGGCGCTCCAAGCAACAGCCTGGTGGACCAAACTCTCACAAGTCAAGCCTGGCCTCGGGCCAGGCTTGGGGAGTAGAAGAATTCCCAGAACCCCATCAACCAGGTATCAAACAGGAGGGTATAGTCTCATTACTCTCAATGTTTGCTAATGATGCCAAAATTATAAGAAGGATTAAGGTAGAGGAGGACAGCATGAGGCTTCCAGAAGACCTGGACAAACTGAAAGAATGGTCCAACAAATGGTGGTTAGAATTTAACCCGAGCAAATGTAACGTAATGAAGACTGATGTAGGGAGCAGGAGGCAAGATACAAGGTATCATTTGGGAGATGAAATTCTTCTAAAATCAGAGAGAGAGAAAGAGAGAGGAAGACCTGGGGCTTGATATCACCCCAGACGTGTCCCCCGAAGCCCACATCAAGAGGATAACATCATCGGCATATGCCAGGTTGGCCAACATAAGAACGTCCTCTAAAAATTTGTCTAAGGAATCATTCAGAACCTTGTATACCACATATGTCAGACCAATCCTGAAGTACGCAACTTCAGCACAGAATCCATATCTCGTCAAGCATAAAACTATATTGGAGAAGGTTCAGAGGTTTGCCACCAGACTAGTGCCCGAACTGAGGGGCATGAACCACGAAGACTAGAGGAATTAAATCTCACGTCGCTAGAAGATAGAAGAGTTAGGGGGAGGTGGAAATTGAGTGTCCAAGTGAGCCATAAGTGAATTGTGTGCTACATTAGAAATTGAGTGCCCACATTAAAAATAATTTTATTAGTGTCAGAGTAGTTAATAAATGGAATGCATTAGGAAGTAATGTGGTGGAGGCAGACTCTGTATACAGTTTCAAGTGCAGATATGATAGAGCCCAACAGACCCAGAAACCTGCACACCTGTTGATTGACGGTTGAAAGGCGGGATCAGAGAGCTGAAGCTCAACCTCCGCAAGCACAACTAGATGAGTACAAGATGTGTGGCTCTTCTTGCATGATAGTATGATGATTGATGGAATTACTAACTAGTGTAGATTTTACTTTGTCTCAAATCTGCCCGGAACGCTATGCGTGTTAGTGGCTTTAAAAGAATGTCAAAACATCAATGTTATGTACTCTCATAAATCCAGTGTATCTTCTTGTATATATATATCAAGAAATACAATATATAAATAAATAAATATTATATTTTTCTGGAGCTGTTAATCAAAGAAAACGGAACGTCGCAAATGGATCAAAAGCGATTCTTTGACGCCATCATAATACTTCGGTCTTGACACCTTGTGGGTGCTCGTCTCAGGGGTACAGATGGAGAAGCCTGTTAGGCCAGTACAACAAGAAGCCAGGAACTTATGAACTAGAGTTATAAAGACTGCTGGACCTGTGCCACAAGCAAGAGACTGGTGAGCTGGTGTGGGAACAAACCAAGGACCACTGAGCTAGTGTTACAAGGACCATTGGACTAGTGCCACAAGGACCACTGAACTAGTGTCACAAGGACCACTGAGCTAGTGCTACAAGGACCATTGGACTAGTGCCACAAGGACCACTGAACTAGTGTCACAAGGACCACTGGGGTCGTGCCACAAGGACCACTGGATTAGTGCCACAAGGACCACTGGGCTAGTGCCACAAGAACCACTGGCCTAGTGCCACAAGGACCACTAGACTGATGCCATAGGGACTTCTTGACTAGTATTGCAAAGGACTTCTGGACTGGTCCCACAAGGACTTTCGGGCTTGTGCCACTGGAACGTTCAGTCTGGTGCCTCATGCAGGTACCCAAGCTGATCAGATTGAGGTGAGTCATGCATATTTGATACGTTGTGTCTCTAGAGAACTTCTTGGACGATAAGAACATAAGAACAAGGTAACTGCTGAAGGCCTATTGGCCTATACGAGGCAGCTTCTATTTATAACCACCCAATCCCACACATGCATGTCCAACCCAACCCGATAAGCCAGATGCTTGTGAAGGGTAGGGTAAAGTCATTGGATCCTGAACACAAGGTGGGGTCCAAGAGCTAAAAACTTGATTCTGCAGCCACAAATAGTAAGTACAAGTGCCCAATAAAGACCTACAGTGCCACTGCATAGAACAAACCCACAAAAATGGCAGGCACTTTTTTAACATGTATAACATATTGAAATAAATATATTAAGTTTTTGTGATCCTGGGCAGTTATTACTAAAATCATAACTAAGTAATTTTTTTATCGACATATTTAAAGGATTATATATTTTTTTTCAAGTGAATGTAATGTTTTTTAAACTGTTAAGAGATGGTTACGGTCATGATTGGACATGATTGGCTTTTGACAATCATGTCAAAAGCTTCATTCATAAATAGTAGTACATTTATAATTGGGAAAGTTTACATAAAAATTACAGTATACTAATTACATAAGAGTCACAGTAACAGTATTAGCAAGTAGGCATTGTCATTATCAGAATCAAAAAGTTAATTAGTAACAACTTATACAAATCACCACAGTAATGGCTGGACTAAACAGATATAAATAAATCTAAATCAGACTTACATTTTAGATGATATTTAGTGGGTGATATTTAGCTTACAAATTGACAGGTGATATGAAAACTAATTGAGGTTATCATAAGAGCAGCAAGATAGATATTAGAACAATTTATATTGCAAAATTAGGATAATAAGAGACCAATTAGAAGTAGAACTAATACTTATTTGCCCTTAACACTGCGTATTAGTGGCCTTAGGCATAGTATATACTAGCTCTATCTAGAAATACAACATTTTGTTTGTAACTCATTTTGAATGTATGTACTTTTACCAGAGTAAACAATATCATTATTACAGTATTATTATTATTATTATTATTATTATTATTATTACTATAAATTAATTCAATTATCCTCAGCATTCTACATAAACATATTCTGGGGGATATCCTGGATGAAAATCACTGCAAACACACAGCTCATATAACATTGATCTGATTACTAGACACAAGAATGTTATCGACATTGGTGGTGGGGAAAAAAAATTAGATTTTCCGAATTTATCTGAATTTCCGAATTTGTCTGAATTGAGGTCACTATCTCTATAGTGACCTCAATGAGGACAGAAAGGCAGTGGCTTGTCAAAAGTTTCCCCATTTGTCCTGATGATTTTATCATGCTGGATTTAAAAATTCATTAGTGTTTGGCATTTACAGCTTTGGCTTGTAGGTGGTTCCATGGATATACTGTAATCATCTAAAAAGTGTTTCAATCTTTGTACCCTTGAAATATTTCTGGGTTATTCTTTAGATGAACACACAGATTTAATTTTTAACTGAAAGGAGATGATTTTTGTCTTTGCTCTTAATAACGGTTAAATGAGAAAAATTAGACAATAATGACTCAAAAATACATTTGTATATAATTAGAATTAGCCTGTTTATCATCAGCTTGCAGAACTCTTAGTTTCCTTGGGATTCTGCAGAACCCCAGTTGAAAAATGCTGATCTAAAATATCCACTGTCAGGTTACCTGTTCTTCAAACCATATCACATATATTGGCCAACAAGATGATGTCCCAACACCGAGTCATATTCAAAAGGAGTATTGTACATTAAGGACAATCCTCATATTAAAGTTAACAGTAGGTTGAACTACTGTGCATGAAGATTGTTGGGTGTATGGTTTAAGCTATGTATGTGGGCTGGTGGCCATTTTCAGAGGTGGGCAGATAAATATGGGAGTCTGAAACAAATTCTGGAAGGCAACAGTACTGATGATTGGGTGAGTGGATGAATTGAATGCATCGATGAGTGTGTGTGGTTATGAAGTGTAAGAAATTTAAGGGGAGTTTCTCAGAAATTACCTTTACAGCATCGAGTGAAATAAAAGGACCCTTAAATGAGCAACGCCTCAGCAGTTTCTCATCCTCAACCTTTATACCCCTCTCCTCACCCACGTTATGCCTTGGCTGTGATGGGCATCAAGTGGGAGATTGCTTTTTTCTCCAACCTGCTTGTACAGTGGGGTTATCGTCTATCAGCACTCAGTGTAGCTGGGTGTTTGGTCTTTGAATTCTTCAAAATGATTCTTGTTGATTTTCAAATTGCCAAAGTTAGTTTGGAGTGATTTGAAGGGTTTGTGTCATAGCAAACGATTGCCTTGAGATGAAATGAGGTGTGCTCTCTACTGGGCTCCCTGCCCTTTTCTAAAATAAGAAGGCGGCATAAGGTCACTCAAAACGTGGTACAGTTTGATATTTGTGTCCTACTGAGGCTGGTGGCATGAGACTAGTAAAACTACCAAGGTGCTGCTCATAAAGGGCGTTTCACTTCACTCAACACTGTTCTTACGTTTTAAATGTTCTTGAATTTTATATATTACCTTTGAGATTTTATTTTAGTGCTTTGAGAAACTGCTTGTTTCTTCTCTTTTAGGCTTATCCATTACTCTTACAGGTTTCTTTTTCTTGTCGTATACAGTACTATACAGTATACTGTATTACTACAATTTTCTCATGTTTAATCAGTGCCTGCTTTCTTGACAGATCTTTAATCAAACAATTAATAAGCATCAAGTTTCCAAGAAAGATGGCCACCAGAGAGAGTCTGGAAGCAGGAAGTAGTGTTGTGTCTGAGACTGAAGCCACGGAGGAGGTGTCGTTTGTTATTGACAAACGACCTTTCACTTCAGTAAGCGAAGGAAAAGCGGAAGTTCTTTTTCCATCATCACATGATGTGTTCTATAATCCAGTACAAGAATTCAACAGAGACTTAAGGTGAGAATTAATTTTAAGATTGCAGTACTTGACCTTTCAAGTACTCATGAATATGCTTACTGTATATTTATTTTTGGTAAGTAGCAAAGCAATGGTCAAAAACTATGGAGCAGTTGCACTTATGTCCCACATTATAAGGTCTTTGAGAGGATGAGTAAGAGTCAAGTGTTTAGGTTTATCGATAAAGACGAACTACACAATCCAAAATAAACACATATTTAGAGCAGGAAAATCCTGTCTTTCATAACTACACAGCTATTATGACAAAATTACAGAAGCATTAGAAAAAATGCAGATGTTGTATACAGACTTTGTAAAGGTATTTGATAAATGTAACCATGTAGTTCTTTTGTCGGTAAATATTCCTTTAGTTTTAAAAGCTGTGTTTACATGTACTGTACTGTACTGTACTGTACCTTCATTACGATTATGCCACTTTATTTATATGTGAAAGCCTGACAGTAGGGTACTGACCACTTGAGTTCAGGAATAAAGATTTAATGAAATCAGGGAACATAGCCTCATGTTTTAAGAGGACTAGAACAGCAAAATTGAAGTAATTTCTTCCGTACTGGGTGCAGGTGAGAACCCCAATGATCACAATAGGTGATCAGGTGTCCGAGATAGACACCTGCCGCTCTACCTCCCACTCTCTGGGGACAGAAGGTAGCCTAGTGAGTCCCCAGAGGTGCTGTGAGGTCCCTGGGTTTTGGGGCTGGTGTACACAGGGGTTAAGCATCGACTTCATCATGAGAGAAAGTGAGTACAGAGCCAACAATAAAGAGAGCAGTAACGGACCGTTCACTGGTGGAGCTCAACGAGGCTCTGACCTTTGTCTTCCTCCGTGACACCATCCTGTGTGATGGAGATATTTGATGAACTCATAGCTAGCCCTATATAGTGCAACCTCGATTCAATGAATCTTGATTTGGCAAATCTCCGGTTGGAACACACTTTCCATACCAGATTTACTCACACTATTCAATTAACAATACAGTAGTTTGCTGAAGCAGAGGATGTGTGGATTTGTTTAGGATGTTGGGACTGAGTTCACAAATGGAGGCAACATTAAAATAAGGAGTTAGGGGCCTTAGAAAAGCTACTGAGCATATTTAAAACCAAATTCTCTGCTTCCCTTTCATTTAAATTGCAGGGGTTTTTCTTCAGTAAATTACGTGCCCTATTTTCTCTGAAAAGGAGACTTCCAGGCTGTGGCAGGGAAAATTCGCTAGATGTGATTCAATCTCTTTACAGACAGGTTCTTTTGTTGTTGCCCTTAATTTGACAGGTTGAAATTATAATTTTGCTCAGTAAAATCAGCCCATAGAGCATGGGAAATATTAAAAATGAATGAATGGTAACTCTTAATATGGCTCACATCACATTTTTAATGATTTTAGTTTGGCATTTTTTGTCATGTGTTTGGAATTTTTATGTTGAATTTAATTTGTTCACTTAAGTATGGCCCTGCTACCTTTTGTAAATGAGTTTTGAGGCTGGGGACATGAGAAATGAGCTAGATGTGGTTAAATTTTTTGCAATGTTCATTTGGCAGTTCCTTATTATATTACAGGGTGAAAAGGAAATTTTGCTAAGTGAAATTAGCCCATAAGGCATGGGAAATGCATTGTGGAAGCATCTCCGATTGCCACAAATCCCTCACTCCAATGACTTGGGTTTGGTGCTAGTATACAGTTCCCTGAATAAAGGTTGTACTGTACACTAATCCTTCATACTAAATAGAATAGCAGCACAGTGCTGTGTGTACCTAAGCTCGTTAAATAAAAAATCAACCAGGAAAATGTTAGAGATAATTATGAAAGATCATAAAGGGTTTGCATGGTATCTGATATAAGACACATGAGAACAAGAGTAAAATGCTTGCATAAATAAATCTATTATGGATTTTTTGGTTTGTCTAGATAATCTATTTTATTTTACAGTGTGGCTGTGTTGAGGATTTTTGCTGCAGAATTCAAGAAACTGGAAAGAGAAAAGAAATATCAAGCGGAGTTGAAAGAAAAGAAACTTGCTCAGAAGAAATCAGATTCAGAAACTTCACTAGAAACTCCAAATGCAGAAAATGATCCCTCAGATGACAAAGAATTGGCCAATAAAATAGTAGTACCTGTATGTGAAGATGAGAAGACTTCAATTCTGCCTCCGGGAATCAAGGATGAAGATGGTATCCGCATCTTGGAAGGTTTAGCCGCTTCGGGCTTGAGATCCATTCGTTATGCCAAAGAAGTTGGAGGTGTGAAAGAGATTATTGCCAATGATATATCTAACCAGGCTTTGGAATGTATGAAGACCAACATTGACCACAATAAAGTTGGGGATATTGTTATCCCAAGCCACAATGATGCCAGGCAAGTGGATATTGCATCAAATGTCTTTTTTTTTTATTACAATTTACATGTATGTGATTACCTGTTTATAGTTCCATGAAGAGACCTATGCCATTAATGACTATATTAATAAAGAAACACTTCCATTTATTCTTTCTACACCTTTTTCTGATGTTTACAAATGTAAGAGTCATTTTCTTCATAATGTTAGTTTATAAATTGATTGCAGGCGATGAGTCACAATAACGTGGCTGAAGTATGTTGACCAAACCACACACTAGAAGGTGAAGGGACGACGACGTTTCGGTCCATCCTGGACCATTCTCAAGTCGATACGTCATCGTCCCTTAACCTTCTAGTATATAAATTGATTGTTTTTAATATTTTATTACTATGTCCTATGACCTCAGTGTGGCTTTTTTTATATGCTACTGATGCTGTTTGGGGACAGGTTTCTGTTTATCATCCCAGTTTTTCACATCCTTTGTTTTAAGGCCTGTGTTTCTCAGGTGCTCTGCACAGTGGTTTGGTCCAGCCAGCCAGCTGTTTGTCCCCATTTTGAGGATGTGCATATGTTTGCTACTTTGATGGCTTTCTTTTCAGTTTTGTTCTCAGCTGATCTTTGAATGCTGGGCTTCTGGTAATATTGAACCATTGTAAATACTGATTAGAGCCTACTCCCATATTGTTTATAAAATTGAGTAATTTTATAAACTAACTGTACAAATAATATATTTGTTATCCATTGTGAATTAAATGCCTTAAATAATAATAAAACAATGTTTAATTTGCAGTATGGTAATGTATCAGAACCGCGAACTCAGCCGAAGATTTCATGCAATTGACCTGGATCCCTACGGCTCTCCACACACTTTCCTGGATGGGGCGGTGCAGAGCATCGCTGATGGAGGCATTCTTCTGGTGACGTGTACAGACATGGCTGTACTGTGTGGCAACTCCCCAGAGACCTGCTACTCTAAATATGGTGCTTTGTCTATCAAGAGCAAAGCTTGCCATGAGATTGTAAGTGCAATAATAATAATAATATATACAGGGCCATGCCGGTTATTGATAGATCTTTTGGCAAGATATATATTCTATGCTTACAACAAATTTTAATGTCTAATGATTTACAATGTAATATAATGATTAATATTTTTATTAAATGCATATTATTTGTAAGCTGTACAAGTGTCTTATGATTTATGCAGGAGATACTTCCCTGTGAAAAGCATACAAATTTAACTTAAAATTATATGGGAAAAAATAGGGATATGTGTCAAGAGACCTCCAAAAGTTCACACTTTCCAACTACTAATTAAAACACCAATTATAATACTGTAACATTATTAATACTCTCACCTTTCCAGCCACAACTTCAGAACATATCAATATTCAAAATGCTGAAGATGTGCAATATTAAACTAATATAACCTTAAATGTTCATAAAGCATAAGCATATAATCTTTCAAATTTTATGAAAAAACGCATGAAGCTTGTTTTCAGAAATGTTTTTGACTAAGTTTGATTTAACAATACTGTATTATCTTTTCGCTTTCATAATCCTCTTAATGGCTTGGTGATATTGAGCTGTAATGCTGCATCTGATTTGTGGCAACCCGATTTTTCCGGGGGCAGCCTGTATCTCTCCCAGATTGTTCCTGAAAACAAATGTACTGTATTATGAAATGCTTTTTTTTAATCATTACAGCCAAGCATAACCCCTCCCCCCAATCCCCTTCTCGTATTTAGCTTGTGAATGGTACTCTTTCCGAGTCTAAACAAGCACATACGTAATATTAAAATAAAGGTGAAGAAACGGTCCAATACATGTGTAAGTGTATTATTAAAGCAAATTGTGTTTATGAAACCTACATGCCTTATCAAGGTGGTGTAAGCATTGTTATCATCACTTTGATAAAGCATGTAGGTTTCATCTGAAAATTTGGTTTAATTATACACTTACACATGTATTGAGCCTTTTCTTCAACTTCATTCCAACACTAGGGTATTGTAGCAAGTTTATATTTTTTTAATTAGGCATTAAAATAACGTTATTTAGACGATTATGATAATCATTACACATGCTTAATATACATAAACTATACCTAACTGGGCATGAAAAGATCATTACTGTAGTTGCAACCATTAAGTAACCATTACAATTTATAATTTATTTCTTGCCACAGGCTCTGAGGATTGTCTTGCAATGTATAGAGTCACACGCCAACCGCTACGGCCGATACATTGTTCCACTTCTCTCCATGAGCGCTGACTTTTATGTCAGGGTTGTAGTGAAGGTGTTTACCAGCAGAGTTAAATGCAAGGAGACTTTCTCTAAGGTAAGAATTACATGATTTGATTGAAATTTGTATTATTACCTATCTTGAGATGATCTTGAGATTATCTTGAGATGATTTCAGGGGTTTTAATGTCCCCACGGCCCGGTCCTTGACCAAGCCTCCACCCCCAGGAAGCAGCCCGTGACAGCTGACTAACACCCAGGTACCTATTTTACTGCTAGGTAACAGGGGCATAGGGTGAAAGAAACTCTGCCCATTGTTTCTTGCTGGCACCCGGGATCGAACCTGGGACCACAGGATCACAAGTCCAGCGTGCTGTCCGCTCGGCTCCACCGGCTCCTACTGTATTTTTGTGTTGTAATGTGGTTCAGAATTTATTGTACAGTATTTCAAAATTTTACTTGTTGCCCAGAGCTGATAAATTTATATTTTGGAAAATACTTGGCATTATAAATGAGAATAAATAAATATACTGTACCAATAGTGCATGCAAATGTGTGTGTTATTGATTCAAAAAATATTAGATGTCACAAGACATATCACTTTGTTCCTAGGTTATAAGAGATCGACACACACACATATGCCGAACTTTCAAACCTCCTCTCTCCCTACACCCGCATCCTCTTCCTGAATTTCATCTCCCCATCCCTCTACCTCCCCCATCCTTTCCAATCCCTTTGGACATCAAAGCTAAAGAGATCATTATTGCTGAAGTAGATAGAGGCTAACATTCCATTTTTGTCATCTTCATATTTATCTACTTCTAAATCACAGTTTGATATAACATTATCTGCAGTCATGTTTTCAACATTTGTATTGCTGTTCAGATTTCTTGTAGCGATATGTGACTACTGGGGAGCCACTCGGCCGAGCGGACAGCACACTGGACTTGTGATCCTGTAGTCCCGGGTTCGATCCTCGGTTCGATCCCGGGCTCTGGCGAGAAACAATGGGCAGAGTTTCTTTCACCCTATGCCCCTGTTACCTAGCAGTAAAATAAGTACCTGGGTGTTAGTCAGCTGTCACGGGCTGCTTCCTGGGGGTGGAGGCCTGGTCGAGGACCGGGCCGCGGGGACATTAAAAGCCCAGAAATCATCTCAAGATAACCTCAAGATACTGTATTTAGAGTTGTGTAATTCAAAGTTCCGTGGTTTTGTTTTGATTGATGATGGATTTTGTACATCACCCTTAAAGAATTGCTACATAAGATGATGCCTACATAGTCATCAAACCAGCATGGTAAATGTAACTGAGATCTTGAATTGGTAACATATGTCTAGGCTCTTCTGACTAGCGGCATTTCATCTGTCTCAAAGACTACATGTAAAGCACTTCATGTAATTTATTTTATTTTAGTGTTGTTACCAGCAGCAGCTAGTTTATTGTGCACACTAAACTTATCTTGTGAGGGGTAGCACAAAAGGATTACAGAGAACATAAGAACAAAGGTAACTTCAAAAGGCCTATTGGCCCATACGAGGCAGCTCCTATCTAATATGACCCCATGAGAATTGCCACAAAGCTTAGTATGTATGCCATTCATTCCCTTTCAACAAACTGCATCCAGTTATTGCTGTTCATTATTACTTCTCATTTCTGTACTTTCTCAGTTGCTTGGATCTGGTCCAGGGGTGCTCTTTGTGATCTCACGCATTGTGGCATTAGACTATCCTGGTTTCCCAGACTTGCCAAGGGAAGTCTGGGAACCACTGAGGTCCAGTCCTCAGTGGTTCCCGTGTACAGGGTGTTGAATGTGCTTGCAGTTAGTACATCACGCTTTCATCCCATCATGATGGAATGAGAGGTGGATGAGGCATCCTTTTTTTAGATATATTCAGCATGACTCAAGCAAATCTGTTCATATCTGTTTGGAACCATAGGCTTTCTGGTTAAATTTCATTTTGGTTTTCCATCAAGATACTTTTGTGATGGATGTGTTTCATCTTGACTGCAACCAGAATATGATTTAGTTAATTCCTCCCATCTAAATGATGTCACAGTTCTCCTTAAACAGAACAGATACAAACATTTTGTGTCTTGGGTGATTTTGTTTATTCCTGTGTGACTGACTTAGCCCCAATTCTCAGCCCTATCTTGGGGCCAAGTCTGCTTCCCAGGCAGATCACCCTCTGGATTGACACAAACTCTTCCAGACTTTCCACCAATCTTAATGTATAATATTCCAGGACAAATCTATCACCAATTACTGTATGAGTGTGGCAGTTGGTGGAAATTCTTCTTCAGCATCTTCATGAATTGTCTCATCTTTAGTGTGAGGTGGCCTAATGGTCACTCTAAGAGGTTTTGCCTCTGTGATTTGTCCTGATGATTTCATTAAGCTGCATGGATTTGGAACTCGAAATTGTTCAGTATTTTAAGTTTCGATGAGATTAACCCTGTCACGTCTGGTATGTAGTGTTGTTAGTCTTGAGGCCATCAACGGATGAGTTGAGTCGAGTTTTGTTGATTTGTGGAACTAATTACCGCGTAACGTGGTGGAGGTGGGGTCCCTCGATTGTTTCAAGCGTGGGTTGGGCATGTATATAAGTGGGCTTGGGCAGTTATAAATAGGAGCTACCTCGTATGGGCCAATAGGCCTTCTGCAGTTACCTTGTTCTTTTGTTCTTTTAATGTAATTTCTGACATTGCTGTTCTTTGAGCACTGGACAATGCCTTACACCATTGATTTGTATTGGATGGTTCTGGCAGAGCTATATCTTTCATGCTGCCCTCAATCTCTTCTGTACTTGTATTGAGTTTGGTGGAGAATTTTTAGACTTGTCCTCTACATGCTTTGTTGGAATGCATGTGGTCTCTTGAAGTGGTTCTGGACTTTGTGTTCTCAATTTTGAGTGTCACTGTCAATTGAGGATCTGACTCTGATGACACTTTTTTTTTTTTTACATTAGTTATAAGTAACCATGATGGTGAGTTAGAAATCTAGAGTATCTCCCTTACCTCATTAACAGCTCAGCAGGAGCATTTTGAAAAGATCCCCCACTTCTTCAGAAACAAAGTCGAACTGGCCTGGCTGGTACCTTGACATGTCCTTGTTAGTGCAGGAAATTACCAAAAAAACAACTTCTTTAGAAAAGAGCTTTTTATTCTCACTTAACTTTGTTTTCCAAATTTACAGTGGGAAGACACTTGTTTTATCACACCAGTAAGTTTGATTATCAACATTGTAGCTAACATTTATTGATTTTAATTTTTTATTTTTATTCCAGGTGTCATGGTTATATCAGTGTGTGGGATGTGAGACTCGAACTCTGCAGCCATTGGGTCGCATTGTCATCAATGGTAAAAGTGTGAAATACCAGCTGTCCTCTGGTCCCCCTGTAGCAGAGGCTTGTTCTCACTGTTCTCACAGACATTTAGTTGCAGGGCCGATATGGTCTGCACCTATTCACGATAAAGATTTTTTGAAATCTTTGAAAGAATCCTTGGTCGAGGAGGACTTTTCCACTTTCCGACGTATGTATGGGATACTGACAATGATGGAAGAAGAGCTACAAGATATACCACTGTACTACGTTTTGGACAAATTATCTAATATTGCAGGTATCAACCCCTGCAAGATGGTACAGTTCCGATCTGCTTTACTCAATGCTGGGTACCGTGTGTCCATGTCTCACACGGACCAAGCCAGCATCAAAACGGATGCCCCACCGCAGGTTGTGTGGGATATTGTCCGAGCTTGGGAAAAGCTGCGTCCTGCCAATAGAGCAAAGATGCCTGATGACAGAGCAGGGAAAAGAATATTGGAAAAAGAAATTCTAACAAAGATAAGTTTTGATCTCCACCCAGAAGCCAAGCCTGAATCAAAGAAGCAAGATTTGTTACGCTTTCAGGTTAAACCCGAAAAAAACTGGGGACCGAAGGCTAAAGCAAAAACCAGCCTATTCAATGGTGATCAAGAGGAGAAGCGGTCACGTAATCAAGGAAAGAAAAGAAGATGTCAAAACGGTGATAAGCCATTACCAAATAAAATGACAAAAAGTGGCAATAATCAGATAAGTGATAGCTGATTTGTTTGTCAATTATGACTTAAATCAGCAATACTGTAGATGTTAGAGAAAATCCTCCAATAAACAATCATGAATGTTACTGACAGCTTCACTCAATGGGATAATTAAGAAACTCACGTGAAGAAAATTGAATTTAAATGTTTAAAATAAATTTATATAAATTTTAAATTTTGCATGGGAAATATATAATTATTTTCCACCATTTTGTTTAATTTACATTACATACCCATGTATCCTTCATACTTTTGTAATTCATCCGCCCCACGATGTAAGTGGTACACACTGTTCAGGACCTCACTGAGCAATGGATGAAATGAACAAATCCGCAAGGGCTGTGGTGATGGCTCAAACTTACGTCTGGGATTATCCCAGGCGTGCCTTAGTCGACTGTACTAAGACCGGGGAGCCGGTCGGCCGAGCGGACAGCACGCTGGACTTGTGATCCTGTGGTCCCGGGTTCGATCCCGGGCGCCGGCGAGAAACAATGGGCAGAGTTTCTTTCACCCTATGCCCCTGTTACCTAGCAGTAAAATAGGTACCTGGGTGTTAGTCAGCTGTCATGGGCTGCTTCCTGGGGGTGGAGGCCTGGTCAAGGACCGGGCCGCAGAGACACTAAAGCCCCGAAATCATCTCGAGATAACCTCAAGAAGATGGTTGTGGGTAACGACATGGTTAACCATTTAGTGACACAGTTGACTAAGGCGCGTCTGGGATCATCCCTGGCGTAGGTTAGAGCCCTCATCACGGCCCTTGTGGATTTGTTCACTTGATATATCCTGCCATTGTGATATCTGTGTGTAATGGATGAAATGTTTATACTATTTTGATTTGCAGAGTCATTGTGTTATGCTGTACATATGATTGTATCAAAATGTTCAGAAACTAATGTTTTACAGTATAAATACAAGAACCAATTGATATGTGCCTTATAGTTTAAGCATGGTATTGCTTAATATACAAAAGTTTCTAAACATTTTAAGATTCCTTATTTACCTTATTATTTTTGTATGCAAATGTACACACAATTGATCTATAATCATAGTTTATTAAATTTTTTGGGGAGCAAAATCCTTATAAATCACTACTCTCAAATAATGGATGGTTGCCAATTTAGTTTATTGCCTAATTTACACATTTTGCTTTCATCCCCTTTATTTTGAGCTCACATTAGGGTATATACTATTAGAATAAATTATTCAGTAATACTGTAATTATTATTAATTACTTTATACAAATGCAAGACTTTAGATCCACATGACCCATAAATTTCTATTTTGATAAAACACTTTAATGCCCTTAACCTTTAAGCTTCAGCAGTACGAGCTGAAATGTTAGCACTGTTAATACACCGTACTGTACATCTGTTGCATTTAAACTGCCTTAACACCTACCTACCAAATGGTAGTAAATAATAAAGAAAAAACTGCCACAGATGTGGCTACACATTTACAATGCTAAACAGCAATTCATTTTCTTGTGTCCTCCATGGACAGGGTTAGAAATTTGTTAAACATATAGTTCAGTGATGTTTAATAGAACTAACCCTGTCAATGGTGGACAGAAGCAAATGTATATATTCTGGTTAGCATTGTAAATGTGTGGCCATGTCTGTGGCAGAAAATAATAGTAATAACAAAAACATTATAGTTGTGTGAGGCTCATCACTCATGGCCTGCAATTAGAACATGCCTTTATGTTTATATATAATATATATATATTATATATAAACCTTAACCAAACCACCTAAAGGTGGTTAACCTTTAACCACCTTTAACATTCATTGTAGTATTCGAGCACAAAATTACAAAATAGCCCTCATAATATATGTAAGCCTGATCATGTTCCTAAACATAGCTTGTCTACTGTTTACAAGAAGAAAATTGTCTGCATGTCCTGATTTAAACAGCATTGTTTCACTGATCTCATTTTTTTTTCACACAATAGCAGGCCCATTCCTCAGTACTGTACTGATATGCATAACAAAATTGTTCTATATCTTCGAGAAATATTGTTCCCAACATATGCTTAAAATTTCTTATTGATGAAACCAATGATGTGGGATGAAATTTCTTCTCCCTGGTCTTCTTGAAGAAAATGTCCAGCTCCTTCTATTGTCTTGGTGATGGCATGTGGTATAAGCCGTTGAAAGGTTTTCTCTTGACCCTTGGTAATAGGATCACGAGTGGAGAACATTAATAGAGCTGGATTTTTCCACTCGGTGGCAAGGAAGTTACGAGTGGCTTGCATGTCAGCAGCAACTGGCGTGTGAGAGTTCAGAGGAACTAAGAGTGGCCACCTTGCAGCTCCAGCTTTGTACAGTGAAGATGGGAATGGTGCATTGTAGCCATCTAGGATTGCAGGATAAGGGTTCATCAATGCCTTCTTGAAGATATGGTATACAGGTATTGATGTTCCAAGAAGCTCAGCAAAGCTACGCCAAGCCATGAAGGGTGTTATCTGAGCGATGGTAGAAATGGCAAGTTCACTACCTGCTGGCAGACCTGTATTCATGATAACCAATCTAGAAAATAAATGTGGAGAATCCTTCACCACAGACAGACCAGTTAAGCCTCCCCAGTCCTGACACACTAGTGTTACATCATTTACTCCCAGGTAATCTAAGAGTAACCGCAAGGTTTGGGTGTGAAGTTCATGACTATAGGCTTCGGGAAATGTAAATTTGTCAGATTTCCCAAATCCAATAAAATCTGGGGCAATAACACGGAATCCACTCTTCACAAGTATCTGTATCATGTGGCGATACAGGAAGGACCAGCTAGGCTCACCATGTAAACACAAGATGATCTCACCATCACGAGGCCCTGCAAACAAGCAAAGGGTACATTTTAATGTCCAATCTTTGCGATTAGCATCTGGGAAAGTCGACCTGATACAAATCAGCAGCAGATTGACAATGAATGAGGCAGAGTGGAAAAGTAAGCAGAGGGGCCCCAGACAAAATCTCAAGGAACACCAATGTGAACTTATCCTTTGGCTATGGAGAGCTCACCAGACAAAGGGTCAGAGGCACCCAGCTGTTTGCAGTGTTGCTGACAGTTGATGGATCAGCTTTGGATCTTTAGATAGTTTTGAATGACCCTTTGTGAAAACTTTGCCTTGAGAAGGATTGAGCAAATGCTTACATTTACTTTTTAAAGTTGTGGATGGAATTGGCTTTAACAACCTCTTCCTTCAATGCATTCCAATCTCCTACCCCCCTGTACAGTGAATGAGAACTTCCTTACATCTCTTTGACTCAACTGCATAACCAGCTGCCACTAATGACCCCCTCCCTTGTCCTACCTGTATTTAATTTATATAGATATCCTTTATCCATTTTATTCCCTCAAGATCTTGTATGTAGTTATAATAGCCCCTCTGTTTCTTCTCTCCTCTAAGGTTGTGAGTCCGAGTTCTTTCAACGTGTCCTCATACCTGAAGCCTATCAATTCTGGTACTGATCTAGGTGCAAACCTCTGAACTTTCTCAAGTTCATATTTATGCTTCACAAGGTGGGGGTTCCATGCTGGAGCTGCATAATCAAGTAATAGTCTCACATAGGCAGTGTGTATGGACGTGTTCCGTATCGAGCTACCCCTCCACCCCTACTGTATGGATGATAAGGCAATTTAAAAAAATGTTTGTCTCCCGAGGCATAAAATCCTGCACAGCCTGGCATAAGAGCCAAGTTCTGCAAGCCACACACAGTGAACAGAATAAGCATAAGGAAGCCAACGATGGCCTAGATTAAAAAATAAAATAGCCTTCTACAGAGTATACTTGAAATTATAATAAATAATTCATTGTGTTAGGGGGACAGGAAGCCAGAGTGTATTCATACATGTTTTGGCTTTTATCGAGGTCCACCCCCCGCACCCCTAGGGTTGAATTACTGGCCCCGCCCAGGATGTAACCTCTACAACAAACTGACCAATTCCTGAGTACATGTACCTACTCACTGTTAGGTGAACAGAGGCATTAGGTGAAAGGAAATGTGCCCAACCATTTCTGTCCCGCCCAGGATTCAAACCCGGGATTCTCGATTGTGCCTTGAAAATGAACCCGATTGTACTACCAGGATCCTCTCATACACAATACTCTAGCATTGTGGAAGCAACTGCTCACTTGGGCTCTCTATTTGGTGACATACAAGAAGTTTCACTATGCTTGTGAAAATAAAAAGTACATTGATAACAGATTGAAGATAAAAATATATACAGTAGTATAGTACAAAATCCCTGTATAAGATATCTATAGCATATATTCACTAAAAAGAACTTATTTAAAAAAAACAGGAAGGTAGACAATGATTGAATATACTGTACAGTACTGTATTACATCTATGCATTAATTCTCTTTCAAAGAAATTACTGTATCATTTACCATGCTTAACAAATTACATGTTTTAATAGCTTCATCATTCATAAAACAAAAAAGCTATAAATAGAGGACAAAATAACTTATAATATATATAATTTATTAACACGTGAACATTATTGTATTTGCTCTAGCATTTATATGAAAGATATTAAGACAGATAAGCATACATTTTTGTACAATGAATGAATGCAAATACAAAGTTTAAAAAAAAAATGCAAATATCAGGCAAGTAGGCCTACTTGAAAATACGGTAAGAAACTATTGATGTGTGCATTTGTGTGGGTGATTAAATATGTATGTGTATGTATATATGTATACATATATATATATATGTACATGTATGTATGAGAATGTGTACATGTATATATAACATTAATAATTTTGTAACTAGCGTCAAAATTTTTTTATTTGCTTAGCTAAACGAATTAGAGGGTTCAGTTCCTGAACCGATTATGTGACTCTGTAATCCTTTACACCACCGCCCACGGGATGGGTATGGGGTGCATAATAAAGAAAGAAATTGACACAAACCTTCATCTACATAGTGAACCCTGGGAAGAGTTTTACCTCCACCAATGGGCAGGGCAACATAATGGGATTTGAACGCGTATCCAACAGCTTCTAACCCGCAGAACCGTTCTTCGGGAGTCCTCACCACGGCGGGTACATTTCTTTGGACGATAAAGTTGCTAACAATTGTAAGCACTTTCTTTATAAAAATGAGCCCTTGGAGAATGATGATGATGCAAGGGAGAATAACTAGACGTTTGAAGTGTCTTTTCGTCATTCCCATGATGGAAGAGGGTTGGTATATCTTCAATCACTTCTGAAAAGGATGATACTTTGAGAACTTCAGATTATTGTATATATACATTTCCATATATATACAATGTATATATACATTGTCAGCAATGTCTCTGCTGACAACCAACACACATACACACTTATGATTAATGGATTATTGATAGAAGTTATACCATCAATGACTTTTCATACCATCAATGACCATCAATGCTATACCATCAATGATGACATGTTGGCATTTGTTCTTGAGATGTGATTAAAAGAAAGGCTTTGAATTCTATAATGTTAAATTTTAATTCAAAGTTTTTCCTAGGTCAATGAGGAGGAGGACTGGGAATTAATTTTTGTCGAGCACTTTATACAATTGAATAAATCATGCAAATGAATAATGTAATCATTGGTGCTCTTCTGAGATTTAAAGCCAAATTGGTTTGAATTTTAAATACTGAATTTTACAAGCTACGAACAGGCCTATAGGTGCTTGTGTACATGCTCTCACACATTTTTGATAATACAGTACATAAATAGGTAAAGTAGATATGAGTCTATAATTATTGATGTCAATTATTGACTCTATAATTATTGTACAGTATTGAGTATTGTAATGAGTATTGAGTATTGAGTGTGTATTGAGTATTGAGTGTGTATTGAGTCTATAATTATTGAGTCTATAATTATTGATGAGTCTATAATTATTGATGTCAGTTGACAAGGAACATTAATTAGCACTCTGGGAACTACAACTACAGACTACCCACTGCTACCACCACCACCAGGTGGCAGCGTTCCCCAGTAGTTAATAGGAGCCGGAAAGCCGGGCCCACACTTAAATATGCAGGATGTCGATCCGAACAATTTCTTCCTTTGGTCAGAAGTAACATGAACGAGGAGCAACGGGTTCAAGTGCAACAAGCCACAATGTTGGACAGAAAACAGGAGATACTCTTTCGCCCGTAGAGTTGTAAACCCGTGGAACCGCCTACCCGCCAAAGCCAAAAACAATAAAAAACTGCTGGGTTTTAAAATACAGCTGGAAAAGATCATCAGGGGAAAAGGGAGGGAATTTGACAAGCCGCCGGCTTCCTATCCTCGTCATGGCCACCAGTATTGGTAGCCCTCAGGTAAATTCAGGTAAATCCTTTTAATTTGTTAGGGGGATAGCTGTTTACTATTTACTAAAGAAAATTGACCCTAGAATGAAATAGGCGACTTAATGTGCCTTGAATTTTATGATTAATTACGTCCTCTGACCAAAACAGACCCAGAGACCCAGAAAACAGGACAGAAGCATTTGGGCAACATTTCCTTACACCCAACGCAAATATAAAAAAAAATCCTCAGGTACAATGGTTGAGGACCAATAACAAGCCACCGGCTTCCTGTCCCCGTCGAGGTAACTAAGGTGACAGTGGCCCCTCCAGTGAATCAGCCAATGGGTGGTTAGAGAGGCGGGGTCCAAGAGCTAAGAGCTCGACCCTGCAGGCAAATAAACACTTACATATTATTTAATGGCAGCTGGCCACGGTGATGACTGTTGTGCCGATGGCGTCGGACCTTCACTCCTCTTGTTATAACTAATAATTATTACAATATCTACCTTTTCTACTAATATTATTATGACACTTTTATGTAATTAATGTACTGTATTCTTTATGTAAGCTAATAAATCAGTCTGGCACTCCATGTTCTCTCCTTGTCTTGTTATCAGTGACTTCAGACTGTAGCTAGTTGATTGTGCTAATAATATACTTGCTCTAAACTTATCAAAATCAAATTAAAAAAATTTAATCAGGTAAAAGTACATACATAGAAGACGAGTTACAAACATAATGTTGAATTTATAGAGAGAGCTAACTGTTTTTAGGCTAATGAGTTTAAGCTTAATGAGCTTAATTATTAGCTTACTGAGCTTAATTATTAGCTTAATGAGCTTAATTATTAGCTTTATTAGCTTAATGAGCTTAATTATTAGCTTTATTAGCTTAATGAGCTTAATTATTAGCTTAATTATTAGCTTAATGAGCTTAATTATTAGCTTTATTAGCTTAATTATTAGCTTAATGAGCTTAATTTTTACCTTAATGAGAGTAGCACAACTCTCATTAATACTAATGACGATACTCAAACCTTTCCCTAATTAGAGTTAACATTCCTCCATAGGTTGGAAGGAATCTGTAATTAGGGAACTGTAATTAAGGAAAAGACCAAATGGTATGAGGTACTTTGAGCTCTATAATTACAGTACCACTTCATACACTCAGGAATATTGGAAGATATTCTCGTGCTGTACCCAGAGTTTGTTAATGCCAGGCTTATAGATCTGCCTGGCATTTCAATTTCCCCGGAATACGACCTGCCAAATCGTTTGACAACTAGATACTCATTCACTGCTGGGTGAACAGAGGCTACAGTTAAGGATTGGTGCCCAGTCAATCCTCCCCGGCCAGGATACGAACCCAGGCCAAAGATATAGCGAAACTCCAGGCGAGTGTCTTACCACTACGCCACAGGGACTGCTATAAGGCCCGTGGTGTAGATAATTGAAAAAAATTCATTGTATCGGGGAACAGAAAACGAGAGTGTATTCATACATGTTAATCTTGTATCCAGTTGTGAGTTGAGAACGAATCCGACTGTGCTACCAAGACCCATTGTGCAGTGTGAAATAGTGAATAATTCCATACTTGTGAGTAATCTTTGTGTTCTTACAGATATGTCAAGTTCAAGTTCAAGTTCATGTATGTTTATTGAGATAAAAAAAGAAATACATCTCAAAGGGATAGAGTAGCTTAGGCTATTTCTACCCTATTTTATATGTGAAGTCACGCTGATTGGTCGGTAGTTTTTTGCTAATCTCTTTATGCCTTCTTTGAAGATAGGGGATGCCATTTACATAATAATAATCATCATTTTATACACAAGAAGGTACAATGGATTGGTGAGATTACATAAGATTGGTATTTTTACATTCTTGCAAAGCCATGGACACGCATAGCGTTTCGGGCACATATTTCCAATCTAGGTCTAGATACTTTCTGAAAAGAAATTACAGTGGTAAATACAGTTCCTCTGCGAGTTTTGTTACGAATTTGGGTTGAATTCCAGCCACATCTGGAAATGAGATCCATAATAAATTGATTCAGTAAAACTGGAAAGTCATATTTGGCGGGTAGTGGCCATTATCGTGGTGATCCCTGGAGAGGCCGCTCGTATATTTAATCCAATTTTCTATTATTGGCATCAATTAAATTCTATACTGATATCTGTAATTAAATGTTGCAATTATGTCCTTAATTCAATTTTGTATTTAATAATATAGGTATTCATGCCCTGAAGAATTATCAATTCTCTTTTGAGCACACTTCTGAATGCTATTCACAAAAGAATATTATTCATTTAGTAACAATATTGAACAAAATTTATAGTCACCCAAATGCGATAGTCAAAAATGTAAGAACTCTTGTATATTTATATGTAAATAAAAAAAAAAGTCCGCGAAGCAGACATTATACATAGGGTGTTTCTTTTTTAAATTAGTGCAGTTTATAATGATGGGACAAATACAGCACACATATAATCCATATAATATTTTTGCACGAATAAATTATTATAATCATTAGTGTAGTACTAGTAATAACAATATTAGATGATATATGTGGTGTTGTAATGGCGGCCGAGGCGAGGCAGGTCTTTCCCTTTAGTGACGGTGTGTGAGGCGGACGCTCCCGGCTGCCTCGTCCGTGTTTCTTCGTCTGCGTCTCCTAGGCCCTGAACACGGCCCTAACAGCCTGCCGAGGTATGTAACGAGGTGATTAGGGCGGTGATAGGTGGTTTATATGCCTAGGAGAGCGGATGTTTAGGGATTAATGTGAGGCTCGACCATCTGCTAGACTCATTTTTCTCACGTGTCAGTCAAGTCTTATTAACTACTGAACTATAAAGTGCCCTTGAGGACAGGAAGTCTGCGGCTTGTCAAAATAACCCCCTCATTTGTTTTGGTATTTTTTTTTAAACTATAAAAAAATTATTTTGGTATTTACGGCTTTGGCGGGTAGGCGGTTCCATGAGTGAATGTATGTTGCCAGTCTTAATAAGTACCTCCTTTTCCTTCAAAAGTAAAGTGATTAGGTATTAAGTTAGTCCAGACCAGCCATACACTAAAATCTGTTGTATATAAATTAATAAATTTGTACTTTATGTAGACTTAGAGTCGAAGAAGTCATTGAGCTATTTTCAGCCAAAGTAATAAAAATACAGCAAATACAGAAAAATTGATTTTCCCCCAAGAGGAAACTCGAAATCTTTAGGAAGTTTTGATGAGCACGTTACCTTGATACCTTGCTTGTGATCCTGTGGTCCCGGGTTCGATCCCGGGCGCCGGCGAGAAACAATGGGCAGAGTTTTTTTTCACCCTATGCCCCTGTTACCTAGCAGTAAAATAGGTACCTGGGTGTTAGTCAGCTGTCACGGGCTGCTTCCTGGAAGTGGAGGCCTGGTCGAGGACCGGGCCGCGGGGACACTTAAAAGCCCCGAAGATCTTGGTACTTTACTCTCAATATTTGTCAAGTATGCTTGGATAGATCTTGATACACTGGTACTCGACAAGATTAGAATTTAGTTAACCATACAACAATCTCTGTTACGTTAAGTTGGGAGAGGCTAGCCCCAAGTGTTTGACCTCCAGCACATCCTTTATACTGTGTATAGATTTGTTACTGCTATATGTAAATTGATGACTTTTATTTCAGATGGTGAACCATAGAGTACAGCTGGTGCAGAGTAAACGGTACTCCACCCCTAGGAGGCCGTTTGAGAAGCCTCGACTCGATCAGGAACTCAAGGTAAAGAAATAACCTTGTTTCCCTTCTTGCTTAATGTATACTTATTTTTCTAATAGCATAAATGTCACTGCTGAATAAGATAGCACGTGCAGGTATGCAAATTGTTTTAATTTTGACGGAAGATTAAGTGAAGGGAGGGAACTATCAGGAGAGCACCAAGCCATTAAGACTATATATATAGTACTGGGAAGGGATCAGGATACGGATTTGGGATAGGACGGGGGGGAAGGAATGGTGCCCCAACCACTTGGACGGTCGGGGATTGAATGCCAACCTGCATGAAGTGAGGCCGTCGTTCTACCGTCCAGCCCAAGTGGTTGTACGGATACTACAATTTGTGCCGAATCGGTGGCAATGCCTAGGTCTCGGGCCTCGTTCCGTGTTGAAATTTGGTGAGGTTAAGCGGCACAATTTCCTTGTAGCGAGAGAATAATGGTTAGTGGCATTCTTGCTGTTCAGGCAATAAAGTAAATAATTTTAATGTATACAGCATTTAAAAGCTAGTTTTCTATTAAATTTGATTAGATTTAATTGTAACTGCACTAGAGTGTAACGGTTAAAAATTGTACAAGGTACTGACCATTATTTACAGGATAAAATTACATTACCTAATGGTACGTCCTACTCAAATTAGGAATCTAATCATAAAATTGAATTTCACATTCAGGGGTTTGAATATGGCAAATTTATGAAATCACTTGAAGTCAGCAGTTATTAGTAAATTATTGTATATATTTAAAGGTTTACTCTGGGCATAAAATAAAAACTAAACTTAAAATTGTCTTTGTAGCTAGTTGGTGAATATGGACTTCGTAACAAGAGAGAACTTTGGATTGTGAAGATGTTCCTTGCAAAGATTCGTAAGGCTGCCCGTGAACTGCTGACCTTGGACGAGAAGGATGCTAGACGACTTTTCCAGGGTAAGTGTTAGCAAGTTTGTGCTCAATGAAGCCGGTCCTTGTTTTGACAAATTTGGAAGTTGTGTATGGAAGCATACCCAATTTTGTCAAGTTTAACTGTTTAGAATGATGTTTTTATTCTGACACATCTTGCCCTATGTATCTGAGGAGAGATTTAATCTGACATTTAAAGCTTTAGGTTTTTCTATTTATGATTTTGTCAAAGATATTAAGTTTTTTCTTTTTCTGCAGGTAATGCTCTGCTGCGTCGTTTGGTAAGAACAGGTGTCCTAGAAGAGGGTCGCATGAAGCTTGATTACGTTTTGGGTCTGAAGCCAGAAGATTTCCTTGAACGTCGTCTACAGACTCAAGTATTCAAGCTGGGTCTGGCCAAGTCCATTCACCATGCTCGTGTACTCATCAAACAAGGACATATCAGGTAATTGCAGAATTAAAATGTTTTTGGGGAAATGTACTGAATTGCTTGCTATTTTTATTTTGCATTGAAGTGGGCAGTGGTGTGCAGCATGCAAGCACACAAGGACTTGACATTCTTTCAGGAGATAACACTTAAATGTACAGGCCATTACATACAGAAATCACAATAGCGTGATGCATCAAATGAACAAATCCACAAGGGCAGTGATGGGTTCGAACCCTCATCACGGCCCTTGTGGATTTGTACAGGTTATTGATTCCTAGTGTTTAGTTAGGGAATATAATGGGATTAATGCCGTTTTGATTTTCCTCTTTGAATTAGTATATGTGGAGATCTTTTGTGAATTTGCTCTATACAGTTATGGTGCTTATTTTTAAGAGGTCTCCACAGCTTTGTGCATTTTCTTTCACGTTTGAAGATTTAGAACATTACCCTGCCAATATTTTTTGTAATGTCTGAAATTTTAAATTTGTATGTTATCAAGTCAATAAATTATGGCAAGAGGCCCATTTATATTTTAGTATAGTGAATGCAGATTAGCTAACAATATAGCCGATTCCCTGTTGGTCACTTTAAATTTTAGATTATAGGCTTTACTTTTTTATGCAACAAATAAATAGCCAGTCCAGCTAAAAGCCATAAAGTGCCCAACTTGTATGTATACTTCACTAGATGTTTGAACAGTAGTTAAACCACATTTTCTTCACAGAATATGCAAAAATGCAAGACCCATTTGACATCAGTAATGAAGCATTGCTCAGACTTTTATCATGAAGACCACTTGACTAGGTACAACCTAGCAATGTCTCGTATATATTTCGAAAGGCCACTTGACCAGGTATATCCTGGCAACGCCTCTCATAAATTGGGATAACCGCAGTGTTTTGATGGGCTTGTGTGCTCACGTGTTGTTGGAATTGGCACAGCTTCAAACTTGGTGAGCTGCCTTATACCCATGTGTTTACATCAGTCTTTGAACTGCACTACATCCAGAGAATTATTTCTTTCCTAGAATAGCTGGTGTAAATATTTTTGTTTGAATAGGGTATATGTTATGTTTTTTAGTATGTTTTAAGTGCACAGCCACTTCAATCATTAAAACTATCTACATTTGTTGCGATAATGATATTTGTGTAAAAAGACCAGGGTTGAACATGTGCAGTGATGTACTTCCTTTTACAATATTTTCAACAAGCTTGGAGAAAGTGTTGCATCCAGCAAAAACAATTCAAATGCCTCTTAATATGCTAGGGATAAGAAACTGCCTTCTATCAAATACTTCCTTGGTTATGGTTATTTTAACAAGTGACGGATAGTGGGCATTTTCCTTCATGAACCAGGCCTGATTTGCATGCTGCAACAGGAATTTACTAGATTTACTACCAACACTTGTCTAGACCACTATTGCTGCAACTATAAATTTACATTGTCATTAGTCTCTTACATTTTGTATTTCCTAGTTTAAATGTTATTAATTTTGTGCATTAATCTTTTGCAATGTCTAAATGGTGTTTTTATTTCTCAGGGTGCGTAAACAAGTTGTGAATGTGCCATCCTTCATTGTGCGACTAGATTCTCAGAAGCACATCGACTTCTCGCTCAAGAGTCCATTTGGTGGTGGACGGTATGGTCGTGTGAAGAGGAAGAACATGCGCAAGGGTGGCAGCAAGGCTGAAGAGGGCAGTGGTGATGACGAGTAGTGTCATTGATTAATGCTTTTCAATAAAACAAAGCTAATTAATACTTTTTCATTTGTCCTTTGTATAGTGCCTCCTAGTAGTTGGAATAGTTATTTGGAATTATGAATGTACAGTATTACTGTCTGGGATGGCTTACAGATGCATTTTGGAGCCTATTTAAGTCTGATCTGTGGAAGGGGGGGCTCTAATGTAATTATGAAAACATAAGTAAAGAGACTAGCACCACAGTGCTACTGAATATTCATGCTAAATATCTGGTGATGCCAATAAAGAACAAAAGCACCCTTGGCATTGTAAACTTTAACTTCATCTTATTCACCAAAGATTTGCAGTGATGTTGGGAGAGAAAGAAATGTCCTGAAAACTGGAACATTACCCAATAGGTGCATGACAAGTGGAACAATGCAGCTTTAATAACAAGGTGCAGGGTAGCATTCCATAGTGCCCTAAGAGTTAAGCATACTACTAAATAACCTAGCCAAAGTTAATGGTGGTAAGAGGAAGGCCAAGGGGATAAGATATGCAGTGTATTTATTGCACCAATGACCATGTGAGCAGTATGAGACAACCTGAATATGGAACACTTCTGAGCTCTGCTTTGAATGATCGATTTATATTAGCTCCTTCAAATTGCCGTATCCTAATTTTGATATAAAATGTGCCAATATCTGCCTCACCACTTCCAATGGTAAACTGCACTTGTTTTTTCAATACTGTATATAGTACAGGTATATTGGGAATTATAAACTAAACATTACACACTTTGCTAAAAATGTAAATTTGACTTTCACTGTTGTAGTAGAGCCATTTCTGTGATTTGTAGTTAAAAATAGTTTCTAATTCTAAATGTTTCCGATTCATAATCGCTAGGGGTTGGTGGCTAGATTAACATTTGACCATTGTTTGAGGACTGGCTGGAATATGCAGCCACAGGTCAGAGTTTGGAGAAACAACGTTTGCTATGTAAATGATGGTGACTAAATGTAGGCAGAGGGGGAAAAAGAAGTAGAGTAGATGGAGTTACAAGGGACCTGTGCTGACAATGGGAGGGGCAACTGGTAGAGGGACCGGAAAATGTTGCCTCAGTTTAAGCTTTAGGCTCGACTAGCAGGGCGATATATTAGGCACAGTTAATGCCTTGGTATTGAAGTGATGGTTTCCATGTTTTTAAAAAGTGAGCACAGACTTGAGAGAATGCATGGTGAATACCATACTTAACAAGTTGTGGGATACTATTCATCTCCATATAGGTGCAGGAAGGGAACATATTCTTAGACAACTTAGATCTTTCCAACATCTTTGATTTGTTAAATCAAATGATGTAAGGTATGTTTAGTTTATCTCTAATAATTTTGGGTGGCACAGTAATTTGGAAATTGGAAATCTTTCATGATGCAGGTAAATTGTTATTCTGAAGAAAGCCAATAAAATTTCATACTATATTTTTAAACTGAAGTAATTATCAATAAGTTTCAAAGCCCTGGAAGAGTGACAAATATATATCAAGGAACTTTTAGTACAGTACAGTATTATCATTCAAGATGCCAATATGAAAGTAAAATTACAAAACATAATGCAAAAGGAATGGATTCACCAAGGATTTTATCAAGGGAAAGACAAATTCAAGTTCTCGTTCACACATTACCTACTTTCATCTAGGTAATCAACTATCTGAAAAAAATTCAGATACCGTACTAGGTAATTCATGGATTGTGTCAACATCATGCAGACCATCAGAACAAGTTACACAACCATTCCCCCCATGATTAACTGCAAGGTTATACCTGCTTGACGGATTTCTGGGAGTACAGTAGTTCTACTCCCCAAGCCCGGCCCGAGGCCAGGCTTGACTAGTGAGTTTGGTCCACCAGGCTGTTTGGAGCAGCCCGCAGGCCCACATATCCACCATGTAGATGACAAAAGATGACCAGCCACATAACAATTGGCACTATCCAAATTGGACATTGTATATTGCCACCACTGTAGTGAGGGACAGGAAAGTACAAATCAACTTTCCCCCTAAGAGAGTGGTGTTAGCAACCAAGCTGTTTCATTCTTTGGGATTAAAAGTCTTTCTGGTCATGAAAATTTCTTACTCTGGTACTTTCATTTTTATACATAAAAATTATAACAATGTTCATTTTTGTTGATCCTAAATCCTTATATACATTAATGTTTACAAGTTATATTAGTTATAATAATATAATGATGTTTATTCAGGTAAAAGTACATACATACAAAATGAGTTACAGGATGTTGAATTTCTAGATAGAGCTAGTATATACAGTAATATACTGTGCCTAAAGCCACTAGTACGCACAGCGTTTCGAGCAGTTGTATATACTGTATAAATAAACATCACATGTAGTGTGCAATGCAATTATCATTTACAATACACAGTACACCATCAATTTTGTGTTATGCCATGAACTATATTGTATACTGTATTGCAGGCCACCATCTATTATATAATTACAAAATTATTGGCTATTCAATATCAATTATGGAAAACTTATATACTATGTTGGCTTTAATAAGAGAAAAATCCATCGACACATGAAAAAATATTTCAATTAACCACTTGGACTGAACAGTAGAATTATAACCTTGCTTCTTGCAGGTCGGCATTCAATCTCCTAAAGTTGTAAGTGGTTGGGTACCATTCCTTTCCTCCATCCTACCATAAATGCTTCAAGCTGCCCGAAACGCTATGCATGCTAAGTGGCTTTACAAGAATGCAATCACTTGTATATTTAAATAAATAAATAAAATAAAAAATGCTTATCCTCATAGCCCTTCAAAGTGATATACTCACCCAACTAGGCAAGTACAGTATAGTCATAATGGCTTAGTGCTTTGTCCTGATAAATTACCTGTCCTGGCTTTATGTATGAAAATAATATATTCCCAAGGAACACTTAAGAATAGTTTGCAGTTACCTCTGACCATTTTGTATATTAAATTACAGTTTGGAGACTTGAAAATTTATTTTCACATTTTTAATGGCACCACTGTTAAGAGCAAGTTCATATTTTACAAAATATTAACACAAATTATATTTTCTTTTATAGTCCCATTTCAAGCCAAAGTTGAAATGGCCAAAACAAAATGTGGCCAAAAATTTTTTTTTTGCCAAATGTGGCAAAATGTGGCCAATAAAATTTTGGCCAAATGTGGCCAAAACAGCAGTGTCGCAGTTAAGGTTAAGGTTAAAATTATTCTAAGATTTGTCACTAAGATGCAACCAGATCCAATAACCAAGATATTCCTTGCACGACCACACAAGGTACATTTTTAATTTGTACAGTATTTGAAAGCATTCTCCAGATATTGCATGTACAGTATTGTATTTTGCAAATTAAACAAAAATTTAAGATGTCTATTCAACAGCAAATAACATAACAAATTAACTTGTAGCTTGTGCAAAGCATTAACCAAATCATTGATACTTGTCAGTGTCTAGTGTGTGTAACAATTCCTCAGCACTTGATGAAAAGTCAGACTTCTTCCATTCTTTTAACATATCTGCCAATGCCAATTTAATTTTTTTCCGGGAAACTCCCTTCTCCATGACCATATGTCCATTCACTGGAAACTTTGGCACGTTCCACTCTTTAATTTGTTCCAGATAATCTATTCTACAAGCATATTTTAATAGTTCACTTACATACAATAGAGCAATGTCTTTATTTCTTTTCTCACCAATTACAATATCAACAATGTGGTCTTTAATTTCCTTGAATGAAGTTGCTTGTATTGCAAAGTCTCTATATCTAATTATATGCAACATGATCTCCTGCTCTTTTTTGGAACACTTAACTCTTGCTATCAATTTGATACATTCTGTTTCACTTGAAAATCCAGAGGCTAAAATTGTCATATGATGCATATCTTTAACTATAACACCTGCTTCTTCACATCTTTTATACAATGACCTAATACCATCACAGTTAAAGTTGTCTGGGAAACCAACATAAGGTCCTACCCCGCACTCAACCATTTTGATTAGGAGATCACCCCCATAGCATCCTGTGATAATTTTCTGCATCTCCATCCATATTCTCTCTCCAGAAATCCTGCTAAGACCCTCTACATTTCTCTTGATGCTCTCCAAGACGTCTGGCCTGTGGTTGTCAGGCCCATCTGCTATGCGTCCATAGAAACGAAAATAGCGAAGTATTCGCAAATAATCTTCTTGGATACGCTTATCAGTATCACCGACAAAAGTAACCAACTTCTCTTGAAGGTGTTTACTTCCTTCAAAGTAGTCAAAGACAGTGCCATCCAGTCCAAGAAACATGGCATTAATAGTAAGATCCCGACGGTTAGCATCTAACTCCCAGTCTTGGGTGAACTGCACGACTGCATGTCTACCATCAGTCACGAGGTCAATTCTTAAAGTCGTACATTCAAAGTTTTCTTCCTCAAGACGTACAGTCACCGTGCCATGTTTTTCTCCAGTGGCATTTATCATCCTAACTCCTTCAGTCTCAAACATTGACTTCATTTGTTCCGGAGTTGCGGTTGTAGCAAAATCCAAATCGTGGGGAACGATCCCCACGAGTAAGTCTCTCACCGCTCCACCAGCTATTCGTAATTCATAGCCATAGTCACTGAACATGTTTGCTAATTTCTTGACCCCGGGCCGTAGTATAGCATTCATTTGACTCTCCTCAATCTTCATGGTTTGTAAATTCTGTAAGAATAAAAATAGATAAACCATTTACTGAAACATTATATTTACCTTAAATTTTAAATCACCTTACATCACAGTGTATTTCAAGTAGTTTATAATTAGGCTAAGTGCACAAGATGTACCAAAAGATTTGACAGACAAACCCATAGCAAGCACAACTGTCAGTTTCAGTCAGTCAGTCAGCCAGCCAGATAGACAGTTTCAGTCAGACTGAAACTGTGACTGATTCAAACTGTCTGTCTGGCTGACTGAACCTGTTTTGCTGGCTGATTGACTGAAAATGTCTGTCAGTCAACCAGACAGTCAGTTTCAGTCGAAGGTTCCCCTCATATGCGAGCCTACGGGCCTCTCCAAGCAAGTCTTTTAGACCAAGTTACCCGAAGACGAAGTAAAACTCCCGGAAACCTATTGCAAGGACCACCCCTATGAAAGACCTCCTCGGCAAGACCACCCTAGCCACGGACCGTCTAAAGACCCGTTTGGACTTTCATAATACAGGGAATTAAAAATGATTTTGCTTACACGCGAGGGAGCGTGTTGGATGCGGCGAGGCCCTGAAGGGTGGTAGCTGTTGTTATACCGAAGCAGCGAGGTGCGGGTGAGGCGAGGCAGGAGTACAGGGGCGAGGCGAGGCAGCACAGGGGCGAGGCGAGGCAGGGAGGTGCAGCTGACTAGTGGCACCAGCATATTTCCTCTCAGCTGACGCATGTAAACAAACCATGGCCGACTTTGCAAATTTTGCTAAATAAATAAAAAACTATTATCACCAAAGACAGTACTTGTAACAGAAAAAAACATAACAGCTATTACTCAAAATAAAACTAATGTCAACAATATCTCCTAATTCTGAAAAATCTACATCAGTATAAAAATATTTTAGTTATGTTGTGTATATTCGAGTTTGAATAAGGCTTAAATTAAGTTGGAGACTTTTATATTAATCAAATTAGTTATTGATATATAATAGTTATTGAATATAAATGTAACTGACAGTAAAACGCTTAATTTAAGGTTTTATTTGCCAATATTTGATTTGTCTTCTGTTCGAAACGCTTTTGCGTAATAGTGGCTTCATTAATTTGTGTAACTCCTGTCCTTACTATGGTACATTACTCTTATGTTCCTTGTATACACATTACTTTGAATAAAATGTAATATTATTATTATTAGTATTATTATTATCCGTGAGAAGCATTAAAGAAATATTGTGATATAAACCACAATTTTTATTTAACAATATTATTAATATAGTTTTATTTTATTTTCTTATAAGTATTTTCGGTAAAAATAAAAATATATATTTTCCAAATGTTGTATATATAATATATTTTCATATACGAATTATGACGTCAGAGTTTAAATCTCATTAGGGCCAATGAGGAGAGTTGGTGGTCGAGCCGCCGACCAATGAGAGAAGAGAGCAGCAACTGACTCGACCAATCAGCACCGGTGACGGCATTTAAACGGCGAGTGATGGTGGAGCCACAGCGATCAGTTTGAAGAGTGGCGAAGCAGCTCCTTGTAGTGTATCTTGTCTCTTGCACGTGTATTACCGCTGGTGCCGGCCATTATCATCATGTCTCTACACACTAACCTGCACCCTGTGGTGAGTGTGGCCGCCATAACACACGCCTCGTGGGGGGACCGTCTTGATGCGGCCTCTTGGCTCGCTATATCTTCCTTCAAGACGCTTGTGTGATTATTTGTGAGGTGTTGGGTTAATGGTGGATGGATTATTATTCCCTGGCCGGTATAGCCAGGGGGTTGGTATAGTGGTTCACGAGGTATTTTAAGTTTTGAAGGGCAGCTGGTGCGGTCATCTAGTAATGGTCTACTCGGGTCTTTAAATAACTTTTTCAACTGGAAAAGTTGTTTATTAACGTCTGTTATCTACCAGGTGTTTATTACTTGTCGATAGATAAGATTCCATCTGGGAAGGATGAATTAGGGTACTTTGTGTAAGGCCTCTGTGGATGTTTAAACTGTTAACTCTCCTAGCACCTCGGTTGTTCCTTATTCCACTTGATCTGTACCTGAATTTACCCGAGGATGGCTCGTGTGTCCCTCTGTGGGTCGCCTGATCGGTCTATTCCTTTCCTCCCGTCCCATCCCAAATCCTTATCCTGACCCCTTCTCGGTGCTATATAGGTGTAATGGCCTGGCACTTTCCCCTGATAAATGTCTTCCCCTCACTAGTCTTGTGGTAATGGCTCTTGAGGAGTGCCTTGAGCCTCGTTCCTAACCATCTCGTTAAGCCGACCTACAGTACTGTGCGGTTGGTTGGATACTGTAGTTTATCATTACTATTCGTGCACGGTTCCGTTATCTTTGTGAACTCGCCTGAACCAATCGACCACAACCGCCTTGGAACAACATAGGGTATGGCCGACTTGATGCACAATCGCAAAAAATACAAAAGGCTTATTGGCCTGCGTGTGGCAGCCCCTATTTATATCAAATTAATTCTCATGTTTGACCCATGGTTGAAAAGATATTCTACATGTATCGCCCGGTAATGTTACTAAATCGTAAATCGTTGTCCGTTTTATATCTATTGTTTTGTTAATGTTAATCTCCCTAATTATGTCCATTCCACTTGCACACACCACCCCTAGCTCTTTCTTTCTAGAGAGTTAATTTTTAAAATATATTTATATAGATTTTTGTCCAACATAGCCAGGTTTTAGTGAATGTCTTCATCCTATGGTATGAAGACTGAACTGCATGACCTAAATTTGGGTCTGCACAACATGTTTTACTCAAAGGTGGTGTATTTTTAACCCTTCTAGAAATAAATGGATCGCATTTGCCTTCGTCAACGCTGACGGTCGATCAAATAACGCAATAAATCTTTATTTGGACAATGCTTGAAGTCTAAGAAAAATTTATAGCCGTCTAGTGCAGTAATTATGTGTTTGTAGGGATATTGGGACTTAAGGTAGTTCATCCTCTAGGAAGAGGGCTAGTATGAAAGGCGTTTTAAAAGGGGGGGGGGGTTATTTAAAGTTTATCCTGATGTAAGGATAAAGTACTGTTTCAGGTAATTATATTATGTAATTTGATTTCAGCTAAAAGGGCCAGATAATTTACCAAGAAAGGTCGAAACGAAGTTGCTGCAGGGGCCAATTTTGCACAGACCAGCCCTAGGAGAAGTTAGCAATCGTGGAGTGTCGCTCCGGGGACCTAAAGCTCCGTTAAAACCTCTGGAAGTATCCAAGAGAAGACCCATCTTGACAAAGCCTGCCAAACCAAGAAAAAGCTTACAGGGTGTACCCAGGTGAGGCTCGAAACTTGTAAGCTGAAAAGTAACTTGCTGTGCTTATCCTGAGGTTTGGCCACTGGCCTATTGCAACTTTTTTTTTTTTTTTTAGGTATATACTTTCCTGTAGATTTTTTCCAAATACGTTTTAGTATTGGTCTAATGATACGATAAATATTGTTTTTCAGCTGCCATGATACCTTGTGGCATTAGTTTATATACTAATTAGTTACCCTGAATTTCTTTACTAGTTCTTGTCCAATTTCTAGCTTTGTTTAGACTCCCTAGGTAACTGATATCACCTGAGGGGTTTTGAAATTTATGAATTTGAAAGGGCAAATAGTCATTATTAGGGATCATTATGTATATAAAAGTTCAAAAGTGTTAACTAGCAAGTCTGCAAATGGGAAATAAAATATTCAGGTTTTCATTATGCTCGACTTGGGCAGTACCTTATCTTAGGTTAACCTAGGATCACTAGGTTAATCAAAGATTTGGAAAGCTAAATTTAGTCTTGGAAATATGAAGAATAACGGACATGATTTAAAGTATTAAAATGAAAGGGACTAGTTAAGAGTAAAGTGCTAAGTTGTAGATAAGTTAGGTAAATTTAGATAGACCAGATTACCAGTTGATAAAAGATGTTATCTGGTATAAATGACACTTCACACGTGGTCCCAGTAGACCTTGGGCAGTCTTTAGAGAAAGGTCTAATGGTAAAGGCGTCCTACTTCATTCCACTAATTACCAATTGACATACTTGGCACCGGGTGTTTAAATTGTCACTACTTGCAAATACTGGCAAGATGTGGCAATTGTCATGTAGCACTAATTGGCATTTTATGTAGCGGGCATTAATGCCTAATGCCACCCAGCACCTGACAGCGCCTCGGATTCGTAGTCCCGAGGTTCTGGGTTCGATCCCCGGTGGAGGCAGACAAATGGGCAAAATGGTTTTTTCACCCTGATGCCCGTTACCTAGCGGTAAAATAGCTGCTATGACAGTTGCTATGGGCTGCTTCCTGGGGGTGTAACAGGCCCGGTCTAGGACCAGGCCACGGACACAAAGCCCAGAAATCGTCTAGAGAAAAAATGAAGATAACCACCAATCTATCGCTTGCTACATTATTTTTCTCTGCCTTAATGTTGGTTTGAAGTACTGTACCCAGCAGCCTCTACACTTTGCTAACCTATGGTTAACCAGTCATGGCAACATCTCTGAAATATTACTATTGCAAAACATTGCAGCTTGTCAATTATTTTGGAAAACATTGTGGTTGGATCTATTTGAGGTTCAGCAGACTGCAAATGATTTTTCAGTTTGTGAAACTGAAGTAGTTTGATAGAAAGGGAAGATGTGTGGTTCATATGGTTGGAGAAAGTTAATTTAGTACTGTATTATCATGTTGCCTTGCTTCTAGATTTTCCATAACGTTCTTCCATTTTCATATACCAGTATACTTGCACTGGCATTAGTTTTTCGTATTCTGGCCTTATTTTGCACTTTTAAAAAATTTAGAGCATCTTGTGCATACTGTACTTCTAAAAATTCTCCAATTGCAGATTTCATGCCAGTGTCAATTAAATTTTCCCTCATTATTATGGTACTCTTCACAAATGCACTAGCTGCTTTTCTGTTTTGATTGCTGGTACTGCTGGGAATTTCTAAAAGTTTCTAACTTCAGGACAACGCAATTGAGTAAAGGGTCGAGAAATTGTAGGTCTCGGTACAGTTGGGTTAGTTTTACTCTCAATTGGGGATCTCGGGTTTGAATTCTGGGCAGGACAGAAATGGTTAGGCATGTTTCCTATTGCCTGTTGACCTAACAGTAACTTGATATCTTGGAGTTGGTAAACTGTTGTCGGGTTACGTCCTGGGTACTTTGACCTTGGAGGGGAGGGGGGTAGATAACAGCCCAACTTGTATATACAATACACACATGGGCTGCACGTGAAACTGTGGTATGGGGAAATCTTGATACCAGTTTCGCTTGCATATGCTGGCTCCTACCATTTTTGGACTAAATTTTCCCACGCACGCACTTAAACTAATACTTGAAAGTGTCTACGTTGTTATAGTCTTTACTTTTTTTTCTTGTGTACATTTCTACTATATACTAGAATTGTATATTTGTAGAAAATACAAATGTTGGGGTATTGAAGACATTGCCAGAAGAATTAGACCATACTATAACGCACTGCAATTTTCACTAATGAAGGTTTTGTCGGACTGCTCGCCTTGATTAGTACTGTAGTTTTATTTAAAGTAGTATAGAATTCATAGATCATGATAAAATGACATTGTAATTTTTCCAGAGTTTGTGGAAAAGAGAATGGCAGACAAGCAGTTGCCAACGTGGAGAAAGCGGAGGAGCAGATGGATGTGGAGGAAGTGGCCACAGTGGAAGAGTTATCAATTGCCTTCTCTACTCAGTGCCTCGATGTTGAAGATATAGATGCTGATGATGGAGAAAATCCACAGTTGGTGTCGGAGTATGTGAATGAAATTTATAAATACATGAGAGAATTGGAGGCAAGTTCTTCTCTCGGCAGCAGCCACTGTTTTGTAGTATCCCTGTAACTAATTGTTGAAATTAGGTACCCGACTATGGCAACAAAATTGGTTAACTGCCTTTGCATATTGGCTTTACAATTTTCATAGAGGTAGTGGTAAAAGCCAGATGGCAATTGGCCCAGATTGGGTAATTACCTGGTTGTAGCTTAGGACTTTTTTTTGGGGGGGGGGGGGGGGGGGGACTTTGCAAGTGTTGCCTAAATTGTGAAAGGTTAAATACCTGGGTATGATTTAGTGTAACCTCAGACCTGAAACTTTATGATGAATAAACTTTATTAAAATTTAATTGCCATCTAAATAGTTTTTAAATTTCGGTTATCAAAATGGAAGATTGAAGCTGGGAAGTGAATTCCTAGCTTTTTTTTTTTTTTTTTTTTTTTTTTTTTTTTTTTTTTTTTTTTTTTTTTTTTTTTACTCAAATTTTGAGTAGTCCTGCACTCCTTCCAGGAGGAATGAGTGCAGTCTGATAGTAGTGTGCTGGTCAGGCTTGTGCATCTTCAAGAATGTCTAATTGAAAGTTTTGCAGATAAATTTGTGCTATATTTCTGAAACAATTAGATATACATAATTTCTATGAAAGTTCCATGACACTAAATATAAAGTTTATATTTTGGCCTGGAGAAGATTTGGGGGGGGAGGGAGAGGTTTGCATAGTTGAGGTGCAGACCTGTGGAGAATCGTGGGAAGTTTATCCTATAGCAAGTTTCTTGTACTAGGAAGATTATTAAAGTGAAATGGAAAGGCTTGATGTAAATTAAAATTTTATGTAATGTGGAATGTTTCAAAGTTTGTCATTGACCAGATAATTGCCTTCTGGTTAAGTTTCTAGTTAAAGACAGCAGATGGGTTCTTGATTCTTGGCACAAAACTAAAGTAAAAGGGGGTGGTTATCCTTTGATGTGATAATTTGGAGGATAGCACCTCAGGCCTTGAGTAAAGTGATGGTTTGCTAGTGTGCTTGGTGTTAATGTGGAATACTGGGTTAATAGGTTGTTGGCATCATTACTTTAATTTCCATTCCTCATGCTGGTTTATTTGCTCTTGGCCGATAGTCCCCCTGATCTCCACGAAAATTAGGGGAAGTGAAAATGTAACATTGGTCTGTCATGCCCAATTGCTTTCCTTGATGTCCTAAATGTTTTCTATGAAGGTATCTTCAAATTAAGATTTTTAATTTTTCTTCCTACAGGCAAGAAGCAGGGTACGCCCTCGTTATTTGGAGGGTCAGTTGGTCACAGGGAAGATGAGAACAATTCTTATAGACTGGTTGGTCCAAGTGCATCTACGTTTCATGTTGCTTCAGGAAACCCTCTACCTAACTGTGGCAATAATTGATAGGTATCTTCAGGTGAGACGGCAATATATTTTGGTGTCTAGGGTCCCTGCTATACCCCATCTTTTTGACTGACTTCACACACTTGACAAAGAATGGACACTTAAGAAAAAGTAACTTCTTATTAGTCACTATAGTGCTGTACTTAGTCATTCCTTAACAGACTACTATGAGTGTAAAATGACTGACTGTTGGTTTCTAGTGCTGTGCTCATGGTAGCCTTTCACACTATTTTTGGGTGATCAGTTTTCCATATGGCACTATTTACTATCTAGGTATCTGGAGCCGAGTGAACAGCACACTGGACTTGTGGTCCTGGGTGCTGGCGAGAAACAATGGATAGTTTTTCACCGTATGCCCCTGTTACCTAGCAGTAAATTAGGTACCTGGGTGTTAGTCGGCGATCACGGGCTGCTTCCTGGGGGTGGAGACCTGGTCGAGGACTGGGCCACGGGGACACTAAAAACCCCGAAATCATCTCGAGATAACCTCAAGATAGGTGCCAGTTCTGAAGCCCATAGAACCTAGTGTAACTTGTATACTATAAGGAATATTGGTTACTAAAGTTCTAATACAATGTACACATTTTACTTTAGGTAGCAAGTCGGGGAAAATTATTCAAACTAATTTTAATCTGCATTTTTCAGACTGAAAGGACAGTGTCCCGCAATAAATTGCAGCTGGTTGGTGTGACAGCAATGTTCATAGCAAGTAAATATGAAGAAATGTATTGCCCTGAAATTGGTGACTTTGCATACATTACGGACAAGGCTTACACAAAGATGGAAATTCGTAAAATGGAAGTGCACATTCTCACGAAGCTGGACTTCAATGTGTCCTACCCACTTCCTTTGCACTTCCTCAGAAGAAACAGCAAAGCTGGATCGGTGAGTAATTTAATGCAAAAAGTTTCATGATGCTACTTTCCCACTTGCTACTCCAGCATAAAAGTTTTGTTCGTGCTGTCTGCAAAAAATGTTGACAAACTGTAAATAGGGATTTCTTGTAAAAATTTCCACTAGTCTTTTTAATGTACTATAAACCAATTTTAATCTTGATGCTATAAGGTTATTGCTGCAAAAGTCTCTAGTTGGTTCCATTCATTTACTGTAGCCTCGATATTGGTTAAATGTAAATTTGATATTTCCTGAATGTAGTTTTTTTTTCTTGCATTACAAAATCGTCGATGTTGATGCATTATTTGAAGAACTTTGCAATTATTTTTTTCTCTAGCTAAAGTTATGGCAAATTAACTTGGTTCTTTGTCCTTGAATGATATTTATTCCTGGAATTGATGCAAAATTATTTTAGTTTTATAGGGCTCCAATTTTTTCCTTGCACTTTATTATACATCTGCAATTTGCCTGTACAATACTATCAACCTGTGCGCAACTTTATTTTTTTTTTTCACTACGTACTCCTGCTGCAAAATTTTTTTTCCATATATTGAACATGGATCTTCATACACACTTGGGTAAATCCAAGGTTGCCGGTAAATTCCAGTAGTTAAAAAAAATGTCTGCAATTTTGGAAGAGCCAGATACAGGCAGGTTAGGAAGGACTTGGTACTACCAGTATAATTTTCATTCCAGATAAATTTTACCATTGTCCTCCATTCATAAATTAGATGGCTTTACATTGGCCAGATATGGCAAAAATCTATTAACCTATACTCTCTCCACAAGATGTAGTTCATTAAACGGCAGAGAGGTGTGGTGCCAGTTTATATTTATCAAAGGTCGTGAATGTAGTACTTTTGTTACCACAAAGCCACACCTTAGATTTTAGTTTTATAGAAAAGTTTAGCAATTTCATAAATTTCCATGAAAATCAACTATTAACACTTGTTAGAACCATTAAGTATTTGTTGTAAGGTCTTAAGTCTGTCGTCAAAGGAAAGTGCTAGGTTAAACTGAAGTGAATTTATAAAACTGGAAGGCCGGTCGAGCGGACGGCACGCTGGGCTCGTGATCCTGTGGTCCCGGGTTCGATCCCGGCCGCCGGCGAGAAATGGGCAGTTTCTTTATCCCTGATGCCCCTGTTACTTAGCAGTAAATGGGTATCTGGGCGTTGGGCAGCTGTCACGGGTTGCTTCCTGGAAATGGAAGCCTGGTAGAGGACCGGGCCGCAGGGACACTAAAAATCCCCCAAATCCACTAGAGATCGATTCGAGAAGGCAGACCTAAAGCCAAAGGTTTACTTGTGACCAATTAAAATAGGTTTGGGGGGAGGGGGGCAATAATCTTGTCACAAGCATTGATAGAGCTACAGTATAATAAAACTCTAGGTACTGTATTACGTATTCATACGGCAAAATGCCGAGGCAACGGAAGTTAAAATATACAGAGCTGTATTGGTGGAAAATTGTAATAGTGGTAGGCATTTTGGCAAAGCCTAACAGGCTGGTAGTCTGATAAATTTGCAAAATGTGTTTTATAGTTAATTTAAGCCAAAATGTAGTATTTAAAAAAATTTTTAATGTAAAGTCAAATAGTATTTCGTGGATGGCTGCTAACTTTCCTCTTTAAAGTTTGATAATTTTCATTCTAGGAATGAATTTGCCTCTTCACAAAAATGCCATGGCAATTGGGGTATTCCACCTCAACAGAACGGTTGATCTCTCTGGATGCATAATAAATTCAAAATGTGTAAATTTGTATTTTCATTATAACCATAAGTTTTGTTTATTTCCTGGATGTTTAGGTTGATGCTGCCCAACACACCCTGGCAAAGTACCTTATGGAGCTCTGTCTACCAGAATACTGCATGTGCCACTATATGCCTTCGATTATTGCGGGTGCTGCTCTCTGCCTTTCACTAAAGTAAGTTCATAAAGGAAATAGAAGTGTAACCTAAACCTTGGTTATAGCATGAAATTTCAGCATAGGTTATCGCTTATCTTTCACTATAATGGGTATAACTTCATATTTAAACTGCTGCCTTTATTTAGTAAGGGGAAATTTGTAATTGTTTGTAACTTACAAATTTTTAATTGTAGATTGTTGGATGGCAGTCCTTGGACTGACACACTGATGTACTATTCGTGCTACACTGAAGAACAGTTGATGCCAGTTATGTGCAAGATGGCCGCTATAGTTGTTAAGAGCACCACTACTAAGCAACAGGTATGTCTCGTAGCTCTCATGTTGACTGAAAATTAAGTTAATCTCTGTAACTTGTGCTGGATTTTTTCTCAGCTTTACTGCCCTCAAATTTGGCTTCCTGTGGGATTAAGATTGAGAACTGTCCTTAGTTTTCTAGTGCCTAATTGAAGCAAGTTATACTTTAACTTGAATGCTTAATTTTTTGCTGTACTAACAAAATGAGAGTATGGGCTGTTGTGCAACAGCAAGAGGTGATTGTCCAAACTTGTTGCCTTTTGATTTACTTTGGGTCCTACTTGCCATCTTCCATGTACAGTATAGGTTCCTTGGATTAGTATGAATTGCATGGATACAGTACTAGTCAAAGGTATGCACTACTGTGCTTGATGCAGCAGTTATGACAAAAGAACACTGGTCTTGTGGGGTGAAAATTTAAAGTGCATTGGCTACATATCAGAAGGTATTGGCTCTTTGGATTGACAATAGATGTGCTGTCTCGAGCAGGGTGAGGGGGATGGGAGGGCTGCATACTTCTGAAAATTGGTTAGCCTGCTGTTAAATATATCTTTTTGTATTTCAGGCTGTGAGACAGAAGTACAAGGCCATTAAACAAATGAAAATTAGTGATATTCCTCAACTTCAGTCAGCGACTCTGAAAAAGTTAGCAGAGAAAACTACTCTCACTTAAACAGATCTGCTAGTTTTTGTACAGAGGAATTATTTTCCTAGTATGTTGTAAATATAGTTAATCTTGTGATATTGTATATTATATATTCTATATGCCATTTTTAATCCTATAATCCAATGCATGACTTGTAATGAGGCTGTGTAAACAAGCATGTTGCCTGAAGCACGACTGTTTCCACAGCTGGAGGAGTTAGGCCTGCTTGCTCTTCATCCAAAACTTTTAAGATAGGAGACTGTAGGCATTGTGCCAAGATATTATTTTATTAGAATCTAGTTTGAGGATGTTTAAGTGCTGGTAACTTGAGAAATGGGTGCTGTAAGATACTGTATTCGGTTAAGCTTTTTGTAGTTAACTTTTCAGAACTGGGCGACTTGCACTAGTTGGTTTGTGTTGCCACGAGTGAATCTTGTGCTCTCCTACCAAAGTATTTTGTTTACCTAATTTTAAGTTTTTAAACGTTCTGAAATTATTGGCTATCGAAAGTTTAATGTGGACATCGGGATTGAGTACAGAGATTTATCTTAAGATTTTTTCTGAGCTATACATTCTTTATATTTTTAAAGGAAGGTGCAAGTAGTGACTTCTCAATACTTTTCAAGGAACTGCTCATGTTTTTCATAAAATATTGCTAGTTGTTGCAGGTCCGTTGCTAGAAACTAAGGAGAATGTTAACACTAAGTTTTATTGGTTAGGAAGTATGAATTGCATGCACAACTTTAAAAGCGATTTCCTTGTACAAAATTATTTATTTGGCGCATGTATGCCCTGACTCTTTTTATATAGCAAGGCGACTTGTTAATCTTGTCCACATTCGTAGATAGTACAGGCAGTAGATTACCTAAAACCTTTCCAGCAGTAGTAAATGTTCTGCATTTAAATGCCATGACCGAAGGTAAGAGTATTTTTAGTTGGTATCATTTTGGATCTAGTTTTTAAACCTTGCACTAGGAACATGGCAATAGTGCTTGTATGCAAATTGCTTGAAATGTAGTCTTGCACATTGTTTTCCTGATGGGATGTTTGTATTGGTCCATGTACAAAATCCTGAAAGTCTGTAAAAACATTCCCTTAGGTTTGATAATGTACTTTATGAAAGGCAGAATATTTGCAAAAATTAATTGTATTGTGTAGGTGAGCATACTCCTCAAACTGGAGTTTGGCAAATTTGTCATTAGAGATGTACTTTATAAAAGTGAGAGTAGTGTATGAATGATAAACTAGGTTGTCTGGTGTTATGAATGTACTGATAAATGTAAACAAATAAATTTAATGTCCCAAACGTTTGTTTCCAAGTTTCATTGCCTCTAATCCTTGGCCACGTGAAATTTTCCAGGCAAGTGTAGTTTGAGACGGCAACCTGTCAAATACTAGTACCATGCCAGCAGTCTCATACAGTTCATATTAAAATAGTAACTTAAACACCTTTACATTGCAGGTTATTTTAGCTGGTACTTTAAACAAAAAAAATTGTGCAGCTACAGCGTGAAAAAAGCAATGTTTCTCGGTAAATACACAATGAAATCACATTAGCATGTTGTATCAGAATTAGTACGAGTTGTGAGGGCGATTTGAACCCACTCGCTTGGTACTCCAAAGCTAGCAGGTTTGAATCCTCCTCACGGCTTCTACTGATTTTCTCAATCATAATGGATATTGACATATTTGAGGTCTTGTCACACCTAATGCTTTGAATTGTTCTGGTGTACAAAGAGGGGGGGGGGATGGTATACAGTAGTAAATTTAAGACTACATAATGTTGCTGATAGTGAGCCTCCCATAAATGACATCAGTAGCCTGATATTGAACTATTTAACACTTTCCTGGATTTTCGACTTGGAATTACGGGCGTTTTCCCTAAACGCTTGTCGGATCACGACGTAAATTTACGGTGCGGTTTAAAATATTTGTAAAAAATCCAGTTTAAATCGGATTTACTTGGGGTTTCAAACTCCGCTCCATGAAATTCCCATTCTCTCGGGTAGGCCGCAAGTCACGTCGGCCTACTGGGTCACGTGACAGGCAGTGACCCAGTGATCCGTCACGTGATCGGATCTCTCTCCCCTCGGCCGCCAAACTCGCACGTTTTCAAGGATTATTACCAGTTTGTGTGTTTATAACCCACTAAATTCATCAATAATGGATCCAGCACCAGGCCCAAGCGGTGTTTCGGCTACAGGAGCCTCAGAATCAAGCGGAAAAGACAGGATTACCGCCATCTATAGGAGGGTTGCTGGTATGAGGCTCACTCCCACCAAGATTCCCAATGTCTTGGATGCCTTTGATCAAGCTGAAAATGAACGAAGTGATGCAGAAGGTGAGGATGTAGAAGAATTTGAAATTGGGGGCCGTAGACCCCTTGGGGATGACTCAACAGAGGACGAGACTGAAAGCCAAACTGAGGAGGAGGAGGAGGGGGCACCAGCACCGCCGACTAAGACTACAGCAGGTTGTGGTGAACAAACCACAGGCAATTGTTGACTACAATAAGTTCATGAAGGGTGTTGACCACTTTGATCAAATGGTAAAGTATTACCATTTCGCCAGGAAATATCACAAGTGGACCAAGAAAATAACATTTTATTTCTTGCAAATGGCATTGCAAAACGCTTATGCATTGTAAAAGGCCAACACAGATGATCGAAGGAAACTAACTGCTCCAGTTCCATGAAGTTGCTATTTGGTCTTTATTGAAATTTGACAAGGCAGAGTGGCCTGCAACAACTACACGATCTCCACATCTAGTTCATGCTCCAGACATAAATGATGACACTGGTCCTGTGTATCCTGCTGCTGACCCGTCAACACCTGGCCTGTCGGGTGTGAGGCGCCCTCTCTTCACGTCTACACCTAGTGCTGAAGCTGAATCTGATGAAGATAATTCATATTCCACATTAGTGTTTGAAAACAATAGTGAGAGCGACGATTCAGACAGTAGTTTATTGCCAACCCAGAGACAACAGCGACGTGTTGTTATAGCAGACTCGCCTGAACTATAAATTGAAACATGAGCTGGTAAAAATCCCCAAACGTCGCAGGTGTGAAGTGTGTGCAAAGTTGGGTATCAGGAAGGAAACTGGTATAGCGTGCAAGACATGCGATGTTCCACTTTGCGTCATACCTTGTTACACCACTTATCACAGGAAAAGGGTGTATTGGGTGGACAAGAAATAACCACCCGCACCAGCGTCACTCCACCTAGGAACATCTGTTGAGCAACTTCAGGAATCAGTACCTGAAGGAGGTGGAGTGGAGATAAAATGCTCAACTTATTTTACTACAATTGTCTTTGCTTTGGTAAGTACACAGAATTGTCTTAGATTGTTTCAGTATTGTAGTCTATTTTCTTAGGAATATTTTGATACCTAAATGAGAACTGTAGCACGAAAACTAAAGTAAGTATACACGAAACAAGAGAAACTTTTTTTGTGGGTGTTGCGGGTGTGAGTTGGAGTGTCAAGAGCGGGTTCCGGTTGTGTGTTTTCCGTCATCTCTACAGCTGTGAATTCCAAGGAATTGTATTTGATATGCATATGTCTGTGTAGGGAATTTTATTCCGAACACTATACAAAAGAAAAAAAACGGTGTGAAACCAGTATAAACTTGAAAAACATGAGCAAAGTAAAAACTTTTGACGCTCACGGGTACAAACACGCGTAAAATTTTATTCGCCGCAAATTTATTTGACGCTGTGTTGGCCAACTCTACCCATGTTCTTATAGAACTTTCTATTGCGAACACATTGCTATAAAAATGAAATACGTAGCTCCAGAAATAATGTAAGGACAGTGAAATAAGTATAAACATTCAAAGCGCTGCATCACACCAGTGTCGTCGCTGCTGAAATCACGGCTAACGCTTCGCCCAGTTCCCACACTCGTGCGGGTCACCCGATACCATAATTAGACATTGATAGGCATATGTCTGGGTGGGGAATTTTATTGCGAGTTCAGTGATATCAAAATGAGCGCTGTAGGATGACTGTGAGGCTGGCAACAAACGAAAGAGTATGAACATTTACTTCCTGTTTGGGTGTTACGGCGAGTCATCTTCGTGTTTATTTACTTCGTGGTGGGATACCAAATGCTTGGGTGACATTTTATGCATATGATCTTGTAGAGAATTTTATTGCCAACGCATTGATACCAAAATGAAAAACGTAGCTCGAGAATTGATGTTAGGAGCATGAAAAGATTATACACTTTTTTGTGTTTACGCTTGAGCGCCCAGAACGCCGCGTGCACAACCCGCTTTATTTTCAGCAAGTGCCGCGCGCACTAAAGTGTTAAGTACTGGTATTAAGTTTTGGTTACCCCTAGCCTAGCACCACTTACGCTGTTCAAGAATCTGAAGCCAAATACAGATTTGATAGTTGTTCAGAGTAGCTGAATCTATAACAAGAAGAAGAAGTTCAAAGTAGCACGGGCTATGGTGAGCCCGTAACTTACCTGGCACAGGAGCGGGGCAAGAAGCACGGGCTATGGTTAGCCTCGTGGACAAGAGATAATTTGATAGTTTCTAGTGCCTACTTTAGGCAACAATGAATAACCAAAGTCTTGGAGTATGGAATACCAATTAAATGTAAGTTTGTTTAATTTCCATAAAGTACAGTTCGTATATAATTAACATTGTTGGGTTGTGGCCATATTACGAGGTTGAGAAGGTATGTCATAAACAAAAAAGTCGTCTGCACACTGCACGTTAACTAATGAACCTCCTAAAGCTGCAACTGCTTGTTCCTCCAATAATGCTACACTTTCTTCATTCTGAAAGATAAAATGGGGGGGGAATATTAGAATTTTAATCTTGCCGAGACAGCATGCACTATTAAGTAGAATGCATTGCACATTCGAAATACTTTGTTTTAAGAATGTTTTACCAAGCTTTGTGCAATAAATTGAACAGCTCATGAATTTTCCCCTGGCATCGGTGTACTGTGATGGCACACGTAGCTATCTTGTTTTTTTTTTTGGTGTAGGTGCAATCTAACCTTTCATCGAAGTATCTTATTGTATACAGAAGCTGAAGGTATGAATACACAAAAGGGTGAGGTAGTTGAAGCTATTCTCACCCTGTTCGGTACGTGTTCATATATAGACACATTGCAAATAATCATGTTACTGAACATTGTGACATTGTTCCATGTAATATTAGTTACAAAGATTGGTGACATAGCCTAAATGGGGCAGTTACTTTATTTGGAATCTGTATAATCCAAATTTTAGAGGGTGCACCTTACTCCAAGAATCATTATTGGCTCCATTTGTTTGAGCAGCACATAACGTTCTTGAGAAAAGTAATTTAAGCAGGAAGTAAACTTTGTGCGTGTTCATTCTTCTGCTCCTAAAGGTGTAACGTTCCTGAGCATCCACAATGCTTATGATTAAAGTTATTAGATGCAATACAGACAAGATTTATGCTTTATGACCATGCAAGGCATTATATCTAGGAGATATTGGAGATGTGATATGATGGGGAAACTGGGATTTGTTCATATCTGAGAGCATTGGAGATGGAATCTAATAACAGGCTCTAAGGTCTAGTCCAGAGGCGGGGAATCATTTGCCATACCAAGAGATTATTTTACTTGGCAATGATTTCAAAGGCAGCATTTCTTAAAAATAGGATGATACTGTAATATGCTGTAAAGAGATTAAATTGCACTGGCTTGTAGTTAAAACATGAAAAGAACTTATTTATGCACTTGTATACCTTTATAGCAAAGTGAAAATTATACCCTAGTACTTTGAATTGAAGAGTACTTGAGTATAGTTTGTATTGTTGCCTAGTATCTAATGAATGTTATTCAATTATTTTCAATAGATTTTGTGAAAGGTATGGAATCTATCATGAAGTAATAAATACCAATTTTATAAACACAATTATAACGTGGTGTAAAGAAAATCACTCGCTGTTAAGCAAAAAAACATTTTGGGTCATTTAACTGAACTTTGGTCTCTTTCCTGCTCAAACAACATGGGTACCGTTCAGAAAGAATGTGAGAAGACTTGAGGCCAGAGACCTGGCGTGCATACTGCCATTAAGTTACAGTTGGAGGTCTCTGTCAGGTTGGCCACCTGGCTGTGAGTGAGAGCATTACTTGGTGGTCTTTGTGATGTCACATATTATAATAATACAAAGGGGGAAAGTGCCAAGTTATTATGACTAAATAGCACTAGGGAAGGGATAAGGATTTGGGATGGGACGGGACGAGGGAACGGAATGGTGCCCAACCCTGATTATTGGGGATTGAATGCCGACCTGCATGAAGCGAGACCGTTGCTCTATTGTCCAGCAAAAGTGATGCCACGTAGAGCTTCAAACGTCTTTTTAGTGTCGAACGAATCTTCATTGGATCACTCTGGGTTGGATTGAGCTATCCTCCAGTACCTCCTGAGCACCAGCATGACCCAAAAGGGACATTTTTGAAACGCTGTCTGTTGCACCGGTGCCAAATGTTACCCTGCTCTGACTCATGATCCTAGCCAATGGGACCGGAACGTATCTTGCTTTAGGGAGCATTTGAGTAGAATGGCTCAGAAAAAATTGTAAAGTAAGAACTGTACTTTTTTAAATATAATTTTCTTGTAGATAACCTTACACACACACACACATATATATATATATATATATATATATATATATATATATATGTGTGCTACATACTCTTATAAATACAAATAGGAACACAGAGACATCACACTAACATGATATATATATCAACGAGAAAATCACCTGGGGCTCTTATATGATTCAAACCCAAGGGACTGCGAGCCGCATCCTCTACCACTGCCACCCTGACCTGCTCAGGGTGGTAGAGGTTGTGGCTGGCATTCCCTTGGTCGCAGGTTCAAGTCAAGAGCTCCATTTGATTTTCTCAATACAAATAGGTATTCACACAGTATTTACCTTTGACTTATCTTTAGAAGTTGCCACATATCTCTGAGAAAAGTGATTTAACAAGAGAGTTTTAGCTCCAATGGACTGAGCAAAAGCTACCGCTTGCAGTGGTGTCGAATGTCCAAATTCCAAAGCCTTGTCCTTAAGGCTATTGTCAAAGGTGGCTTCATGGACAACTACTTCACAACCTCTGCAATATACATAACTTTAGTTTTTTATACAACTCTTTAAGGAACTTAAAAGCTCTTCAGCTTAGCCAAATTAATCATGCAGCACAACACAACTTACACAACTGTATAAGAAAATTACATCTTCATCATCAAGTACTCCCATGTATTGTGATGCACACACAGCACATTGAGATGCATGCATTACATATATTTTCAAAACACAACCTAAATATATTTATCACTTACCTAAAATGTTTTAAGAGATTTCTATGGTAAGGAGAGGAAACAAACGTAAAAACTTCACAACAACCGAGGTAGGTGTCTTATAGTACTATCCACACACACACCCCTCTCTTAACGAACCTGGGCCAGGATTCAACAAGCATGTCCACATCTACTTCTGAACCTCTACATCTCCTCTCAATCTTTTGTGGCTTTGTTTACATTCATTAATCAGCTAATGAGCTCTGAAGCACTAGGAGGTTATTTATAACAACAACATTTGTTTGGTAAGTTTTGATGCATAAAGTACACACAGAAATCACAATAGCATGATGCATCAAATTAACAAATCCACAAGGGCTGTGATGAGGGTTTGAACCTATGTCCGAGAGGTCAATTGAACTCCCGGTTGCAATTCCTTTAACCATGTTGTAGCACAGTCTATTAAGGTGCATCTGGGATCCTCTCGGACGTAGGTTCGAACCTTCATCAAGTATTTAATAAATGTAAACAAAGCTTCCAAAAATTGAGGAAAAATGTACAGGTTTGTAAGTAGATGTGGAAATGCTTGTCGAATTCCGGCCCAGGACTTCCTCTGAGGAGTGCGAGGAGACAAGACGAGACTACATGAAACCACAAGAAGTCTCTCAATAGCCTAATACACAATTCAAAACACTTGCAAACACAAAGACAATTAATATATTGAAAAGTGAATTTAAATTAATTAATATAAAATGCAACTCCTGATTATACTCATTATGTACATGTATTCTCTCACATCTCTCATTAAAGTGGTTAACATTGTAATATTTTTGTTAAGAATCTTATAGGATAAATCCAGTGTTGAATGCAATGAAATGCCTCTTTCCTGTGGGTCCCTTGGCAACTCTCCGAGCTATCCAGCTGGAATTCCACAAACACTAGGTACCACACCAGGCTCTTAACAAATCACGAGTGCCTGCCGGAGACCAGGAGCAGAATCTGGTCATACAAGATCACCGCACAACTAAAGGAAAGTCCACCAGAAAGGAAGAGAGCACAGAAACAAGCCACAGCCTGGACACCAGGACATATGCTGATGCCCTGGAAACACAAACCGAAACTGTCTCTATTTTCTGCTTGTTACAACTTGTAATAAAGTTGTTACATCTTGGCTTAACGTGTCTATGACGTATTAGAACGTTGTTACAACTTCCTATATTGGTTGTTATAACTGGTTAGGCGGTGTTAAAACTTGTTCGAACGTTGTTCCAATGTCGTAGTTTTGGTGTGTGTTTGGCGGGTGTTGACTGCACACACTCATTGAGCTCATTAAACCAATAAATGCTCTAAATTTTTATCTTGTGTAGAAGGTCTGAGTTAAATCCCCTGCCCTGCCTATTTAGAGTGGGGAGTGTGAATGTAATTAACAATATTTTGAAATATTACATTAGGAAAATTTGATCTGATTCAATATAGAACTGTACTGCAAGGAAATGTTGGGCAAGTAGGTGACTGACTTGGAACTCACACAATAAATTTGTTATTTTGTATATATATTTATTTGTGGGCAATTATTGAAATATAAAATATAAGTTAAACTAATAAAAAAATTACTCCAGCTACACTTCCATACATCAAAAGGATAATCAGTTTTCTGACCATATGTGTTATAGATTTGAAAGTAATAAGATAAGGTGTTCTGATCATATCACATGATATCTCATAGAAGACAGAAATAAGCATAGAAAAAAAATCTTTGCTATTCCCTACTGGCAACTCCTAATAATAAACAGCAAATACATATTATAGTGACTGGTGGAAGGAGAGTGATAGTGTATGCCTTACTTGCAACACTTAGGGGCGGCTCTCAAGTGAATGGAATAAAAGATACACATGGCATAAGATGTGACTCTCAAGTGAATGGAATAAAATATACACATGGCATAAGATGTGGCTCTCAAGTGAATGGAATAAGAGATATCTTAAATTTTTAAGACAGGCATATCTTAAATTCCTGCTTTTTTTTGGGGGGGGGGGAAGAGGGAAATAGTGATGGAAGATGTAGTATGACAAAAGGTTAGAGATGAGAGATAATAAGAGTAGAGTGGCATGGTAAAGGTAATTATGTGACGTAGACACCAAGCAAGTATGACTGTATCGCAGCCATATAAGTCTTAGTCATACTGGCTTAACATTTTCTCCCCATAATTACCTGTATCATAACAGAAACGCTTCCAGGTGACCATACTAAACATATTCCTAACCTGTATGTAATCATACACTTTGTTTATCATTAATGTAGTGTGTCATGATAAATGCAGGTACCCTACAATGACTTGGACACCTGCAGAAGATGAATGATGATGCCCCCCCTCCTTGTACTTATTTCTTGCAAGAGATATGCACGAAATAAGTAGAGCGGGCTGAAGTAATGGATAGACAAGTACATCAATGATAGACAAAGTGGATAGACAATTACATACAGGTTAGGATTACATTTAGTATGGTTGCCTGGAAGTTTTTCTGTTATGGCCATCTACCTGTTGACACGTTCTCTGGATAGTAAGCTTTCAGAAATTCACACACTTTCCTTTTGTATAACAATACTCACTATAAGTATATTTCTTGTGTAACAATGCCCATTATACCAAAATGTCTCATTTAACTTTTGCTATTAAAAAGTATAAATAACTTTACATGGAGACTGAAAAAAAAAAAAAGAGTTTATTGAAAATATACATAGTGGTGCAACTCGAAGCATTTAACACTTTACTCACTGAACAAGATGTGCGAGCGGAGAAGCATCACTAGTATCACCGAGGATCACTACCGTCCTACCAGGGTAAGGAGGGCCGACAACCATATCAGGAGTTATTGTCTTTCCATCCTCTGTTGTTATTGAGTTGCCTCCTTTTAATTGGCCATACATTGGCCCTGTTGCAAGGAGACAATGTGCTTCAAAATCATACCATTCTAAGTATATTATTATTATTGTCCATATACTGTGTATATGCACAGTAATATATATATGATACAGGTGTATACAGTATCTATATTTATTTATTTATGTATAAGCCTGAATCTTATAATTGCCCCTAGCACACATTTTGCCTGTAAATATATACTTAGTAATCACTCATTTGCTGTTGTTAAAATTAAAAGTACAATGACTCCTAGTATGGCCGTCCCACATGTCCATACACTGGATGGTGATGTGTCAGACATGGTCCTCATCTTCCTACTAAGGCCTTAGAAGGAAAGTGAGGAAATTAAGATTTTTTTCAAGATGGGGGATGATTACTGGAGGCCTGGGGAAGCAAATGTGAGCTCTAATTATGTGTGGGAGTTTTAAATTTTATGATGGGCGTAAAACAACCCTGGTTGTGGTGTGCAATGCAGGGGCCAGACTTCACGACACATTGGTTCCATTTTGCCCCATACGCTGCCTTAAAGAAGCATGCCCATAATTGTTTTAGCACAGTCAGGGATGAACACAGTTGATTTATGGTTATATTTACTGTTAACAAAGATCTCTGAAACCTGAATTAACTATGTAGAGGCAAAACAAATTCCATTCTCATTCAGTGGACATACAACCTTTGTAGAAAGTGCACATGTGCTACCCCATACTACAAAAATGATAGTGCAGTACCTATTTGAACATCCAAAACTTGGAATATTGCACCCAAATATAAAAGTTTTGTACTACTAGTATACAAAACTTGAATGCTGAATGCATTGAAACATCATTCTCTGGAGGGTCCCCTGATAGCTCCCCGAGCTATCCTGGGCCTGCCTTGCTCCAACCATTTCCAGAGATTCATGAACCATTAGATTGTGCTGGGGCTCACATAACTAACAATAGTTACACTGGTCCTCGCTATGTTTTGGTACTAATGGGCCATTTATCCAGGTTCACAACACTAACATGTAACTTTAATACTGTACCCAAGAGGTCTCTTATCCCACCTGGTTTTATTCCAAGGGTTAAAAGCTTTTTCATGTCTAGTGTGCCAGTTCTGTCCTTCTCTCTGATGACAAAACCAAAGGATGGCACTCTGTGATGTATCCAGCCAGCTCTTACATCCCACTGCTCATCATCCTTCCTGTAATGATACGAGTATATAGTTATATGGAAAATTATATACAGTATTTCTTTACTGTGTTTACTTGAAACAAAATTACATTTAAATAATTTAGTTCAATTTATTTAATATCCTAATCATCTCCCAAACTTAATAAGAGGTATTACACCTCTTTTTAGCAACAATCTTGTATTCCAGTCATATTTGTATCAAATGTCTACAAAATGTCTTCAAAATACTTGTAGTTATTAGACAAGAATGTTGTCTGTTTTGGTTCATATTCGGGATAGAAAATGTTTGTTCACAAATGAAGATACAGTACAATACTGCCAAAAATGTTGAATGTTTTCACTGCAACTTCAATAAGATCGTTGTACTTTTCACTGTCCAGACTTTCAACCACTTAAACTGGATGGTAGAGTGACGGTCTCACTTCTTGCAGGTCGGCGTTCAGTCCCTGACCATCGAAATAGTTGGACACAATTCCTATTCACTGCCCTATCCTAAATCCTTAACCTTCCAAGTGCTATAGTCTTAATGGCTTAGTGCTTTCCTCCTGATAATAACCTTACCTGTTCAGACTTCTGTAGAATACCTGCAGACTTCTTGGTGCGTATTTCTGTAATCTGTCAAACACTGAAGAGTGATAATTTTCAATTGCAACTGGAATGGCAAGTCTGCCGAGTCCATTGAAAAAGGATCTTCAATTGTGTTTTTCTTTAGATAGAGTCTTTTGTGAAATTCTCTAATCAGATTATAAATATTTATAGCATCTTATAGCAGTATGGGGAGTCGGTCGGCTGAGCGGACAGCACGCTGGACTTGTGATCCTGTGGTCCTGGGTTTGATCCCAGGTGCCGGCGAGAAACAATGGGCAGAGTTTCTTTCACCCTATGCCCCTGTTACCTAGCAGTAAATAGGTACCTGGGTGTTAGTCAGCTGTCACGGGCTGCTTCCTGGGGGTGGAGGCCTGGTCGAGGACCGGGCCGCGGGGACACTAAAGCCCCGAAATCATCTCAAGATAACCTCAAGATAGCATGTGGTTTTTTATGTAGTTAAGGGGTATCTTAGTACAGTCGGCTACATCCTCAATTCACATTTGGGGATCCAGGGTTTGATTCCCAGGCAGGACAGAAATGGTTAGGCATGTTTCCTTTCACCTAATGGCTCTATTCACCTAGCAGTAAATAGGTATCTGGTCGTTAAATACTGTTGTGGTGTGGCATCCTAGGGAGGGTCAGAATACATATACACAGACATCCTCTCCCTGACAAAACTAATTATTTAAATGTTTAAAATACATCTATAATAATAATAATAACAACATAAATTATTTTAAAAAGTCTCACGTACAGTAGCCAGTGCATGTTGCCATCAGAGTCTGTTATTGCAGTGATACGAGTCCCTGGCAATTCACTAGGGTGAGGTGTTAAAGTGGCAACATCAACTTGGGTGTCCTCCCAGTCCTCTGGATACTGCTCCTTTACTGGCACAAGTTCATGTACCTGGCAAGAAGCAATTCACAGAATATAACAAACTGTATATCAAGTTTTGAGTGTTCATGAGAAGCTCCTGTCTAGATCCCCATAAAAGTTGGCAAGTAATCCCATTGAAAAGGAGAGCTGTGATAGGTGAGACAATTCTATCAACATTAAGGGCCTAAGATTTTTCAACGCACTTTCTATAAACATAATGGGCACAGCTAGTCGACTTCTCACGGTGTTTAAAAGAAAACTTGATAAACACCTTCAGAAGATACCTGATCAATCTGGTTGTGACTCATTTGATAGTCTACTGGTCTTATTACTTACTCCATTATACCACACAATAAACATGCTAATATATATTTGCTTGTTATGTCTCTCAATCCTGACATCTTATGTGACTATCTTCTATGTGTCAGGTGTTTTATCATTCAACTTCCAAGATGCATCAAACTGTCGTTCTATCTTATAAACTGGCTCACTATGAGTAATCAAATTCCTGTCCCTTTGATAATCTAGGAATGTGCAGCCTGCCTAACTTTCCCTTTCATCAGTAAAGTCAACTCTTTTTCTTGATGTTTCCCACTATCCTAGTCAGCACATTGCACTCTATTCATCCAATTACTTTCTTGTCCAATCTTCGTTATCTTAACGTAAATTGTATTACCAAGTCAGGATTTCTGTATTCCGAAACTACACTCATGTTCAATAGCGAAGTTCTCTTGGTAGTACCGGTCGGTCCATTTCCACTCGCAATTGGGTATCCTGGGTTCAAATCCTGGTAGGATAAAGATGGTGTGGCATGTTTCCTTTCACCTAATCCCTCTGTTTACCTATCAGTAAATAGTTACCCAGTAGTTAGTAAACTGTTGCTGGGTTACTTCCTGGGTAGGCTTAGTAGTTCAACCCTGGGGAGGACTTCAATATAAGCCTAACATATATACACAGGCTGCCTGTTACAGACAAAATGAATTATTATTATTTTCTTAGTATCATCTCCATCATTATTCATGCATAGTAGGAATACTGGTTTGTAATGCTGCCATTTTTATGTGACTTATTTTATGTTAGTACACATATTACTCTATATGACTGTTTTCCATGTGTTTGGCATCTCTCCGGTTTCCAACGATATGATATGGGCTCTTGATAGTGGATGTGTGTGTATGTGCATGCATGTGTGCACATGAAGAGAGTACAAGTGTCTGTGAAATCATGGAGAATTTATTTTTATTAGTTACTGTACTTATAAACATGCCAGTTCATGACCAGAAAATACATTATAAATCTGTCACAGTGGAAGGCTTTCCAAATTATAGTTCTTGAGATAGAGCAAAAGAAATAAATTTCATAAATTTTTTGATGACTAAATTAGTAAATGGCAAAAAAAAACAAAAATCTGGTTTTTCGTTTATAAGTAACAAATGTGATGTTCCACAACAGCAAGTGCAAGTGTAGGCCATGACAGTTTACTGGGAAAATGAATCCTTATTCAAAATCTCTAACTAAAATACCATTATTCTGTCCTCTCTGCATCAGTTACTGTCTCTGAAAACTACCGAAATTAAAAAAAAGCATTAAAAATACAAGTCTTACCCGATATTGGAAGGCCAGAGGGGAGTGGGAAATGGTCAGAACCGTGTTAATCAGTTTGTTAATTCCCAGGGGACCAAAAATCTCCACAAGAGGGCGTTTCTTCTTTAGATCTTCTTCTGTCAAGCCCAACTGTGAGGAGATTGTGCACAAAAGACCAGGGAGGCCAAAGACATGGTCACCATGGAGATGAGTTATGAAAATGTTGGTAATTTTCTGTCTCGATACAGTCACTTTCTGAGCTTGTATCTGGGTGCCCTCGCCACAGTCAAACAGCCACACTGAACCATCTGTAACCACAACAGATTCAACAGTCCGAGTTGTTTGTATGAGAGTAGAACGTAGTATTAATGCTTATTAAATTAAGTATACCTGAAAGTGGGCAGCCCTATGCTTACCTGCTCTATGCAATCCTTTGATGCATAGACTAATAGATAACATACATATTCAAGCTGATGAGGTTCACAAATACAGTATAAAAGTTTTAGATTCATCTTAACATTATATTATCTTTGAAATTATAATTACAGTATTGTACATATTCAGATGTGAAGATAATCAAAATTTATCATCTAATTTTAAGTACAAAGTGACTGACCATCATGCTGTAGCATTGTAGCAGATACACCTCGTTGGGTTGTAGGATAGCTGGACCCAGTGCCTAAGAAATGGAGCTTCATTGTACTGTAATGTCCTGTTGCAAATGCAGAAAAAAAATTGGGATTATGTTTTGCTTAAACTTTATATCAAAGCCTACTGTACTTAAATTAGTTCTTATATTAAATCTAAAACATCTTAAAATTCATAATTTATACTCAGAGTGTGTGTAAAGTGCTTTTATGAGCAAGATATGCTGTCAATCCTTGAGATACAGTATAGTACTTCCTTTGCACTATGTCTAATCTTCCCGGCTTGGTAGACTGAATGATAGAGCAACGGTCTTGCTTTTGGCAGGATGGCGTTCAATCCCCAACAGTCCAAGTGGTCGGGGACATTCCTTCCTCCCATCCAACCCCAAAACCTTATCCACATCCCTAATACCTGCTATATAGTTGTAATGGCTTACCACTTTCTCCTGATAATAACCCTACCTTACTTGCACCTAGGCAGGATCACAAAACATTTAGGCAGAATACAAAGTTGTTAGTCTCTGAACACATCGAACATAAGATGAAACTAGAATAGACAGTGTACATGCCATATTTATTTATTTATTTATATACAAGAAGGTACATTGGGTTAGAGAGAATACATAGCATAGTATTTACAAACTTGTAAAGCCACTAGTACGCGCAGCGTTTCGGGCAGTATTCAATATTCAGAGGTATTAACCAAAACTAAAGCATCTAGAGATTCAATGCACATCAGTGTCTAAACATCCCAGCACCATTCTCCAGACAGTGAGCCGTACCACCCATTTGAAGGGAATTTCATCACTATAATTATGTTTTATATATGTAAAGAATGTTACATTATGGCCTATATTAATGCTTCTCTGATTATCTAATGTGGCGGACAGGAATTTATTTTTTCCAATGTACCATGGATCTGTGCCATATTTCTGCAATTTTATTATTATACAGTTTTTGCATAGGCCTGTTGCACCTCAGATCAGAAAAACTAGCATTCTTCACTGTATTAATTGAAGTGTGAATGTGCATATCAACTGCAGCATACTTTCTACACTTAACTTTTGATCAAATAAAATACTGTATTTGAAAATTATAGTAATAGTGACATCAGAAATAATATAATTTTTTTATAAAAAATTCCACCCCCCTTCCCTCCAGGATGCAACCCCAGAGATGCGACTAACTCTGGAATATCTATTTACTGCTAGATGAACAGGTGCATTAGGTGAACAAATCCACAAGGGCCATGATGAGGATTCAAACCTATGCGCTAGGTGTTCCCAAGTGCGCTCTAGTCAACTCGGTCGGAGCACCATTCAACTGTACTACCAAACTTGCCAAACTTGTCAAAAATCTTTCAAACTTTTCAAAACTTGTCAAAAATTTTCAAACTTGTCAAAAATCTGGCCCCAGACATCACTCGGTACCCCTACTCAAATCTCTGAATATGTTAGACATTAAGTCACTGCACATTCTCTCATGTGTATTATACATATATAAAACGCTAAACTGTAATGCCAATCCTGACCTCAAAAGCTTCATAGAAGGTTGTAACAGAACCCATGAGCACCATACCAGAAATAAATACAGTTTTGATATTCCTAGAGTACGACTTAATCAAACTAGAAATGCTCTACAAATCAAGGGACCCAGATTGTGGAATGACCTTCCCAACCATGTTAAAGACTGTACCTCTCTCAGCCAGTTTATGATAAAAACGAAGCTATACCTAATAAATTCCCTGTAACCTACCTTACCCCTCTATTGTCAACCAATGACTTTTTTTTAAAGAGCGCTGTTTGTAGACAGAATTGTATTTGTGCTGCTTTTTCAGCTATGTTTTCATTTTACTCTTTATGCTCAATTAGTATTAAGCTTTAGTCATTTAAGTTTTTTCATGCCCGAAACGCTTTGCGTAATAGTGGCTTTAGGCATTGTATGTACTAGCCCTAACTATAAATCCATCACTCTTTGTAAAATCTCTTGTATGTATGTATCTTACCTAAATAAACATTTGATTTGATATGATTTGATTTGATTTGACTGCTGAGACACCTCACCGCCCCGCTACCAGGTGCTGCCTCTGTTATTGTTATGGGTCGCGTTCATCGCCATGACAACGAGTACGTTTTCTTTGAGAGCCGAGTGTGTGTTAGTTTAATTATAGTAAAGGTTTTATTTATTTATTTATTTATATATATATATACAAGAAGGTACATTGGGTTTGTGAGGATACATAACATGGTGTTTACATTCTTGTAAAGGCACTAGTACGCGTAGTGTTTCTGGCAGGTCCTCAATCTAACAGATAATTGTAAGTAGGTAAATTCTAGTCAAATTTATAAAATGTTAACAGGTACATTGTAGGAAAAAATGAGAGATTAGTAGGTATATTAAAGCACATTGATAGCTCTGATTGATAGCAGTGACAGCTTGATTGATAATTTAATAAAGATTAATAGCCACAATACAGTATATTGATAGCAGATATAAGAAGACAGCAATGATCACAATGGTAAAGTTGTTTGGCTTAGGTACATCAATATTGGGGGATTGGGTAGCACTAGATACAGAGCAATTTTAAAGTACAAGGTAGGAAAATATGAAGATGAAATTAGGTACTTTTTGTTTTTGTTTTTGAATGAGGCAAAAGTTTGACAGCTTTTCAATTCATTAGGAAGTGAGTTTCATATACCAGGTCCCTTTATTTGCATAGTGTTTACACAGATTAAGTTTGACTCGGAGGATATCAAAGATATATTTATTTCTGGTGTGGTGATAATGGGTCCTATTACATCTGTCCAGGGAGAATTTCAGAGCATGGTTTGCATTTAAGAACAGGGTTTTGTAAATGTAGTTGACACAAGAGAATGTGTGGAGTAAGTTTATGTTTAGCATGTTCAGGGATTTAAACAAGGGAGCTGAGTGTTGTCTGAAAGCAGTTTGTTATTATTCTGATAGCAGATTTTTGCTGGGTGATGATAGACTTGAGGTGGTTTCTAGTGGTTGAACCCCAGTGGTTGGGGTTTATTTTGACATTCTTACAAAGCCATTAAGGGCCGAGAGTAACTCCAACTCAGTAAATGGCACGTTGTATTCATCTTCCTTGTGGAACATGAAGTCAACGACCCTTTCTCGATCTCAGTAACCAGCAGCATTTAATCTTAATATTCTTATGCTGTAAATCTGTACCCAGATTTTGCTAGTGTGGGGCTAATAGATCAGCCTTACATTTTATGTTCTCACCTGATTTTTATTCAAAGTTGATTTCTTTTTGTACTGAGTCAGGTATTTCTCCCCTGATTCCATATATGACTAACCATCCTGTGAGATGTGAATATTAGATGAACTTATAGTTAGTTTTTTATCTACACTGTGTAATCTTTCATATAGAATAAGGTAGCAGCACATTGCTGTGTATACCTAAGTTTGTTAATAAGCAAAATAATAATCGTAATTGTGTGTCAGGGGAAAGATTATTGAAGCTAGAGGTGGTTGCCCAAGCATCGACTAACTCGTTTACTCTGTGTAGAGGGTGAGGGTGTGACACCTGACCGATCTTATCGCCTTATCCTTCCATGCCTGGATGAATATGATATCATTTACTCCATGCGTACTAAAGTGCCCTATCCTAACCTACCAGAGGACTGGTAGGTAGGAAAACATTCACGTTTTCTATGCGTGGGTCCATCGGTTAGGTTAGGTTCACACCTACAATTTCTGCTCGTACAACTCATTTCTGTAATATTATATTGTCAGAAACAGCCTCGTGAGGTACTGCAGGAGGAAGCCTAGTGCCAGTGAAGGCGGGAAACAAGAAAACAAAAATGGTTAATTATTTATTGGTACATTCCAATGGACATTTCTAACGTGTTTTGCTTAATGTTAATGCTTAATGTTTTGTTAATGTAAACTGTCAGTGGTTTAATGTCACAATAAACTGACTTCGTTGTCTTGTCTCGGTATGGAGTTCATGTGCAGGAACTGCACATAGTTCTTGTCATCGACCTTGGTGACGATGAAATTCCTGTGTGGGGTCGTCACTCCCTGGGTCTTCCCGACGACCGTGATGGCTGTTGACGCTTGTGATGACTCTCCTTCCTTCTTGTTACCAATGACAATGACGCTGGAGTTTTGTGTAGTCTCCGCCCGGGTCCTGGTGCTGGGCGCTACATTCTGCGGTAGCCTCTTGGGGGTGTCCGGGATGCTGCTGCTGCCGGACCTGGTGCTGGCGGGGCTCGCCGAGGAAGAGGATGCGTGGCTACTAGCGTCATGCTTATCAGTAAAGGAGTTCTTTTGGCTTGCTCTTTTGTGGGCCTTGTCGCCTGTCTTGGGGCTGGAGAGTATATGAAGTCTACCCTCTATCATGCTGCGTAGGGTGCTGATCGGTGTTGATGGCTGTTTGGAGTTCTTGTCATCTGTCTGGCCTGACGTGTCCGAGGTTTTGCTGGTGTCGCTTGAGTCGTGAGCGGAGGCCTGAACATTGTTCTTACCGTCGACCTTCTTGTAGGTGATGGTTCTGACGGGTCCGTCGTCCAGGCAGTGAGGTACCACTCCTGCAAGAGGCAATCATACATTGAATAAAATTATTGTTCTCTTAGTAGTGTACTCAGTAATTTTAAATGGAGGTGGGGTCAAATTGTTTGTTTACATATATATGTCCATCAACTTGTATTGGTTTGTGGCGACGTTTCGTTCGATTCCTGATGGTTTAACTGGTTGGGCACCACACAGCCCGTCCTCAAATATTGTATAAGAGCTTTATGGCTTTAGTCGTATAACGCCATGTACACTTTTTTAAACTTGCCTATACAATGACGAGGTGTAAACTTATCTTAAAGCTACACACACAAACTACAACACACACACACACCGTCGACACTTAAGGGTAGGGCAGGAAACACTTAAGGGTAGGGGCAGGGAACACTTAAAGGTAAGGGCAGGGAAGACAAAACATACGTCCACCCTCCACGCCCCAACTGACCGTAAGAGTCCGGGGGACTGGCGGGGATGAAGAAGCCCTGGACGCCGCAGGTGGCGCAGAAGCTGTGCTTGGCGGTGTGGGTGTTGAAGGAGTAGGTGGTGAGGGCGTTGTGTCCCTGCAGCAGCTTGAAGCAGCTGGACGGTACCAAGAAATGTTTGTTTTGCTTTTTTTGGCAGATGCTGCAGCTGTGGACGGGAAGGTGAGAGAGGTTAGTGGCGCAGCTGTGGAGGTGAAGAGTCCTCAAGGGAAGGTGAACCAGGGTTAGGATTGATAAAACATTTACGTGTCCACTCACGAAACCTGTGCATCTTTCCTTAATGATAACGGCTTTGTTTACGTTCATTAAACACTTTACGAGCGTGGAAACATCACAACCCAAGATAATTATTATTATTAACAACCTCGTAGCGCTCCGGAACTTATAAACTGTTTAATAAATGTAAACAAACCCGCTATGATCGAGGAGAGATGCACCGGTTTCGTTAGCGGTAAATTAGGACTGTAACAGGGGGATACATTTATATTGCAGGCGATGAGTCACAATAACGTGGCTGAAGTATGTTGACCAGACCACACACTAGAAGTTGAAGTGACGACGACGTTTCGGTCCGTCCTGGACCATTCTCAAGTCGATTGTGTGAGAATCGACTTGAGAATGGTCCAGGACGGACCGAAACTTCGTCGTCCCTTCAACTTCTAGTGTGTGGTCTGGTCAACATACATTTATATTTCCAGAGGCTTGAAGACGGAGCAGACGTACTTGCAGTCTATGACGGTGAAGGTGGACGGGGCGAGGACCTGGAACCTGACGGCGCCGCAATGGCAGCCGCCTTCGTATCTCGTGCCTCCTCGCGGCGTCTGGCCTTGCTGCAACCATGTCAATACATACAATCAATTCACAATATCTATGAGAAAATATTTGGAGCGGGAAAGCGGGTTCGAACCTGCGTCTGGAGTCTGGGGTGATTCTGGACCCGTTCCCCAGCGCCCTCCTACACAATGTCCTCGTCGATATTAACACCTTTAGTTACTTTACACATATCCCTGGATTTTTGTTGTGTTCCTGCCAGTGGCGGCTACTTTATTGTACACTCTATGCTCGTCCTGTGAGTGGTAGTGTAGTGTGTACCCCATACTCCTGTGAGTGGTGGTTTACTGTGTACTCCATACTCCTCCTGTGAGTGGTAGTGTAGTGTGTACCCCATACTCCTGTGAGTGGTGGTTTACTGTACACTCCATACTCCTCCTGTGAGTGGTAGTGTAGTGTGTACCCCATACTCCTGTGAGTGGTGGTTTACTGTATACTCCATACCCCTCCTGTGAGTGGTAGTGTAGTGTGTACCCCATACTCCTGTGAGTGGTTGTTTACTGTACACTCCATACTCCTCCTGTGAGTGGTAGTGTAGTGTGTACCCCATACTCCTGTGAGTGGTTGTTTACTGTACACTCCATACCCCTCCTGTGAGTGGTAGTGTAGTGTGTACCCCATACTCCTGTGAGTGGTTGTTTACTGTACACTCCATACTCCTCCTGTGAGTGGTAGTCCTGTGATTGGATATTTTACATTAACTTTAGCAATATACCTGCGCCCATAACTGTAATGATAAATAATAAACTTCGTACACAACTTGTATTAACTACAATATATGTTAATATACATTATAGCTGCGTCTTTTTTGTTAATACTTAAAATCATTCCTTCACTGTAAACATTAACGGGCGGGCACCTTCCTTTTGATAGCCTATCGATTATAGGCTATACCTAAAATTATTATTATTTATTTACATGTACATGTACAAGAAGATATAATCAATCAACCGATTTCTTTCACACACACACTATATATTTGCTTGACGTCTTTGCATAGATTTAATCTGACTGGGAATGTCAAAGAGATATTCATTTCTGGTGTGATGTTCAATTTCATCCATATAAGGAAAGTTTCAATGAAGGATTAGAATTTAGGAATAATGTTTTGTAAGTGTAAATTGCACATGAGTGTGTAGAGTGAGTGTATGTTCAGCATGTTTAGGGATTTAAACAGAGAGGCTCTGTTGTCTGAAGACAAAATCTGTTATAGTTATGATAGCTGATTTTTGCTGGTTGATGATGGGCTTGAAGTAGTTTGCAGTGGTTGAACCCCATGTACAGATACCGTGTACATATATAAGGATAGATTAGCGAGTAGTATAGTGTGAAAAGAGGAGAGTGGGAGTCTTAGTTGCTATATTATTTTAGACTACCAACAGTTTTCAGAGAATTATTTGGCAATATGATATATGTGAATACTGAAGTTAAATGTCTTGTTTATATATATATAGGCCTATGAACTTTCCCTAATTTGTTACTATAAATGTTTCCATTGTCTTTATGATAGTGTATTTGCTTCGATATCATTTTCCAAATAAAATGTTGTAGGTTTTTCTTTTTAGTATTGGTTGACATCCAGGAATGGATCATTTTAGGCTCGTTATTTGCAATATTATTTAGTGTGAGGGTTAGGGGACCCCAGAAAAGATCAAAGCAATATCATCAGCAAATATTATAGACTTCAGGACGTTAGAGACATTTGGCAAGCCATTGATGTAAGAAATAAGAGAGTTGTGTCATTCTTAACTAGCAGTGTGTAGTGATATCTTTGTATTAGTATGGTAGTAATGGTCTATTATCTACACCGAGACTATCACCGTATGAAGGAAGAATCCACATCTTACCATGTTGGTGGCTGTGGCCTCCCCCGGCCGGTAGGACAAGAGAAATAAGAATTACACTTGGGTCTTGTAAGAGGCTTGTGGACGGCTGCCCAGGCTGCAAGCTGGCACTTGGGAGACGTGAGTGTCGCAGCCTTAACGCTGTCAGAGTGATCACTGACCACCCTGGCTTGCTGCCTCGTATATATGCCCTGTCATGTCTCCCCCCCGACACTTCCCTCCCTTCTCTACCTGCTTCTCTCCCCCCTCCTTCCTTCCCTCCCTTCTCTACCTGCCTCCTTCCCTCCCTTCTCTACCTGCCTCCCTCCCTCCTCTATCTGCCCTTTACACATGCAGTATGTTACCAGTCATACACACAAATACTTGTATGACTAGGTACACAGACAATTTGCAACAGACATTCAGACAATTCAACAAAGTTACATCTCTGCAAAATTCTTATATCTCTCCAGAATATCATCAATCTTTCCGTTGTGACACATCCAGCAGGCTATTTGTTCAGGAACAGTCCTAAATACAATTAAAGCCTAATGTAAATTTATTGTGTTTACACAGAAATAGAAAAGAACTTTTACACGTCTGATTGAGAGCTTTTTGTACAGTAGCCAAATAGTTGATTGGCATTGTGACTCCGGCATAATGTCTATGGCCGATAGACAAATGATGCGACTGCCTCCTGAAGTCCTAAATCACATGGACTGGTCAGTAGGCGACCTTGCTCTTTGCAGGGTCGGTGTTCGTGGCCCGATGACCCAAGTGGTTGGGCTCCGTTCCTTCCCTTCGTCCTCGTATACCAGTTACTTGATGGTTGGAGTAATTAGGGGGTAAACTAGTTGTTGGTACTCGAGCAACAGTAGAAAACTGAGTGGTGTTGTACTGTTGTGGTCTCATAATGGTGCAGTGTTGTAATGGTGTACTGTGTGTTGTGGTCTCATAATAGTGCAGTGTTGTAATAGTGCCGGGAGTGTTGCCAGCGGGGCAGGGTGTCACCTGGCCTGGCACCCTGCCAGTTGTGGCCGGTTCAGGTGTGCTGCAATGTTGTCAATCCTATTATTATTTGCCCGCGGCTTAGGCTACGGCACGCACATGATGTGACGGCACACACACACACACACACCCACGCGCGGGGCTTGACGGCTGAGTGGACAGCGTTCGGTATTTGTTGTCCTAGGGTCCTGGGATCAATCCCCCGCGAAGGTGGAAACAAATGGGCAAAGTTTCTTTCACCCTGATGCTGTTCACCTTGACTGCTGTCCATCCAGCAGTAAATAGGTAAAAGTTAGACAGCTGCTACGGGCTGCTTCCTGGAAGTGTACTCACCTAGTTGGGTTTGCGAGGGTTGAGCTCTGGCTCTTTGGTCCCACCTCTCAACTGTCAATCAACAGGTGTACAGGTTCCTGAGCCTACTGGGCACTATCATATCTACATTTGAAATTGTGTATGGAGTCAGTCTCCACCACATCACTGCCTAATGCATTCCATTTGTTAACTACCTCATAATTAACTCTGACACTAAAAAAGTTCTTTCTAACGTCCCTGTGGCTCATTTGGGTACTCAGTTTCCACCTGTCCCTTTGTTCGCGTACCACCAGTGTTAAACAGTTTATCCTTTTCTACCCTGGCAACTCCTCTGAGAATTTTGTAGGTAGTGATCATGTCTCCCCTTAACTCTTCTGTCTTCCAGTGTCGTGAGGTGCATTTCACGCAGTCTGTCCTCGTAACTCATGCCTCTTAGTTCTGGGACTAGTCTAGTGGCATACCTCTGAACTTTTTCCAGCTTCGTCTTGTGTTTGACAAGGTACGGACTCCATGCTGGGGCCGCATACTCCAGGATTGGTCTTACTTATGTGGTATACAAGGTTCTGAATGATTCCTTGTACAGGTTCCTGAAGGCAGTTCTGATGTTAACTAGCCTTGCATACACCGCAGATGTTATTCTCTTGATGTGGGCTTCAGGAGACAGGTTTGGTGTGAAATCAACTCCTAGATCTTTCTGTCCGTTTCATTAAGGGACTTCATCTCCCATTCTGCATCCTGTGTCTGGCCTCCTGTTTCCACTGCCTAGTTTCATTACCTTATATTTACTTGGGTTGAACTTTAGTAGCCATTTGTTGGACCATTCATTCAGTCTGTCTAGGTCATTTTGTAGCTTCATACTATCTTCCTCCGTCTTAATCCTCCTCATAATTTTTACATCATCAGCAAACAATGAGAGGAATGACTCTATACCCTCTGGTAGATCATTTACGTATATGAGAAACAGTATGGGTCCAAGGACTGAACCCTGCGGGACTCCACTGGTGACGTCTCGCCAATCTGAGACCTCACCCCGCACAGTGACTCGTTGACTTCTGTTACTAAGGGATTTACTCCATTGGATAGTCCCTTATCCAATAGAGTACCTTCCCTTTCACTCCTGCCTGCATCTCCAGCTTTCGCACTAGTCTCTGGTGTGGTACTGTGTCAATGGCTTTCTAGCCCTCTCTTTCTTGCCTGATCGTAGAATTCAATTAATCCTGTGAGGCAGGACCTGCCATCCCTGAAACCATGTTGATGTTGTGTCACAAAGTTCCTTCGCTCCAGATGTTCCACTAGCTTTTTTTCGCACAATTTTCTCCATTAACTTGCATGGTATGCAAGTTAGGGACACTGGCCTGTAGTTCAGTGACTCCTGTCTATCCCCCTTCTTGTATATTTCTTGTATATCGAGACTACGTTTGCCGTCTTCCAAATTTTTGGCAGTTCACCTGTTACCAGTGATTTGTTATACACCATGGAGAGGGCATCGTGTGTATGTGTGTGTGTGTGTGAAAGATATATATATTTATTTATTTATGTATAAATTTATATACAAGAAGGTACACTGGGTTTATTAGAGTACAGAGACTTGAAGTTTTACATTCATGAAATGCCACTAGTACGCATAGCGTTTCATGCAGATCCTTAATCTAACATATAATTTTAATTAAGAAGGTAAATTCAAGCAAAATTAAAAAAATGTTTACAGGTACATTGTTAGAATGTATAAAAATACATTGTAAGAAGGTATAAAAATGCATTGTAAGAAACTATAAAATTTACATTGTACAGTATATGAAATTTGACTAATTTGAGGATTATTTCAAGATATAATGTAGTGTTTATAACATGATATATGTATATAACATGATATATGTAGCAAATGTAGCAAAATTGCTACATACTATTTGCTACAAACTACAAACTATAATGTAGCAAACTATGTGTATAACAAGATCTAAAATAACAGCAATGATTACAATGGTAAACTTGTATGGCATAGGTATATATATTTTGTGGAATTGGTAGTACTAGATACAGTGTGAGTGCGATATGTAGAAGATATGATTGAGGCTGGTATACCAGTATACTAGTACTCCCTTGTCCCAGGTATACCAATATTGACAGGAAGAGCACCCAACCAAAAAACAAATGATCACTCATCATCTGCAGCAGGAACACAATGACACAATGCAAGTAAAGCAACAACAAACTCAATATCATGAGGCGGAATAGCAGGTGAGTGAGGGTGTGAGGGATATCGTGAGGCCCTAGTGACAATCTGCCGGCAGGTCCTCATAACTGGCTGGTTCCAGTGTCGAATTACCAGCCTCATGCGGCCTCACGCACTACTTTGTTATTCTGGGAGTGATCTCTCTCTCTAATGTTATTATCCAGGCGTGGGAGAAGGTTTGTGAGTCCCCCTCATGTAGGTGCCTTAATGTGGGCTGCCTCATGCAGCTTTCCTCATCGTTTAATAACTAGAGGCCATTTTAAGCAATAATGGTTGGTGATAATTAAGGGGCCAAGGATGGGTATGTCGGCTACCGTCAAACTGCAGATTGTGCAACAACAGGTGAGAGGTAAGAGCACTCAAGGCTAGCGTTTAGTGTGTGTGCAATTGACGGCTTATGATGCAATGTCTGATAAGTCCCATGCCACCTCCTTCTGTCCAATAACAAGGCGGGAGACACAATATTACACCACCACGAATCAGTCACTAAAGAGACGTTATAAACCACCACAGGATGAACAACCCAGCGGGTTTTCTTCCTATTGGGGAGTGTTGTACATGCTGCTATGGCGGTATGACTACTCACAAGATGAGTGGCGCTGCCCAATAAACTCACCCCTCGGGGCAAAATTTAAAATTTAAACCACGAACCAGTAATACATAATGAGTAATTACTGTATCGAGGATAACAGTTATAAGTGAACAGAGGCATGAGGTGAAAGGTTGGAGTAGCTGACCAACGTCATCGCTGATGCCCTCTCTAATGTCTAGGCCGAGAAGCCTATAGTCGTGTCAGGTTTGACCGACTGCTGTACTGTTACCAGGAACTGCACAGAGATGGCGAACCTTGTGGGACTCTGAAGGGTTACATACGCTCAATGAATTATTATTATTAGTAATAGTATTATTAGTAGTATTATTGAGAAAATCCATAGGAGCTGTGATGAAGATTCGAACCTATGCGGTGAGTAGTCCCACGCACACGCCCATTATATATATAGTAACACTATATATAGTAACTATTATACATTATATATAGTAACTATTATACATGTTGAGTTTTCAAGTGTTCGGAGAAACTCATTTTGAATCAGAAAATTCCTCCTCCTCCTCCTTTATTTTTCAATAAAGTGACGAGGGTTACAGATTTGTGGGCTGTTGGGTTTGTGTACACAATAAACAATAAACACCAACACAATAAATGTACACAATAAATCAGTAAACACTAATAAGCAGTGTTAGTGTTTATCATGAGGCTTCCCGGGTGATATGTGGAGCTAGGCTTTCGCTGTTAGGCAAGATTCCCTAGACAATGCTTGAAGAACACCTAGTAACGCTAGCCCTGTTGCCGAATTGTACACGTAATATATTCCTATAAACTAAGCAAGGGCTCCCGTATCATTAGCTTTCCAAAGCAAGGGGGCAACGTGATGGCGAGTAACTGGATGAAAGATACACTAAAAACAGTCTTCTTGGCGACTGGAAGTGACAAAGAACTTCTCTTGGTGACAGTTCAGACTCCGTGGGCGACTCTGAGAAACGGTCTCTTTCTTGGCGACTGGGGGAAGAGGTGAGAGTTGTCTTGCTGGGAGATCCTGTCTTCCTAGGTGACTGGGTGAG